CCCACTTACCGAGCAACTATTAACGGCTTATCAACGCTTATCGAACCCCTTTCACCAAAACATATAACTTTTAAATAAATGATCTAATTCTTATACCCTATCATATTCATCCCTTTTCGTATAAAAGCGCTCCGAATTCCCCACTTCTTCACACTACGTCTGAACCATAAAATCCAGTAGTACCTCCAAACTCAGCTCCACCATGAAGTTGCTTCTCGTCCTCGCTGCCACCCTGGCAGTCGCCTCCGCCGGCACTGTCGACCCAGCCCTCAGCCTGGCCATTCAACAAGGTTCCACCGAGGCGATCCTTGCACTTCCCGCAATCGTCGACCAAGTCCAGTCCAACCCATCGCTCTTGTCCCTCTCCGGTGATGCCAAGGTGTCCGCCCTCGTCGCCTCCCTGCAAGGACTCACCTCCGCTGCTCAGGCCCCCTACGTCCAAGTCGCTTCTTCCCTCGGCCTCGAGACCCAGACGTACTGGGGATCCAACATCATCCACGTCAAAGGCTTGACTTCCCAGACTCTCGCCTCTTTGGCTGCCACCCCCGGAGAATTCACCCTCCGTAAGCCAGTCACCGTCCGAATGACCCCATCCATCGTTGAGACCAACGCTACCCAAACCGCGCAATGGGGAGTTGCCAAAATCAGGGCGCCCGAAGCTTGGGCGCGCACTCAAGGTGAAGGTACCGTCGTTTGCATCATCGACACCGGAGTGAATCTTGGCCACGTTGCGCTCGCTGACTCGTACGGAGGTGCCTGGAGCGACCCGTACTACAACACGGCTGGACCAACTGACCAACAAGGACACGGATCTCACTGTGCGGGAACCGTCCTCGGACGTGCCAACGGTGTCGGTGTCGCCCCAGCTGCCCAATGGGTCGCCTGCCGTGGACTTAACCACCAAGGATCCGGAACTGAACCTAACCTTATCTCGTGCGCCCAATGGGTCTTGACCGCGAATCCCAGACCAAACATCGTCTCCAACTCGTGGGGCGGCGGTAGTAATAATCCGTGGTACAACCAGGTTGTCTCTGCCTGGCGATCGGCTGGAATCATCCCAGTTTTCGCTATCGGAAACTCAGGGCCGGGATGCAGGACGGTCATCTCTCCCGGAGATCAGCCCAACCTTATCTCCGTCGGAGCCACCACTGACACCGACGCCATGGCGACCTTCTCTTCCCGAGGACCCAACGCAGCAGGAGCACTCAAACCAGAAGTCTCCGCACCAGGAAACAACATCGTGTCTTGCGGAACTGGAGCCAACAATTACGTCACCATGTCCGGAACTTCAATGGTGGGTTACACTGAATATTTTAGTTTCTGAGTTATTGACTAATTTTTTAAATTTACTAATATAGGCCACCCCCCACACCGCTGGAGCCATCGCTCTGCTCATGTCTGCCAACCCAAGCTGGGGATTTGACGAGATTTTCACTGCCCTCACCACCACGCCAGTTCACCCAACCTTGTCCAACGCTGACAGGAATTGTGGACTTCCGGAAGGTGGAGATTTCCCAAATCATGCTTTCGGTAAGAGTTGTCGCCATTATTGACATACAATATCCAGACAAGAAACGTTATTGTACTTTCACAAATTTCAGGTCACGGACGTATCGATGTTGCTGCTGCTCTTGGACTTTAAATTGACAGACCACAAGTGCATTTAAGCAAACCAAATTATTTGTTTCAAAATTGGATTTATCTTGTAAATAAAATTTATTTTCAAACTTAATCAACTTGACCTTCTGACACAGTGAAATATTTGCATAAATACACTTGCATGCATATTTACATACGTACATATGTACATATTCAGGTTATCATGATATATATATATAAGATGTATTTAGGTATTAAATATATACATACATATTCTTTATTTGCAACAAGTAATCATTCGATAACAATTTACACTCGGTCAAATTAATGCAAGAATTGATCAAATATGACAAAAATCCACTCCGCGTCAGAAGCTTAAAACCACCCATTTTTAAATGTTAGAAAACTCAGGGGTCGCCCTTCGCATAGTAACTCAAAATAAGGAAGAGATCCAAAAGGATATATCAATATGATCTGTGATTGATTATCTACTTCCCTTCCAAGACAATTGAAAGCTGACGGTCAACTACACCTGTGGCATTCTCATAACCTTTATGCTAAAATAGGAAAAATTTCCTAATTTTTACCCATGGAAAATGGGATGGAGGAGTAAATCCATAATCGGTCTGTCAGTGAATAATTATCGTCAAGGATAGATATGTAAATATGTATGTATGTATGTATATGTACGAATGTATGTACATACACAATCGCACGAAAACATTTAATTTTAATCCATCGCTTCCACCGAATTTCGGTAATACTGCGACAAAATACATGTAATCAATGGGACATTACCTAAGTACTTATACAGACCATTTACATACATACAAAACGGATAAGTAATATTTGATAAGCGCTTTAAAATAATTGCATCCTGTGATAGGATTCCTATCAATTTGACAAAATTTCAACAACATTTTACAGTGTTAACGTTTGCGGAAAACTAGAATCATACTTATTCCTCTGGTAATTCATGGTTGAATTGAAATTAAATTTACAACTTGATCAATATCTCAAAAACTCGTACATATATTTTACTGTATTTGCACATATCCTTCTATTTTGAGACAACTGAATTTGCATTTGCAAAAATAATTACACATATTTATCTCAGCCGGATTAATTGTGATACTTTTGACTAAAAGGGCAAGGAAATAATTTATCTTGCTTTTGCATGTATATTCATATTTATTTACATAGCATAGGCTGCGCAAGACGTTTTTGGCTGTGGGAATACTTTTCACTCAATTCATAAGTTAGGCGCTCGAGAACCCTTTGAAATAGCACTGCACTGCACAATTTAGTATATTACTTAGGATTAGTTACTACTTAATTTATGCACTAGAATGGCAAACCTATAAAGTTTCTACAAATATTTGCTGTTACAAATATTTTCATACTTCAAAAACATAATTTACAAGTTTTCGCCATTGCTAATTTCTGTAAGGACATTTACTGGCTAGTGCATTGAATGTCCTTTCGGTGGAATTTATGTGGGGAAAATGTACCCCATGTCCCCACAATTCCGCAACCCCTGCATGCATGTAAGTATTTATTTACTGATACTATGTATCGCTATCGCTACGACTTCTGTACAGTAATTAATTTTACATAAGTACATTGCTACAAATTTTGGTAGTTGCTGAATTATCTTTCCAATTATCTTTTGAGATGGAGACGGTTGTATTTGTACATATTGCAAAGTTTTCAAGGCCGAAATTTTTGGGAGTTCAAACTAAATTGAACTTTTACTGACGCCAATTTCACAGCATTAATATGTTGTACACACACGTATATTCAATTTATTTATATAAACGTACATGCATACATAAGTATGTATGTGCAGACATAGTGTACTAACAACGCTAATCATTTACAGTGGAAAACTACATAAATACACAACGATGTTTTTTATAAAAAATGAATGCAGCATTAGAAGTCTGCATCAAAGAACAAATCAACGCAACACAACACTCAGACTCAAAATACGTACATAACCTCCATGAAACCTTTACCTTTCAATTATTTTTCTAATTCCAACAATAAGATTTACCCACGAAAAGCAGACATGACCTTCCGTCGCCTTTACAAAAGATGCGTATCATTCGCCATCCAAAGTTTTGGAACCTTGTTGTCCCTCGAGTGGACCACGATATTTAAAAGCATCGTGCAATCTGGTCATTTCATGTTTTCACTTCCGTTCCATTGGGAACCGTCGCCCGACAAAATGTTCTCTGTCGGTAAATTACGCGTAACGCGGAGCAAATGGAGGATCAGTTTTGCTAAAATGATGGTCATCTTGTCCCTCTTGGATTGCATTTGCAGAATGCATTTCGCACTCGTTTGCGACTATGGCGCAATGAAGGACAGTGAATTGCTGGAAATGTATCTGGAACTTTTTTCCCGCTTTGGGTGTGGTCTTCTCTCAATCCACCCAATCTTTCGGCCAGAATATCACGTGACTCTAGTCAATCACCTTCTCAAGCTGGATGCAGTGCTAAGTAAGTAAATCGTCAATAACCTTCAAATTAAATATGTCAATGATGATGGATCAGCTCCGTTTGAGCCGCATGTTAAAATTTAATGCGCGACTTTTCCGCGACATCAATAAATTTAAGTTCCCGGGTGGAAATCTAAAATATTTGAAATTTTATAACTTTAGAAATCACAACTTATCTCGGAAACGGTGTTCTCTCCGAGAATCTTGGCATGCGCCTTTGTCTCTTGTTCGCTTTACCGGTGGGAGTTTTGAGTCCGTTTCTTAGCACGCTACCTGCCCATTTTAGGTCGCGCCATAGCGGGAGATTTTGGGGGGCTAGGTTTCTTCCTCGGTGGATTTATGACTCGTATCCGGGAGTTTTATGCTACGCCGTGTACGAGCTATTCATGGTATTTTCGAACACACACAATACCACATTTCTCGCTCCGGTGGTAATGATTTATGCCGTGATTAACGTGACGCACATTCGTCTCATCATTTCACGGTAAGTACATATTTAGGACAGATTCATACATAACTGCGAATTTTCAGATATTTGTGATACGTTACAAAAGAATACGCCCAATCATTTAGAAAACTTGTATAAATTCAATTATTAAAATTTCGAATCCTTAAAATTTTATGGCTACACTTTAGTATGCTACCCGATAAATAAATAAGATGCTTATCACGTGACCCAAATCGCTCGGATAGCATGCTTACTAAAGTTTTTTTTTCAATTTTCTTAAGTTCCTGTCCTTAACAAACTAATCGTTTCGTCCGTAATAACCATTTTCTCTAAAAACAGAAAATCATTCCTCATGAAGAGCCGACTACTAAGATATCAAAGCCTTCAAATCCTAAATGCCCGTTATTCTGAATATTTCTCCACCATCTTCTGGCCCATCGGGCAAAATACGGTTTACGGTTGCAACGTGGGTGTCAACGTGCTCTTTGTCTTGAGACACGTGGACCTCGGATGGAGTCGTTTCTTCGCATGCGTCGCATGTATGGTCCTCGTCTTCGTCTTTGAAAAATATGCCATCACCGGGAACGCTCGAATGTATCACGAGTCGAAGAGATTCATCCAAGATGTTGGGGTTGCCAGAGGATGTCGAAACGCGGCGGCGTCCAGGGTGACGTGCAGATCGCTCAGACCGATCAAGGTGTACGTTGGAAGATACTACTTTTTCAAGATGTCCACCTTCACCACGTATTTGGCAGTTTTGGTGGACTACACGGCCAGCGTGTTAATTGCCATCAATAATTTTCATGCTGAACATGGACTAAGAAAATTTAAACTGTAAACTAAACTATTCTCAATTCTTATTATAGGCAAAAAAATTTAAGCGAGGACGACAAACATTAGAAAAATACTATGTGCATATTTATTTGCATATGCATGTATAAATTATTCACATTTAAATAAAGCTCAGTTTTAATTTGTACTACAAACTTACAATGTTAAGAATTAAGTAAAATAAATGATGAAAGGTTCAGTCTTTTAAGAAAGCATATAAAAAAAGTATAAGAAATTCAGAAAATACTTGTGGACGTATTGACCGAGAATTGCATTAAGGTTCCAACTAATTAAAATTATTAGTAAAGATAATGCATGACAATACTATCATTTAAACAATCCAAGCGAATTCTTCATCTTCGTTAATGTCGTCATGAACATGTTCCTCTTCGAACGGGGTATCTGAATGGTCTCTCTATGAACTCTTTTTGAGTGGATTGCTAAACATCCCCGAAACTTGAACGCCTTCCCGCACACATTGCAAATAAAGGGACGCTCTCTCGGGTGGACGTTACCGTCGTGATTTTCCAGAAGCGCACGGGTTTTGGAGGGGATGGTCTTCACATATCCGTGGATTTCTTCAACATGGCGGTTTAAATTTTCCAGTGTTTTAAATGTGGACAAGCACAGCAGGCAGGAATATGGAATAGCCTTCTTCTTGACGAGACGCTTTCTAATTTTTAGAAAGGGAGAAAGATCCACCAGTCTGATCTCAAACTCCTTTAGTTCCACACTAACTTGTCCCTGCCATGTCGTTGGCGTTACGTTGACCTACAGATAAGTTAAAGTTCACGAATTATTCGCCCTATACATTGTTTGTTCGATTAATCTAAAACTGTCACGTTCTATTCGTATTACCTCTTGACTAGCTGGGACAGTTATTGGAGGTGCTGGGGGTTGATAAAAGTCCCGTTCTCGCTTGAGTTCGCCTAGAAAAAGGAGAATAATTACTTCAACCAAATCCAAAATTTCTAAATCGTTGAGTACTCACTTTCTTCCAGTTTTGGAACCAACTTGTATACAATATCTTGTAATGTGCGATCAAAGCGGACATGTTTCAAGGGGTCGACCGGGTCGATCACTACTTCACATTCCGGACAGGTATTTCTGTTCTCTAAATGCTGGACAAGGCAGCTTTTGCAGACTGTTAAACAACAATAAATATCAGCAATTAATTAACTAACAATTCTATTAATATGTATAATAGTTTGATCGACTCACAAGTATGAAGACACTCCGTAACCGTCGAGGCGGCGATAAGGTATCCTTTACAGATTTTACAGGTGATGCAAGGATTCACACTTTCCAACCTGACATTCAACATTGTCCTAATCAAATGTATAAAATGTTAGCAAATAATTGATTGATTATTTTATTTATTTTTAAGCATTTATAACTTGTAATTGTAATTGCCAACCGTAATGAAGATTTCACAAGAAATAAACCGTCCTCAAGAATATCTGGCAACTTGTCAGTTGATTACTTAAAAAAACTATTTAAAGAATGCGAAAACTTGTAAATATGAATACATAGCAAACAAACCTGAGAGAATGAATAGAAAATTGTAAAAAGTAAATTGTTAAAACTTTAATTTATAATTCTCTCAGATTTTCGTCGATTCAATTAAATAAAAGCAATAAGTTTAAATATCTGTAAAAATCTGTATGAACTGAAGAAGTGAAGACTAACATAAACCTTCGGCATTGTTGCTTGCTTTATGTTTTGTTTTCCTGCCATCGAGCGAGCGAAAATTTGCAGCTTTGACCTGACAGACTTTGGGGGTCGGACACAAATTATGTAGTGTGAAGTTTGAAATGTTTTTTTAACTTTTATTTTGTGTTTATTTATTGTATTGAGTTTAAAATTTCCTTGTTCATTAATTCTTCGTGCTCCTCACTCGGATTGAAAAAAAAGTTGATGAAATTAGAAATTAAATTCCTTTATTTCGCACTATTTTTATGTTAATATTTAGTCATGGATTAATCTGACTCAGATTAATCCATGACTCTCAAAGAGAGTCAGAACATACTGAGAAATAACCCTTGAGCATATTTACTTTAAAAAACTGCATAAATACGTGGGTGAATTTTTAGCAGGTTGCCAAGTTACTTTATCCAAGGAAAACAAAGTATTTTGGGGAACCATTTTTATCTTTATTATTTTACCCTCGACGTGACCAAGGGTAAGCAAGTCTCGCTCGCTCCATTATCGATAAGCCAAAACATAACTCTGTATTTTTGATCTTGCGTCGGATGAAACATTTCTCAAACTCTTAATTCAATTCCACAAAATTGCTTCCACTTTCAGAAATAACCAATGGACAAATTTGCCCTACCTGCTGATGGCGTGCTTAAGTTCACACTACCAAATACCATGAATTGTAATATGCATTCGGTTATTCTGCCTTATCGGGAGCGTGAAAAAGTAAGGTTTTACTACGTGCTATTGAATGTCACATGCTGAAAATTAATTAACTAGAATGTACTTGAATTGTGCACAGTATACCATCGGCGATAAATTCACCTCGTGGGAGGCACAAGGCGAATTCATCTTTCTAGGTACGTGGGGCCATCCTTATTGGAACTTCCTTCCCACTTCACTCGTGGAAATTTCGTGCGAGTTTGACCACTTCTGGGTCAAACCTCTCGAGGTGAGCGACCCTTTGCTCATGTATTCCTCATTATATACGGAGGATCCAAATTATTACTGATTAAATAATTTGAATCTTTAGGGAAACTTGGTTTTAAAAAATGGAGTAAATCTTGACGACAAGGTTAGGACACGGCTGAACTTTGGGGATGAACTGGCCTTCACCAAGCACCGTAACAACGTTGACCACGGCCTTGCCATATTCACTTTTAAAGTACATATCCATAACCATAAAATAATACAATGATTGAGTGATGTGATGACTAGTTTTGCGCTAATTTTAGCAACGGGAGTACGTTAGTAATTGGGACAAGTGCGATAAGGCTTCGATTAAGGGTGTGCCAGATGATGTGGCTAGCTTGGATGTAGATTTCACACCAGATCGCAATCAATTGGTATGCATATTTAAAACTGTTGAATGCTTTCTATGTATGTCTATATTATTACCCTGAACTTTGACATTACAAATTCCACTCCACTTCTAGGTATTCTCTCACATTCTATCCTACCTCCCCCTCGGAACCCTGAAAAACGCTCGACTGGTTTGTACACACTGGGACGAACAAGTGTTTTCAATCCTGCGAAAAACATCCGTCATTGGTTTTCAAACTCGATTCCATCATGATGACATGACCAATCCATCCCACCAGTTTTTGCGATACGTCCATGAAATGAGGAATGTCGCACCATGGCCAAATTGGAAGATTTGGTATCCATCCTTACCAGCCGAAAACGAAAGGGACGACGCAGAGAAAAAATGGTCAGCAAAGTACATCCAGGACTTGGATTAGTTTCTTCACCCCAGTAGAGGGCACCATGTCAAGAGTTTATCGTTGCATTCATTCATTAATTCCGAACGGGATTACTGGGTATTTCTCAAATCCATTACTCAGTTGAAGGACACCTTGGAAGAATTGCATCTCGACTTCGAAATACAAATCTTGGAACAGAATGGCAACGAGATTAAATATGACTTGGATCCTATTATTTTCAAAATGCTGAAGAAATTTTCACTAAAGCTCGCGCCCAGTATATCTGACCCTGTATTGGATAATAGACAATTGGCTGCCCCCTGGATGAAAAATTGGGCGGACGCGATTAAGCGTGTGGAGTCCATCTCTACGCGCGGTTGTGATTTTCTGGGGTCACGATTTGCACAGGAGTTACAAAACAATGGGCAGTGTTATCAAAATTTGAAGGATATCCGGTTAACATGCGAGCCATCGGTTGCAATCAATTTTCTCACCGAGTTGACCCAAACCGTGACGAATTTGACGCTCACCATGCCTTTGGAAACACGAGACCTTCGAGACTTTGAGAATTTGATCAAGAAATTCGCCTCATGCTTGGAATTACTGTCTTTTTTAATCTCCACGAAAGGCCTTGGAGAAAAGTCTCGCTTCGACCTCAATCTTCCATGTCTCGCGAGGCTAAAAAAGTTGCAATTTTATTTTGGTTTCTTTAAAGACATCCGGAATTCCAATATCGGTACATATCAGGGTCATACAATCAAAGATGTGGCCCGATTCCGGCTCTCGTTCCCCCCATCTCGGTTTGGTGGTGATGACCTCGGCATCGACTATGAACGTCACCTTCCCTCGATTCGTGGCATCATTGTGAAACCAAAATTTTGGGTTGGTCCGGCTGAATTTTGGGACACGTATAGTGACCTGTTTGACAGTCTCCTTCCCAAACAAGAAGGACGAAGTTGCCAGACTCTGCAACGCTTGGAAATTCCAACCTGGGGTGGTGAGATTGGGGAAGGATATCTTCAAGCTGGCCGACTACCGAAAGTCTTTCCAAATGTTCGGAACGAATGGATGAACGATTTACGAGAGATGAAGAACGATTGAAGAACTTGATACAAAATAGATAAATGCACATTCATGAGTTAATATGTATGTACTTACATACCAGTGTGGAAGTGAAGATGATGAATTGTTAAATTGGGTATGAATGCTTTGCTAAATTTGCAGCGATAAATATGAAAAAAATTAGTTACCACTGTCGCCCCTGAATTTAGTAAGTTTTAGTCATTTAAAACTATTTAACGAGGCTAGAAAGAAACAAATATTTTTACACGAAGAGGAAAAATAAATACGAAATATTCCTAAATTAAGTACAATTAAAGAATTAATTTAGTCAAACATTTGAATTTTTAACTGTGATGCACGGTCCGTGAATAATTAATTAGTGAGAATGTATAACGTCAAACTTTCATTCAGAGCGCAGGAGTAAATTCATATTTTTATCATGTTGATCAGGACGATGACCCCACTGCAGAGGGAGTCTTGCTCTACATACTTGCTCATAATTATCGGGTTCATAATTGCTCGCACATTATGTGGGAACCATGAAATTGAAGATAAATGAACTTTATTTTAAGTTGTTTGTGAACGGTCTGCCTGTTTGATGAAGTAGTGCGAAAGGTCAGTCAGCGGAGGACAGAGAAAAAGGGTACTGAAAATCTGATGTTTTTGACCAACCACTTGAAGATAAGATTGAATTTACAAAGTAAATATCCAAATTTATAAGTCATTTGTTTTATTACGCGTATTTTTACAAGGTTTATCAATCTAGTCACTTACAAGGTTTGCACATAATGTTAAAAAACACGTTTGTTCAAATAATATAAAATTATCACAAGTTAATTTTTTCAGAACTATTTCTATGTAGATGTTGTTGGTTTTCCAGTCAAACGGATGATTATTTCAGCTTTGACCCCCGAAAGTTTATGAAGTACATGGCTGGGAATAAGATGCTTTAGTATGCCCATCCTGTTCCGCATACTGTCGTGTGAAATAAGTGTAATTCGCTTCTGACGGGGATCTAAATATGTATACAAAATTAATAATCAGTGGTCTATTTCAATAAGTTACATACATAATCGTAGACCTACTTGTACTGTGTGGATGGAAGTGATAGTTTTCGTCGTCCGGATTGCTACTAAATCCTAGCGACATTCTCAGCTCGTCTAGATATGATTTTTCCTGCAGGCTGAGGGAGACCACGTAAGAATGAATTCCAACTTGGGTGATGGAACTCATTGGTATGCAACACCTTACAGGTTTCCTTTCTGGATAAGATTTTACACATGTTACTTTTCATCATAATTATAAATAAGTATTAAAAATTAAATAATCAATTAAATAAATGTACTGAATTGAGTGTGCGGCATTGCGAATTCAATTCCCTCCTTGCAAATGGTCGCGAGAATAAAGCCATGCAAACCTGCAGCTTGAGTTTGATAAGTCCCGACGTTGACGGTGCGACATTGAAGTGTTATCTTTGTGTCGGGTGAAAAATTAGATGGTGGTGGTTTCTTGACTGTAGGTGTTAATTTTTCGGATACAACCTGAATTTCGTCGTCTTCATCCGAGTTAGATCCTGTGTATGAAAATATTAAAAATTGTACATCTACATAATTACTCTCGGATTGGTTTTTGCTGTCTGACTTTATACCTTGACTTTCACCACAGTTATCATCATTAGTGTCTTCGTTGCTACTTCTGGAACTATGTTTGGATGAGGATGCGTGAACAAGTAGGTCGTCCAGTTCTCTCATGAGTGCATTTCGGCGTGGCTTTCGGGGTACTGTAATCTTTCGGGGTACCGTAATCTTCACGATCTCGGCATCTGAGGATGATTGAGTCCCGTTCTGGGAAAGCGATGATTTTTTTGTGTACTTTCTTTTTGGTCCTTCAAGTAACTCATCATACTCGTCCACCTTAGCTCTTTTCTTTCGTTTTTCAGCCTGGAATTAATATTTAAACTTTAGAGACCCAAGTCGTACTCACTTCAAATATATAGGTTTTTTTAATTCACAACCTTTTCCGGCTTTTCCTTCAATTCTTTGACTTTCACAATTTTTGTAGAATCCGACAGTCGAGTTTTACAGTACTCGCAAAAGTGTAAATCTCTCGATCGCGTTCCACAGTTTTGGCAGACGGCTTCTGAATCTGGGATGAACCGTTCTCTCTAAAAAATAAATAATGTATAGTTTGTCCAATTCCTTTCATTTAAAGTACATTAATTTTCTCACAGTAAATGGCTGAACAGATGGGGTTGGTAGAGGTCGAATAATACTTGGTGGTGGTGGTCGAATAATTGATGCTTGAGCAGTTTGAACGAAAGATGATGCCATCGTACTATGCTGTGCCCAACTTTCTGCGGGTAAATTGCCTCCCGTCGAGTAATGGGATGGCAAAAAAGCTTCCGTGGTTTCAGTCTCAGTAATAAATTGGTTGTTTGTAGAGTTTGATGTCAAATAGCTGACTCCTTGCTGGGGCGAGTAATTAAATTGATTGGTCACAGATGGTTGACCCAAAATCGCGCTTGGCACCAACTGAAATGTTGTCAGTGGCCCAGGAAGGATTTGGAATTGACCACCGGGTGCAACTGGTAGGGTTGAGGGCACTAATGTGTAAGCACTTGCGGGGAGGACGTTATTATTATTCTGCAAAAGGAGAGGTTGGGGCTGAAAGTAATTTAAATTTGCATTTCCTTGCGCCCCAACCACATTGTCATCGTCGCGATCATTGTCATCGGGAAGGATCATTTCCCCCTCGCCATCGCCACCTTGGTCTGTCTCATTGTCTGAAAATGTGCATAGAACCCAATTGTCGACATTTTCTTCTTGCTCTTTCAGTTCTACTTTTAAAAAGCTATCCAAAAAATTATAATTAGTACATAATCAACCTTAACAGGGTATTAATTATAATGATTAATTTGAACTACCTTGACATATCTCCATCTTTTATCTCACTTTCAGTGTTTTCGGTTTTTTCCTCCTTTATCTCATTTTCAGTGTTTTCGGTTTTCTTCTTTACATTTTCGGCCACCATTTTATCCTCTTCTTTCCTCTTCCTTGTCTTACTCCAGGGCCCAGGTCGTTTGCATTTAATTTCTAAGCATGCAAATTATAATAGCCAATTAGTTAACTTTAAAGTCAAATACTCTACTATTTATGTATTTATGTCTAACCTGATCGTTCATCTGGTTTCAATATTATCTCTTCAATAACTCTTTGCCCTTCATTCGAGCAACTTTGCTCACCAACATCGTCATCTTCATAATTCACAATTACTGGTTTTACGTCATCATCAACGTCGTCGTCGCCGGCAAGACTTTCATCCTTATCCGTGCTCAATGCTTCCTCTTCGTCTGAAAGTGTAGACGTAGTGTAGCTCGAGCAGCTCGTCTCGTCATTCAAGAACTCTGGATCTAATTTAACAAAACAAAGTATTATTCACTTTTCAATTTACAAGTTAATTGCAAACATTTGTAAATAAAAACCTGAATCGCTCTTTCTCCTCGTAATTGTGCGCCAGTCCACTATCTCTTGATATTTCAACTTCAACTTAATTAATTTCACCATCGCGTCCATCGCCACCCTCAATTGGTTCATTTCCTCCTTCAGTTTAATCAATTGGTCCAACTGTTGGCGACAAGGGTAACAAATCAGCAGACTTTTCCAATACGAGTGATTCCCACGGACATTGGGTCTCTCAGGAACGGCCACGAGCTGGCGAAAAGAGCAGAGTTGGGACTTGGTCATTGGGCGACCATTTCGCGACGAGCCACAAATTGAACACAGTTTAATTTTTGACCTATTTTTTAATTTAGTAACAGTTTCACTTTCTACTTGTTGTTTCGTGTTCCGTTTGAGGAGCACGATGACTGGAGAGATAGAATCCATAATGGATAATTGAACTAGTATGTGGTTTAGTTAATACTTTAGGTAATTTTTGTGATAATTGTAAAATCAATTAATGATTTTTAATTTTAAAATTTTAAATGTTGAATGTTTATATTTTACTCAAGCAGCAGGTGAAAGCGCAGACCCGCTGTGTAAACTCTGGGCAATGCTGGACTGGACTCGGTATGAATTTTCTACATGGAAAGGGACCGTGCATAAAGGACATGACCAGTTTTGACGGTGATCAACTGTTTAATTAGTCCTTTTCAATCGGATAAGTTAGATATCGGAAGGTGTGGTTAAGGGTTTTAAAATGAATTTAAAGATCAGTTACGCCTGGTCCCCACTGTAATAAGATCTATGCATTTGTAATTTGTACGCAGGTCATGAAATAGATCGGTGAAATATTGAAGAAGGTTGTTAAATAAGGTAGCAATGCAACATTACGTATGTAATTTCTTTATTATTGACATCAATATTCACATTCACAAAAATATTTTTTACATGAAATCTAAATTTTGCATAATGAAAATATTGACAGTTTTAGAAGCTTGGCGAATTTACGTATTGAAAGTTAACATATCTTAATATCATCATGCTTCAACACATATTATTGCATAATTAAATTAACACGGTCAGTTACGCATTTATCAGAATTAGTGACATTGTTTGAGTCATGCAAAAATCTTGAATCTTTAACGGAGTCCTACTCTCGATAAAGTTGGATCCAAATTTTATCTTGAGAGCGAAACTTCCATTCGTGACCCTTCTCAGGATTGACCTTCGTTTTTGCTCAATATTTCCCTTAACAGTGCACTCATTTCTCATTTTCATTAAGGTTCTCGTCGATCTGTTGTAAACCCAGGATGCCACCGTAAAGATGCAAATATTCATGATCAAGCAGTTAACAATAATTAATGGGAAGACGAGAAATGCTGGCATTTCAATAACGTCATGCATTGTGATGACCACATATTGGGACACGATTTGCAGTAAGGGTCCGAGGGAGATCAACGCTGGGACGATAAGGGTCATCAGATAGTTGTTCATTATCCTCTCCAGTATCTGGCTGCAGTGGTAAGTCCGAACACAGTTTTCTAGCTGGACTGATTCAACACTAATTTGTCTGGGAGAAAATTTCAAAATATTTTCATAAATGCAGTAAAAAATATTAATCTAAAAATGAACCGATTTTTTATCAGAACGAATCTGCAGAATTTTGTGGAACTGCATGTTGTAACAACATTGTTGTTTGGACAAGTTTTTGAAGAAAAAATCATGTAAATTTTGTTCTATCTACATATATGTCATATGTACAAAAGTTTGTAAAGAGAAATTTGACTTTTTGCAAAATTTTGTACATTCTATACAAAGTGTTTGTGGAGAAAAATTGGCAAATTTTCGGCAGGTCGATTTTCATAGCCACGATTAATACCTATCTAATTTTACGTATTCTACAAAAATGCATTTTTGAATTATTATGGTAACTCACCTGTCAAGAATTTCCAAATAATTCAACAAAGCTGCAACTCCAGCAAAGAATATGAAAAATGGCCACGTGCAACCTGCCAAGCAGATGTGAAATTGCATCCAGGCGTCGAAACCAATTACGGCCATTTTGAGAATATTAACACCACACTCACACTGAACTTCCTTGCAGGACTTGAACATCGACAGGATGAATGGTGCCATGCACGAGTCTTTCAGTAGTAGGGCGACTTCTCCGACAGGTATCAAGTACGCCGAGAAGCAGCAGATTTCCAGAAATAGCGGAATTATTTTGGTAACAAGGTTATTACTTGTGTGATCTAAAAAACAAAATATTGAAGTAAATTGACACTGGATATTAGATTTAGCGGGGACGATAAGCTTCATAGTGCGATGCGCCTATCATAAATCTCGTAAATCCATATTTAATTTGTCAAGTTTAGCGAAACGTGTGAGATTTCACTAAAATTTCTGCACGATAACCATGGGATCTTTTTTCTCAAATTTACCATTCGCCATTTCTCATTGTCGAATTCTACATTGTTGAAAATGCTTAAATATGCTTAAATACTTAAATGTGTATCTTAATTTCTAAACTTGAATACGTAAATATGCAAATATTGCACGACGGCCAAGTTGATTAATTTTGAAACTCAATTTTATTCATAGGATAATTCCAATTTTGAAATAAATAATTTGTTTTGCTTAAAAGCAGTTGTGGTCGGTCAATTTAAAGTCCAAGAGCAGCAGCAACATCGATACGTCCGTGACCTGAAATTAGTGAAAATTTGAACTATAAGCTTTCTCGTCTGAATATTGCAAATAAATAATAGCGAAAAGCCTTACCGAAAGCTTGATTTGGGAAATCACCAGATCCCGGAAGTCCACAATTCCTGTCAGCATTGGACAAGGTGGGGTGGGCTGGCGTCGTGGTGAGGGCAGTGAAAACCTCATCAAATCCCCAGCTTGGGTTGGCAGACATGAGCAGAGCGATGGCTCCAGCGGTGTGGGGGCAGGCCTGGGTTATCATGAAATTTCAAAAATTAGTCAATTTCTCAGAAACTAAAAGTATTCAGTGCAACGTACCATTGAAGTTCCAGACATGGTGACGTAATTGTTAGCTCCTGTTCCGCACGACACGATGTTGCTTCCTGGCGCGGAGACTTCTGGTTTGAGTGCTCCTGCTGTGCTGGGTCCTCGGGAGGAGAAGGTCGCCATGGCGTCGGTGGTAGTGGTGGCTCCGACGGAGATAAGGTTGGGCTGGTCTCCAGGAGAGTTGGCCGTCCTGCAGGATGATCCTGAGTTTCCGATCGCGAAAACTGGGATGATTCCAGCCGATCGCCAAGCAGAGACGACCGTGTTGTAAAATGGATCCCCGGAACCACCGCCCCACGAGTTAGAGACGATATTTGGTCTGGGATTCGCGGTCAAGACCCATTGGCCACAGTTGATGAGGTTCGCTTCAGTTCCAGATCCTTGGTGGTTGAGTCCACGGCAGGCGACCCATTGGGCAGCAGGGGCAACACCGACACCGTTGGCACGTCCGAGGACGGTTCCCGCGCAGTGAGATCCGTGTCCTTGTTGGTCAGTTGGTCCGGCCGTGTTGTAGTACGGGTCGCTCCAGGCACCTCCGTACGCATCAGCGAGGGCAACGTGGCCAAGATTCACTCCGGTGTCGATGATACAAACGACGCTACCTTCACCTTGAGTGCGCGCCCAAGCTTCGGGTGCCCTGATTTTGGCAACGCCCCATTGCGGGTTCTGCGTAGCGTTGGTCGCCTCAGCAATGGATGGGCTCATTCGGACGGTGACTTCCTTGCGGAGGGTGAATTCTCCGGGGGTGGCGGCCAAGGAGGCGAGAGTCTCGGGGGTCAAACCCTTGACGAGGATGATGTTGGATCCCCAGTAGGTCTGGGTCTCGAGGCCGAGGGAAGCCGCGACTTGGACGAAGGGGGCCTGAGCAGCGGAGGTGAGTCCTTGCAGCGTGGCGACGAGGGCGGACACCTTAGCGTCACCGGAAAGGGAGGAGAGCGATCGGCTGGCTTCGACCTGGTCCATGACCTGAGGAAGTTCGAGAATTGCCTCGGTGGCGCCTTGTTGAATGGCGAGGTTGAGGGCGGGGTGGACCGTGCCGGCGGCGGCGACTGCCAAGGTGGCAGCGAGAACGAGAAGCAACTTCATGGTGGAGCTGAGGATTCGAGGGAAATAGGATTGGATTGCTGTTTCTGGAGCAGTGTGAAGAAGTGGGGAATTTGGAACGCTTTTATACCAGAAGGGATGAATATGATGGGGTATAGGAGAAAGATCGCTTATATAAAAGTTGTATAGTTGAGGGTGGCAGGGTTAAGATAAGCGTTGATAAGCCGTTAATCGTTACCTGGTGAATGGGGAAATTCCTGTTTTAGTGGTCAGTTATGCAAGTCGTTTGGTTCACTTCGCTGACACATTTAATCCGAGACATGATTGAATGCTTGACGTTACATGATTCTATTTTACATATGTATTATGCGTTTGTTATTTCACGGATTTTCCAATAATACTTCAATTGATTCGATAATGCGGGATGATTTGCTCTCGTGGCGGTCTTAACTCGATTAATTTTCGAAAAGTCTAATTTACTATGTATTTATGTCATAAATCTATGGTTTTCCCTCATTCCATACGCTGTATGATGCGAGGAAAAACCACCCGATTATGTATGGAAATACCAAAGTAAGTAAATGACCATGCCGAGCTACGTATTTAAATGACATTATATTATGGTTTAATTAATTAATTTAATTTAAGCCAAATTCTGTCAGATTAAGAAGCATTGCATATTAATGTTTATTTATGTAACATCTCTTCATTCACTGTCAGGTTACGTATTTATGTAGCACTCATGTACTAAGAGTAAATTCATACATATGCACAAATACGTAGTTTCACAATGCATGGATTGCCTCAAGGTGAAATAATTCCGTTATAGATTTTTAATCTCAACTTATGTCCAATGTGATTTTCTAAAACGGCGTCAATTTCGTAAGGTTTGATACGAGTCCAATTTTTGATACTTTAAGGCAAAGGTAATTTTTGATAATGCAAACCCATAAAAAAAGTTTATGCATGGCTTTGCAAATCACGAAATTTCTCTCGCTGGTGATGGTGAGGAAAAGTTTATGAAATAATAAACACATGCCCATTTTCTAGGAAAATTTGAGAAAAAAATCCTATGGTTTTTCAGCCAAAACTTTGTTATATTGCTGTACTCAATTTACGAAATTTTTGCGATAGGCGAAGGTTGACATGCGAGTACGCCCATGACGAATTGTGACTGCAAAACTTTACAAAACCAGGCAAACCAAACAACTACGTACGTATTTATCCATTGCACCCTTTATCATTTAAAGCCTAGTACTCAGGACGAATGTTCACGCGAAATTTCATCGTGCTTAAATTCTGTTAAATTTTTCGCTGGAAAGAAATTCGTAAGCGGACAGAAAATGCCACTATTCCACGTATATTTCGCTCAATTTTCACTTGTAGGTACTCAGGTCGTTTGAGCTGAAAAACAGGTTTTACTTTACCCCATTTCACATCAACCGCCTTATTTGACTTCTCAAATCTTTGCTGCCTCTCTTGCTTTTCAAATGTTGTTTTTACAAAAATTAAAATTCAAATAATCTTAAATAATTTTAATTCAAGAGTTTCGTCATACGATAAACGTTTATTAATTTGTGGATTGACAAACTACGAAATCATTATGGAGTCAGATATTGAAGATGATATTTTAATATTGTCGGCTGCCTCCTTGCTTCTTCGTCGCCAGACTAAAAAGAAAAAAATGAAGAAACGTCGTTTCACTGTCAGTCCATATTTGAAACTTCGAAATATCAAGGGCCGTTTCGTCAAAGACGTGAGTTATATGGATAATGGTTAATGGTGTACACGTTTACATAACTAGCATCACAATTTTGCAGTTTGAAGATCTCAGGCAGTTTCCCCCAGCGTTTAAGGAGAACTTCCGAATGACACCTGCTGATTTTGATAATTTGTTGAAACTTCTGGAGCCACAACTTTCTCCAAAACACCACTCGAGACCAGATTCCTTCACTTCGTCAGAAAAATTAGCAATGACATTGGAGTGAGTTTTATTATGAGTCAAAAATTGTATAAACGTGTACTTAAATATTGTTGTGATTTGTTTTTCACAGATATTTGGCGTCCGGATCGTACCAGCGCCACATTGCATCGGTGTATAGAGCAAGTAAACAAGCTATTGGAAAGGTTATTGCAGATGTTTGTGATGGATTATATCAGGCCCTCAAGACAGAATATTTGAAAGTGATTACTTTGGCCTATGTGAATAGTTGTCTTTTTTGTTAACGTTTATCCTATTTATTTCTTTACTATTTTAGAAACCTACATCATCTGATTGGTTAGAAATTTCGAACAGGTTTAATGCCCAATGGAATATGCCCAACTGTCTTGGAGCAATTGATGGGAAACATGTAGCAATCACCATTCCACCAAATAGTGGCAGTGCATTTTACAACTATAAGGTATATATTTTGATAATAATATTATTCATATTCAACTAAACGTGTAATTTCCTCAATGTTTCCTTTATTGAAAGGGATTCTTCAGCATAGTTCTAATGGCAGTCGGTGATGCCGATTACCGATTATCGTATATCGACGTTGGATCGTATGGGAGTGAGGGAGATAGCACAGTATTCAGGAATTCCGCCTTCGGGAAGGCCTTGTAAAAAATCAGTTGGAGTTACCCCCAGATGCAACCATTGGCACAGAACGACTTCCATACTATTTTGTGGGGGACGATGCATTCCCATTGCACGAGAGAATAATGAAACCATACGTTCCAGTAAAGGGATCAACTTTACACGTGGATGAAAGAATTTTTAACTACAGGTCTAGGATTTTCACAATTCGGAAATGAACAACTAATGAAAATCAATTATTTATATAGGTTGAGCCGAGCCCGGAGATGCATTGAGAATAGCTTCGGAATCATATGCTCTCGTTGGCGAGTTCTTGCAAGAACAATGCAAATCAGCCCTGATCGAGCCCAGAAAGTCATTGCGGCATGTTGCGTCCTCTATAATTATTTAATGACAAATTCAACTCCCACTTACTGCCCTGACGGATATGCAGATACTTTCAATCCTGATGGTGAATTGGTCGAAGGGTCTTGGCGCTCAAATATCCCGTCAGATTCATGCTTTCTGTCGACAAGTACTCTAAGGACGCGTGCTGGAAGAAGTGCAGGAAAAGCCAAATTTGTTCGGGATTGTATTAAAAACTATGTTAATTCAGAGGTTGGTGCCGTTCCCTGGCAAAATCAGCGAGTATTTGGGGTGCCAAATTCATAGTAAAATAAACGTTTAATTAATGCAACAATTTTTATTAGTGAACAAAATTTAAAAAATCATTTGTTTACATGGTATTCGCATATTTCTTAACCTCATCATAAGCTTGTTGGTAGAATCGCATACAGAGATCCTCAGCTACAATTTCAGGAACTTTGTTCAGTAGTCGTTCCAAATTGTTGAGGGGTGCTTCAAATTTGCGTGATGATTGAGACGATCCCTTTGCAGCATCCTTCCTAATTTGGACTAGTTCAGTAATAGCATTCAGTATTGGTTTTGATTCCTCATCCTTGCTATCGGCATGTCTTGACTTCTTGGTTGAGAGCATCTAGAATGGGGTACAATCATTACAAACTGCAATAGGCATATCAAAAATTCTATACGTATAATAACAGAATTACATAGTCATAATTGCTAGCCATCATCTTTGGAGTGTCTTTGCTTTCAATTGTTTTGGGTGCCGGGCCGGCTTCGTCGCTTGAAGTCTCCAGGATCGATTCTTGAGTACTTGCAGTCTCCTCCTCAAGGATTGTTGAAATTGTCCTGGCATTCACATACACGAGTAATAAATAATAAATAAACCTCAATTTACACGTATCATTAATTATTATTCCTTACTTCCTCTTTGGTTTGTTATCCGTAACAAACTTCAAATCTTCCCATAAAGCCCAGGACGTTAGAGAATTTTGTACATCGGTGTCATTTTGATCTGCGGCTTCAAGATCGTCGTTATCGTCATTATCAGAACCTGAATCTCCTGACTTGCCAATTTTAGATTTCAATCGGTAGTTCAGCGAGTCTTTCAAACATTTCCATTGTTTCTTGCATTCTGAAACTGCAAAACCGGAGGTCCATCATTTAATATTTATTATATATTCATTGTTTAATGTATGCATGCAAATAATTTTTTATCGTACCTTCCAGATCAATTATTTCAGAAACTTTATCCCAGCAAGAAGCAACCACGTCGCGTTTCTTGTAGGATAAATCCGCAATGTTCCAAAGAGCAGGGTGTTTTTTAACTGCAAGTGCCAATTGCTTCTTTTTGTCATCAGTTATCGTAATTTTTGTCTTTTTGGATTTCACTGTTGACTTCACTGTTGACTTCACTGATGACTTCACTGTTGACTTGCCCATTGTTGTTGATAGTTGGGTCGAAACGAGATGATAAACGTTTATTACGAATTAAATTGATTTCTTTCTAATTTTCAAATAAAAATAGTAGGAAGGAAACCAGATGTTATTAAGTTTAAAATGAGATTATGAGATTGCTCCACCTTCTTATTTTAAACTCCGTGGGGCGGGAGTCACTTTCCGCTCACATTTCACGTGAAAGAATTGCCTCGATTTATTAACGGAAACTTTGAGCTTACATTGAGGGTAAACTGCTCGCGCGGAAAATTCCGCACAAGTTTCACGCGAAGACCTGAGTACCACTCGGGCTTAAATTGAGCAGAATTTCTGCAAAAGTCGTTTTCCGCGCGTAAAGTCCATCGTGAGTACTAAGCTTAAGGTCTCACCTTTTTCCAAGTAATTTTTCTCAAACTCAACGAACGAATTGATGATTTGAATCGGTTCCAACTCCAAGTTCGGATATCCTCGTCCCGCAAGCAGTATAAAATTGCACGCCAGGAATACGAAGCCATGCAATTTTTGCTGAAGTGAAAATTCTCGAAATATGAACACCAGTAGGATGACTGGACAATAAATTAGCGACAGCGAGGTCTGAATCCGGGCAGAACGGATTATTTTCATGCACTTCGTTTTCACAAGTTTGTCACTCGAAGAGGATTCGAACTCGAATGGAAAGCAGTGGAGAAAGTGGATAAACTTTAAGTGACGCCGCAGTATTGGCAGGACGTGCATGGTATACATTTTGAACAATTGACCAGTTTTTAATTTTGTTAGCGATTTTACTAGATTGTGACTACGAACGAATGATTCTTTTGTAAGTAATTCGATATCCGTACAGTTAATCCGTCCGGAAGGAAATTGAATTCAGAAAGAAAGAGAAAGACATTGACTTAAAGTTTATGTACATAAAATGGATGTCAAATGTAGGCAAATTCGATACTTATGTACATATAATCACAGGTTGCAGAACTTTACGCCATTTCATTATGGTTGACATTTCGGATAGCAAATACCCCTTCTCGATTTTACTCTAATCAATGAACGGAAATGTATGCATAAATATTTCACTGTTTTGTCAACAACTCGATAATGTCTTTGATCAAACAACTCGACATGACATATAAATATTTATCAATTTTGACGGAAGAACGCCATCCTGAACGACATCCCGAGGCTTGTAACTTTTTAATTATAAGATTCTAACTCAACTTTCAAGGTTTGCATTACCCATAATAAAAATGTAAATTCTGATGATTTTGGCTTGACCTTAGTACTGAATTAAGTCCATGTTCAGCAAACAGGGAGAGTTTGATACATAAATCATTAATTTTTTTAGGAACCTCTAAGGTGTACGACGCTAAAAATACATAGTTTCAGTTTTATTCAAGTTTTGTTAATTGCATAATTTTTACTTGCTTATGAGTTAATTTGCCGTGCATAATGCTTAAATCGAGTAAATAAAAAAATTTATATGCCCTCCAATTATTGATTAGCATTTTAATTGAAACTGCACTGCTGTGTGTCTAGAAATATGTATATACCCCTTCTTAAAATAGTTTTTTTATCTTCGGATGCCGTCGCGTCGGAATCATGTTGAATCATCATGAATCACGGAATCATAGAATTAAATTGACAGTTTAACAGTGCTACATACATCTTTAAGAAACTCGTCAATTTGTTTTCGAATTTGAAACTTTTAATTGCTTATTTGTTTACAGGGTTTGAACTGTGATGATCACAAGCACTTTGTGATTTATGTGCTATTTCAGTGATTTAGATGTTACTGGAGGAATGTAAACTAAAACTACTAACCAACAACGAGTCAAGTGTAGAGCAGTTCAAGAAATTAAACACTGCATTTCACACAATTCTTCGTTTTGTGGATATGAATTTAGACAATATTAATGCAACACGTGCACATACTTATGTATATTTACGTCTGTCATGTTTCTATAGGCATGTAGACACATATTTACATATACCGACAGATTTGTAATACTTTAATATGTGATCTGGGCAAGCCAACTTTCTCCGGCTCCAGGAAATTGCATTCCACGAACGATACAAGTACATACATGTACATAGCGAAAAAACCCGGGTGAGAAGACGGTGAAAGCTCCCTTACAGCTGGGTCAGTCGCCAGTCGCAAAAAGCTTGAAGTGTCTTGTTCGCTGCATCTCAAGAAATTTACGGTCCGTAATTTAGCAAGTAAACCACTCGTCAAGTGTACATCATTTGGTTAGATCAGTATCCAGTCATATGTAAATATGTACATACACGTGTCACAATTGAACTGAAAAGGCCTGACTATTTCCTTTGAAATCCATTACGTGTATAGGTTCGATTCTTAAAAAGTCTGCCCTATGGGCGAGATGGAGGGGAAATTCGACCCGCCAAAAAATCTGACCTGCGAGGATGGGGCACTGTACATTTTGAGAAGGTCCCATCCCGCCGATTTCTTTAACTATGACGATTGTATCCCTGTCGGTCCAGACTATGACGACGATCCTCTTGAGTGGAAATCAGATGCTTTAATATTTAACGTTCCTGGACAAAAGGTTCGAGTAAAATTTTCATAGACTGATCAGCACTAACAATAGAACTTTTTTTTTCAAACTAGACCGGGATTGTCTAACTAGGTTAGCGACTTGTATTAAAAATCAAGCCAGAAATTAGAAATCGCATGGTACTTAATTTTCCATTTAATGGCCCCTTTGAAGAAAGATGTTGAGGGTCAAAGTTCATGCGTCCGCTCTGGTTTTCACCTCGCGGAGGAAAAAGCAAGAGCAAATTTACTCCGGAGACAATTATTAGAAAAAACACCAACAATTTTTTAATCGTGGAAAAATTACTGCAAACTAAAACAATATTTTTGTAATCAAAATCGGTATTTTTATAACAGAAAATTTGAAAAAATATGTTGAATAAATCTTTTATCCATATTAATGGTAAAAGAGCTAAAAACAACAATCTGCGAAAAAATATAAAGTTAAAAAAAACTTGAACCCGAAAAGTAAGGAGAGTCAGCAAAGCGGTATAATTGAGGTGTTAATAAGCGTCGGAATAAAATTTTTGAGTAAATTTTCTCTTTTTCCTCCATTCGACAAGGGCGGATGCATGAACTTTGACCCCCAAAATGTTCCTTTGAAGGAGCCTTTAATTTGCCTTAATTTTTAATAAGTATAGCCGCTAAACAATCCCCTCGTAGCTTGAATAAAAGGTTCCATTGTGAGTATTTACATATAATATCTGTTTCTAAATATTTAATTCTGGATTTGATGTTACGATGATAAGTATTGTGTAACAATTCATGAATGTGCAAAGGCTATGATATGATGCAATAAATCAACCTCAATATTTAATTATTTTCTATTTATAGTATACGATTGGATCTGGAGAAAATTTGGATGGTTTCGATCGGGAAAAACATGGACAACTTTTGATATTTCACAACAAAGCCAACGTTGACCAAGAACAGTGCCAAATTGAATGCGATGCGAGTGGAACCTTCTGGCTCCGTAGTTTGGTAAGAAGTTTAATTAACTACGAATAATTTTAAATCTGACAACGACTTAGATAAAAAATATCATGTCGAGAATTTTAACAGGGACAGACAAGCACTTTCCTGAATGGAAAATTGATTCGAGAGTCCCCCGTAAAATTAAAGTTTGGAGATATATTTTACTTTTCGCATATTCCGTCACAATTTTGGGATTCACTATCAACCAATGAAGACATGACTGTAAATGGCATTAAAAATCTGTATCGCAAAAATGTATCATGGAAAGAATATGCCGTACTCAAATTTGAGGTGAGCAAAATCAGCAATATTGGACGTAAGTATTCACGTCAACCATCGCAAATGTGCGACTTGCAATTTAACAAACTAAACCCGAATCCTCGCTTCTAGAGCCCGGCAAGTCTCATCGACTGGCAGCGGAAACAAATGGCAAGAAATGAGGACGACAATTCCAAGATCGGTTGTAAGCAGTGCTATGAATCCATGACACGTGTACTTAAAAGATGGCAAAGTGCGTATGCATTTCTTACAGCGTGCTTATCATCATTCAAAGATCCCGAGCATAATCACCCCATTTTTGAAAATCATGTCATACTGACAAAGATATTTGAACACGTGGCCAATTCAAGCGTTCCGTGCCATACCCGAAAAGACCTGTTTAACTTTCGCCTCGTCTCTCAAACATGGAATAACTCGGCTCTGCCCGTACTACAGAAAAACTGTGTGATGAACTTCACCATAATTATTGACGACCTGATCCGCAACCCAAACTGCATCACGAACCGATTCAATTGGAAGACACATCGCGTGAAGGAGCTAAAATTTGACGCTATGGATATCGACATCTGGCCGCAGGTGCACACTTGCGAGACGCGAGATAACTCTAACCGGAACAAAGCAATGACAAAATTCAACCACGATTTATCCGACTTTATAAGTCAACCAGATTTCCATCCTCTCAAAATGCTGAAAATGAATATAGATTATTTGGCCCCAATTTCAATCCTCCTCTCCAAATTTTGCCCTTCTCTGGAAGAAATTAACATTCAGATTAACATGCTGTGGATTAATGACGAAAACAAATCTGCATTCCCAGAAAATTTGAAGTTTCCAAAGTTGAAAAAGTTAACGTTCGAGTTTTGCGAGCAGAAAACTGGTGACCTGAATAAAATGTCCGGTTCTGAATCTCTTGCCCAAGTCCTACAAGCTGCGAGAGGAATTGAGGAACTTGTGTTAAAGAATTACGCCGAACTTCCCACTGATTTCGACTCTTTTAAGAATTTGAGAAAAATCACAATATATGGCCAGCCCGAGTACAATGTAGACACGTTTAATTTACTCGACTTTCTCACCCAATTCATGACCTTACCAGCAGATCAGTTACGTTCCTTCCGGCTAATCGTTGCAGAAATTGATGTCCAACACACGCCATATGACGCATTACTAAGTTTCCTTCAAAACCAGCGGCAAAGTTTGGAAACCTTGGAACTCTCCTTACACTCAAAAGATTGTATGCAAATAATAAAACTGCCGACATGTATGCCAAATCTGAAGCGAATTTGGATAAGCTCGGCAATTGATAGTGGGAGTGGGAGGCGAGGGTCGCATTCATCGTGGGGCTTTAAATTACGAAGTCAAATGGAGAAGGAGAAAAGTGAGGATTTCACGATTGAAAGCGATTCAGAAACTTATCTAACGCCGTTTGTGGTACGAGAGGGGAGGGAATGTGGTCGAGAATCGTGTCCGACTTGTGGTGACGCTTTAGTTTATGGAGAATGGCATGGACATGTCAGTCTCGTTCCAAGCGTGCAAAAGGTTTTTGTTCGGCTTATTCCATGGGAAAAGTGATAGAGAACAGTAGTATATGTATATATTTATATACACAGTATGCCCAAGTTAACTGTAAGTGAAATGAAACGCTGTAGCCTCAATAGTTTTTACGTTACACATTTCTAGTCAATTTTAACTGAAAGCCAGTTAATTTCTAAGCAGAAATCAATTTTTAGTTTTAGAAATTTCCTCCTCGTGCTTTAATGTAGCATCCAAGACGCGGCCTCGAGTACTTGACTGAAGCACGCTCTGAATCCGTGGATAATTTGTTCTGTTCCGAGGTCAAAAACTTTTTCAAAGCCTTCACACTTATACGAGGCTTAGAACACACTATTTGCCCCTAACTTTGACCATTTTTCATGATCCGGAGATTCAAATCCAGAAAGTAGAAGGACCATTCCAAAGTGGAGATAAAGTCCGGAATTTGGTTTTTTGACCACGTTTTCATCATTTTTTGCACTTTGCACTGGTGCTGAGTCCCGTTGCAAGGTCCTGTCGACTCCATTGAGTCGGATCTCACTTAGGGGATGTCCCACGGACTCAAAAATGTTTTTTGTGAAATTTAATTTATTCATCTTCCCCCCATTTTCGACAAAATTCTGAAGAATTCCCCAACCAGCTCTCACTTACAAAAACCATCACAAGACCAGGATAATGCGACTTTCTAACCTTTTGTCTATATTGGGGGATGCCTTTGACCGATTTGGCGTAGATAAGGTCAACTCATTTGTTAAAAGATTTTCCCGATGTGAAAATCTCCTCATCTGTAAAAAGAATCCTCTTAACTTTTTTGGAGCGTACCGCTTGAGGAGAGCCCTTCATTTCTTTAGTATGGCTTTCTTTAAGGGTTTGATCAGCAGGTGGCAAGTACTTCGTTTCAAAGCCCTAAGCCTAAGGTTCAGTTTGAGCACTCATTGGATAATCTACATCAACAATGTCAGCCGTGAGGCTATTTTCCGTTGAAATTTCGGTAATTTCTTCAGATTCTAGCCTTTAGCGCGTTCACGATGGGTGTGGCCCTTGGGGGTTTTAAAAAAAATTTCTTCGACTGTTCTTAGTCGACCCGGTCCCCATGAACGTTTTTATAGTCCGCTGGACTAAATTAAAGTGTACATTCGATTCCTGTCACACTTTCAAATTCGCATTTTCTCTCCCCATTTTTTTAGTGAAAAATTTTCGCCACCCGCTTCCATTCAATATTTTCCATGCTAATCTGCTTTGCAGTTAGCAAAAAACTGATTTCTGGTTCTTATGCAAAATTGTACGGGGAATCCAATGCACTCATCAGATTTTTATTATCTCTAGCAGTTTCGAAGAAAATAGCTACTTACAGTTAACTTGGGCATACTGTGTACAGTGCTGCTGTAACACAATGTCGATCATTCTATTGCTTATTATTGGTAGTCTGATTTGACAATATCCGATCACTGTGGTGTTGGGGGTAAAATAAAAAAACAGAATTAACTGGATTTTATGTTACGAAATTTATTGTGCCTGAGCAACTCAGGCGGAAACAGAGTGGGGTCTAAGCAAAAACGGTTTGTGGGGTACCATGTTTTGGAAGTTTGTCGAAGCATTAATAGAAATTTTGTTTCCAAAAAAATTAAGTTTAAAAATTATGGGGTCATGTCGAAAATCGAAATAAAAATTTAATGAAATGTAAATGCCGAACAAAAGTACAACCCTGCTTACTTCACTTTATGCATTTTTATGAACGATACGCGTAGTATAGAGATTATTTAGTGTTTGATTTCTTGCACCTTTTCCTCGTTTCTTGCACTGCACTGTAAAACTTGCAAGACATTCAATATTCAAGAAATTTGTACTACAATTAATTATAAGGATTGACCGCTGGCTGGTGTACATTTCTTGCATATTGTGCTCCAGGAAGATGATCGTTCTCCAAGGAAATTGTACTAAACGTCTTCATCAGATTGCTCCCCCTATACCGATATGGAAAAACTCTGTAATTAAGGTACGTCTCATACTAAGGACTCAACTGTAGTCCATTCATCGGCACTTCATGCACATTCCAACCCCATAGTTTTGTAGCTGTATTTTTAATAGTACCAAAATTGTACTTGATATTTCACTATTAAAGCTACCTTCATCTCAAGTCTTATGAAATTAGATCGATCTTAGACATTTCCATGTAAAGACATTGAATAAGGGTTTTTAGGGTTCGTTGAAAATCAGTACCACATCAACGCCTCATCCAGTAGCACCTTAATAGGTCGACCAACACTTGACATGAATGGGAAATGAACAATGTTAACATTTCTCACGAAGGTGGGAAACGATATCATTGAAACAAATGCAAATATACTTTTGAGTTTATGCCTGAGTCAGGATTTCACTAAAATAGACTTTCTCCTAATGTCCAGGGTATGCAAATAAATTCCTAACATTTTGGGAACTTTTCGGGTACGGCACAAATGACCTGGATATTGTATGTAGCTCTATGTTAAACTGTATAATTCAGTTGACTCAAATGCATAGACACAAATATGCATATAAGGCAGGGTCAAATATGCATCTCTTTTTTTACGTAGGCACATACATACATATGTACAAAAAGACCTGTACGAGTTTAATATGTGATCCGGGCAGGCAAACTTTCTCCGGTTCCAGGAAATAATGTTTTACTAGATAGCGAATAAACCCGGGTGAGTAGGTGATGTGAACTCCTCAGCAGCTGGGTCAGGTCAGAAAGATTGCAGTGTCGTTGCATATTAAAAACCTTCCAGTCGACAATTCACTTCAGAAAATTTCAGGTAAACCATTCGTCAAATACTTGTGTACTGTAATATGTATCTACCTCTGCATGGTTAGACCAATAGCTACATAAATATTTACATACATTCGTAAGAATTGAAATGAAAAGCCATGAATATTTCCCCATAATTCCACCACGTGTAGATTCGATTCTTCAAAATTCTACCCCAATGTATTAACCTTTGGCGAGATGGAGATGAAGAAAAATCTGATCTGTGAGGATGGAGCACTGTGCATTTTGACAAGGTCCGTTGTCAAAGTAGGGCTTGACTTTCGCTATTGCATCCCAGTCGGTCCAGAGTCTGACGTCGATCCTCTGTGGAAACCAGTTGGCTTAATTCTCAATGTTCCTGGTGAAAAGGTAAGAATACAATTTTGAATAAATATTCAGCCAAAATCAGAATTTTTCAAAACGCTCTAAATTTTCAAGTTTTAACCCGATTTCAAAAATTAAACAAACCGTAAATATGCTCAAACATTTAAGTATACTGTTTCTAAATAATACTTTATGTAGTACACGATTGGGTCTCAGGAAAATTCGGATGATTTTGATCGAGAAAAATGTGGGCAGCGTTTAATATTACGCAACAAATCGGACGTTGCGGAAGAACAGTGCCAAATTGAATGCGATGCGAATGGGACCTTTTATCTCCGTAGTTTGGTGAGTTTAATTAGATAAGTACGACTAAATTTTAAATCTAAGTTATCTAAATAAAAGCATTTGGTCAAAAATTTTTACAGTGGAACACATGTCCTTTCCTGAATGGAAAATTGATGCAAGTCTTCCCCGTCGAGTTAAATTTTGGAGATATATTTTACTTTTCGCATATTTCATCACAAATTTGGGATTCACTTTTGACTAATGAGGATCAGACTTTGAATGGTTGTAAGAGTCTGTACCGCAAAAACGCATTGTGTCGAAATAAAGAATATGCAGTACTCAAATTAGAGGTGAGTATGTAAAATCAGAAATATTGGGCGTACTCACATCAAAGTCAACCATTGCAAATCTGGTAACTTAAGCATAACTTAAGTTTTGGAATTTGCGAGATTATCAAAACCTTTGTTTGAAAACGATGAGATTTTTATTCGCCACTTTACCCAGCCTGGACATGCATGTTTTGATTTAGCAAGATTTAGCAAATCCACCCTCACACCTATGTATACATCAATTGATGTATGTGGCACACTACATACATCAATTTTCTACATTTAGCTTTGTGACATTTGCGAAATCACATTTTGCCAATCCCTTAACGACACAAATTACGTATGTATTCGAGCTTCACAAAATGCTAAATCAGTTCAACTTAAGCGCGACTTATTTTGCATCACAATTGGACCAGTTACGATGTCGTGAGTACGCCCACTATGAAAACTTATATTTAACAAGAGAAACTTAATATTTAAATTCTACGTAAATCTAAATTTTATCCTCCCTTGCAGAGATTGACAAGCATCACTGAGAGGAAGCCGAAACTAATAACGACTACAATCTCGAGACCGGTTGCGACCAGTGTTGTGAACGTGCAACTATGGCATGTGCCCTTAAAGGATGGCAAAGTTTGTTTGCAATTCTTACAGCGTGCTTACCATCGTTCTTACACACTCATCCGATCTTTGAAAATCGTCTCATACTGACAAACATATTTGAACACGTGGCCAACTCAAACGTTCCAAACCCCATAGAGGACCTCTTCAACTGCCGCCTCGTCTCTCACGCATGGAACGACGCGGTTCTGCCCGTCCTACAAAAGAAATGCGTGATGAAATTCAGCATAATTATTGACCAAGTGATCCGCGACCCTTTCCACGTAACGAGCACACTTTACTCGAAAATCAACCGGATGAAGGAGCTAAAGTTTGACGCCATGAAAATTGATGTCTGGCCACAGAGGTACAGTTGCAACACCCGGGATAACCCAGACCGGAACAAAGCAGTGATAAAATTCAACAAAGACTTATCAACATTTTTAAACTTATCAGATTCCCACCCGCTCAAAATGCTCAATATTAATATGGATTATTTGACCCCAATTTCAATCCTCCTCTCCAAATTTTACCCTTCTCTGGAAGAAATCTACATTCAGATTAACATGTTTTGGATTAATGATGAAAACAAATCTACATTCCCAGAAAATTTAAAGTTTCCAAAGTTGAAAAAATTAACGCTCGAGTTCTGCGAGCAAAAGAAAGGTGACCTGCAAAAAATGTCTGATTCTAAATCTCTCGCCCAACTCCTCCAAGCAGCGAGAGGAATTGGCGAGCTTGTGCTAAAAAATTATGCAAAACTACCCACTGACTTTGACTTGTTTAAGAATTTGAGAAAAATCACGATTTACGGCCAGCGCAAGTATCGTGTAAAAATGCTGAATTTACGCGATTTTCTCACCCAGTTCATGACCTTACCGACCAATCAGCTACGCTTATTCCAAGTAGTCATTGCAGACATTCATGTCCAACCCGTCTTAGAGGAAGCATTGTTTGACTTCATTCAAAAACAGCGGAAGAGTTTGGAACACTTGGAACTCTCCTCCAACTCAAAATTTCTTTACCAGCCTATAAAATTGCCGAGATGCATGCCAAATTTGAAAAAGTTACGGATCGGTAGCGATAATTCTAGGAGGGGGTCGGATCACTCATCTTTCGTGGTACGTGAAGGGAGGGCATGCAGTCGAGAATCGTGTCGTAGTTGTAATTTGTGTGGAGTATGAAGCGTATATGATGGACAATTATTTATTTATTTATGGTTTCCGAAAAGTCTACAAATTTTGCTAAAAATAAATTCATAATGATAAAAACTAGGTACTCATTTTGTTTGCTATTGTTGTGAAAGCAAATAAATAATTTTAGCTCAATTTATTCTCTTTAGAAGAAAAATATTGCGAGTTGAGTAGCATCAATTTTGTGCATGATTTACTTTATTTTACACTGAATAGAACTCCCAGGAATGAGTAATGACTCAAAAATTGAAAACAATGGACTTATCAGTTCTCTTGCCTGTCTCATATGCTGGAAACTGTAAGAATTAGAGGACCAAAGCTATTCCGCCATGTTTTCATAGCTACATACCTAGGTACTTATGTAATTTCTGACATGAAAGTTAAGAAAATGATGCATTTTGGAAGCCCGTTGTGTATGAAGATAAAATGCATTTGCAAAGCATTTCTCTTCACCATCAGGCACATATTTACCAGTGACCAGTACATACACGTGTATGCATTTATATTTATGTATGCGTCAATGCACGAGGTTGCCTATACTGTGCTCCGGGAAAGCAAACTTTCTCCGTCTCCACGAACTTTCCTTTTTGGGTCCTTTTTGTATTCCATAACTCACCCGGCTGACGAGACGATAAAATTTTCGTAAATAAGCCTTGCTTAATATAAACAACTTATTTTCGTCCATGGTTCATCAAAATTTCGTGTACAGACATAAATCAGTTATCGATTCACTAACATAACATCAATTTAGATAGCTCAACTTCCTAAAATCTGACATGAAAACACAAATAATTACATACGTCTTCCTACCTACATTTGTCAGTAATGTAAACCTCTCCTTGAAAAATCTCGCCTATTAATCAATTCAACGTTTAGATGGGGAGAAAATCCATCCCTTCAAACAGTTCGATCTGTGATGATGGGGTCCTGTTTATTTTGACGAGGATTTCTCTCAGCCGTGGGTATGGAACTGATCAACGCGTCCGTGTACGGATAAACTCTGACGTCAATCAGCCTTACTGGACGCGAGAAGTCATACTTCTTAATAATCCTGGCCGAAAGGTTTGTACAAATTTGAATCACTCTTGTTGTCTCATAATTCAGCGTTTACCATGGAAAAAAATCACCTGCATGAAATTGGTTTTTGGCAGGCATAATTTATTGTATGAGTACCAGAAGTGCAAGGAATAAGCTCCAGGACAATCCCTATAATTAAGGATAGTAGGGAGTTGTAAGCCGTTAGGTGGCACCTACATAATTTTTTGCATTTCTTGCGGTGTAGTGAAAGAAATGTTGAAAACGCGGATGAAATAAAGCGAATACTTCACTCTTAAATAATTCTGTATTTAGTACACAATTGGATCTGGGAATGATTTGGAGAATTTGGATCCAGAGAAATATGGCCAGTTTCTTATATTTAGGAACAAAGCGGATGTGGCTGAAGAGCACTGCCAAATCGAATGTGATGAAAATGGAACCTTTTGGCTGTATAGTTTGGTAAGCTTACAATGCTTACAGTTAATTTTAATTATTACCCTTCCCACTTCCCAGCTTACTTCAGGCAGGCGAGCCAACATATTTACGGTCGATTACACGGGGATGGTGTGAGGTGTTGCGCTCTGTTTGAAGAAAAACATGTGGCAATCCTCTGAATGGAGTCTTCTGATCAACCTGTCAGCTGTGCCAGGGTATGTATATCCCAAGGTGAGTTAGAAAACCACACCTCCCCCCCTGGGGGTGTGGTCGGGGGAAGATGAGATTTTTGCTAAAATTGAATCTAAAGATGAAATGAAGAGAAATTGCGTGTTCCCGCGACGTGTCGCACCCCCACCAACCCAGGGGGTGTGGTTTGGGGGAAAATGAGATTTTTGTTGAAATTGAGTCTATGCATGAAATAAAGTGAAAATATATGTGTTCACGCGGTGTCATGGGCATGCTTGGTGTGAATTGAGACTGAAGGTGCTTGTTTATGTGCGTTTGCCACGGTTCATTTATAACTATATCTATTAATTATAAAAAAATAACTTCAATGCTCCAATGCTTTATTTCTTTATATGACCCTCTATTAAACTAAAGTGAAAAGATTGGGTATTTAAAATCAAGCGATATGCATAAAGTGAATAATTTGCGCTTCTGAGCCACCACTATCAGAATGGTAAACGGGTTGGGATACAAGTTCTTCGCAATTCAGTCCGTGGTAAATGGCGATGCTTCAAAGCGCAGCAGCCACAGCTTGAATGCATGCATGGATTTGCATACCAAGCTGTGTAACACTATTATGCATTGTTGATAACAGTGCATAATAATAATTCTCAATTCACACCAAGCATGCCCATGACACCGCGTGAACACATATATTTTCACTTTATTTCATGCATAGACTCAATTTCAACAAAAATCTCATTTTCCCCCAAACCACACCCCCTGGGTTGGTGGGGGTGCGACACGTCGCGGGAACACGCAATTTCTCTTCATTTCATCTTTAGATTCAATTTTAGCAAAAATCTCATCTTCCCCCGACCACACCCCCAGGGGGGAGGTGTGGTTTTCTAACTCACCTTGGGATATACATACCCTGGCACAGCTGACAGGTTGATCAGAAGACTCCATTCAGAGGATTGCCACATGTTTTTCTTCAAACAGAGCGCAACACCTCACACCATCCCCGTGTAATCGACCGTAAATATGTTGGCTCGCCTGCCTGAAGTAAGCTGGGAAGGGTAATACTTGGATTAAACAAAAATACCTGCATCACCGTATACAAAAATTTTTTCACAGGGATCCGCAAACACATTTCTGAACGGAAAATTAATTCCAGATTCTCCGGTCATGTTAAAATTTGGAGACATATTTCACTTTTCGCATATTATTTCACAATTATGGGATTCAGCATTAATTCATCTAACCAAAACTGGATATCGAAAGAGGCTGTATCGCATGAACAAATTGGGTGAGGAATACGCCGTATTCAAATTTGACGTAAGTTACACAAACAAGAAATATGAAACACGAAATAAATATTTTAGATTTGGAGAATTCAATTCGTATTAATCAAAATTTTATATTTCCTTGCAGAAAAAGCCAACCAATAGTTATGAAAACAAACAACCTGGACAAACTTTCTACCAATTCTCAAGACTGTCAAAAATCCTTAATTAATCACCTCGTTTTTGAAAACCATGTCATACTCACAAAAATATTCGAACACCTCGCCAACCCGGACCCAGGGTTTCCCTGGAACCAGGAGGACCTTCTCAACTGTCGCCCAAGCATGGAATGACTCGGCTCGACTCGTTCTACAGAAAAATTATGTTGTAAAACTCACCGTAATTGCTGACCACCTGATCCACAAACCAAACTACGTAACGAACCGATTTTTTTGGAAAACGTACCGCATGAAGGGGCTAAAATTTGACGCTATGTATATCGATATCTGGCCACAGGAATCCAGTTGCGAGACACGAGATAACCAAGATCGAAACAACGCAATGACAAAATTTAACCAAGATTTATCCGACTTTTTAAGTCAACCAGATTTCCACCCTCTCAAAGTTCTCTGGATAAATGTAGATTATTTGACCCCAATTTCAACCCTCTTCTCCAAATTTTACCCCTCTCTTGAAAAACTCTACATTCAGATTAACATGCTCTGGATTGATGATGAAAACAAATCTGGATTCCCTGAAAATTTAAAATTTCCAAAGTTGAAAAAGTTAACGCTCGAGTTCTGCGAGATTAAGCAGGGTGACCTGAATAAAATGTCGGACTCTAAATCTCTCGCCCAACTCGTCCAAGCAGCGAATACAGAATAAAATTGAGGAGCTTGTATTGAAAAATTACGTCAAACTTCCCCTCTCCGACTTCAGCTCGTTTAAGAATTTGAGAAAAATAGAGATTCGCGGTCAGCGAGTGTGTCGCGTGGAAATACTGAATTTGCACGATTTTTTCACCCAGTTCATGACCTTACCCACCGGTCAACTTCGTTCATTCCGGTTAATCAATGCAGACACTGATATCCAATCCACCCCAGCGGAAGCATTGCTGAACTTCATTCAAAAACAGAGGCAGAGTTTGGAACACTTGGAACTCTCCGTCAACTCAAAATTTCTTCAGCAGCCTGTAAAACTTCCGAGATGCATGCCAAATTTGAAAACGTTATGGGTGAGTGGGGACCGTGATAGGACGGGGTCGGATTATTTGTGGGGGGTCATTTTAGAGAGCCAGGTGGCGAAGAAGAGCGGGGAGTTTACGTACGAATTCAAGTCGAGAGTGGCGCCTTTCGTGGTACGTGAGGGCAGCAAATGTGGTCTGGAATCGTGTCGCAGTTGTAATGATGCTTTGGCGTATGGTGTCTGGCAGAAAAATTATGGACAATAAGTTATAGATATTCCAATACTTGGAAAATAGAAATTTGAGCTTGCGTGAAATGAATTGGATGTGAAAATAAATTGCCTTATCAATTGAAGTGTACCGAAAATATTACCAATTTTTAAAAATTACTCATGTTGTGAGGTTGAAGTTGAAAGCAAATAAATAATTTTATCTCGATTTACTCTCATGGAAGAAAAATATTCAGTGTTAAGTACTATCAATATTTGGCATTACTATTTTTGCAAAACTTTTGACACTTCATGATTTTTTAGTGGTTAAAAACTATTGTAAATAAACGTCTTTAACAAAAAGTACGTTGGGAGAATTAATGTTTACTGACACGGATGTACCTACAAATAAGAAAAGAACTTTCTTTTTTAATAGTTCAAGTTTTCGATCTCGATTGCGATCGTCATCAGACCAATTTAAAAAATACATTTGCAAATCATTTCGTTTCGCCATATATGTAGATGCATACAATTCTTAAATACACGTCTATGCATGTTTACATATATGTGCATTGTGTAGGCAGAAGATATTCATGTATAGGTATGTACATATCTGAGTAATACGAGCTCGGCGACACTGTGCTCCGGGAAAGCGAACTTTCTCCGTCTCCAGGAAACTTTCACCAACTGCATTGCATGACTCACCCGGCTGATAAAAACTCCGTAAATAGGTTTTGGTTCATGTTAACAACTTACTGTGTTTCATTCATTGGCATTTGACCCGCATAAATCAGGCACCGATTTCATCAGCATAAAATCAATTTAGAATTTTAGCTCAACTTTGACTCACTATTTCCAAGCCAATAATTTAGAAGTGAACGTGAAGATACAAATTAACTTACATTTTCACTACATAAATTTATCAGGAATGTATATCTTTAGTTAAAAAATCTCGCCTATTAATTAATTCAATGGAGGAGCAATCTATCCCCCCAAAAAATTCGGTCTGTGAAGATGGGGTCCTTTTCATTTTGACGAGGAAATCGCCCCCACCCTGCGATGGGTGTGGCGGTGATCATTGCGCCACACCCATTAGTTCACGTACAAACTCTGACCTCACTTCGATTGACTGGAAGCGAGAAGCCATCCTTCTTAATAATCCTGGGAGAAAGGTTAGTCAAATTTTAATCAATTTGATTGCACGGGTACATATTCAGTGATTGGTATCAAAAAATCGTCTGTAAGAAAATACTGGAAGAAATTGTTTTTAATGGGCATAATTTCTTGCATTAACGCAAAAATTGCAAGCAATTAAAATAAGCACCACCTTGCACACAAGTGTACAAATACTGCAAAGGGTAGCTCATATTTCTTGCATTTTTTGCACTTCTTGTAGTGCAAGTATTTAATGTGAAAAATATGTAAGAAACTGCGAATACTTTACTCTTAAATAATTCTAGTACACAATTGGATCTGGGAATGATTTGGAGAATTTGGACCCAGAAAAATATGGACAATTTCTGATATTTCGGAACAAAGCGGATGTGACTGAGGAGCACTGCCAAATCGAATGTGATGAAAATGGAACTTTTTGGCTGCATAGTTTGGCAAGTTTAATTAATTTTAATTACTTGCATGCAATTAAAATACCTGCATCACCGTATAAAATTTTTTTAACAGGGATCCGCGAAGACTTGTCTGAACGGAAAATTAATTCCAGATTCTCCCGTCATGTTAAAATCTGGAGACATTTTTCACTTTTCCCATATTTTTTCACAATTATGGGATTCAGTACTGATTCACCTAGTCAACATTGGAGACGGCAAGAGGCTGTATCGCAAAAACAAATTGGGTGAAGAATACGCCGTATTCAAATTTGATGTGAGTTGCACAAACAAAATACATGAGATAGATATGTAATAATTGCAAGATTTAAATAATAAGCGTACTCACGAAGTCAACTCATTTCGCATAACTTTTTCTGCAACGCCATAGGATTTTTTTTACAACTAAACATGTTTTCATGAATAGCATAGTATATCTTATTCCACGGTTTTTACTTAGCAAAATTATTTCGCAAACTCGTCGTGACCAGCACCAGCAAGAGAAATTACATCAAAATACGTGATTTTATGCATAAGTAAATATATTTCCGAAGTCATATTTTGCGAATCTCATGATGAAATAATGTTTTTGATCTTCGCAAAGTTATTAAGGGAATCGCGACACTAAATAAGACGTTGTCGTGAGTACGCCCAATTCAACCCCCAACATCGTAAACTTAAAATTTAAATGTTATATTTCCTCGCAGAAGCTGACATGTGTCACTGAAGAAAAGCGACCCCTGCCTAAGAAAACAAATATCCCGGACAAATCCGTGACCGAGTCTCAAGATCGTCAAAAATCCTTAATTAATCACCTCGTTTTTGAAAACCACGTCATACTCACAAAAATATTCGAACACCTCGCCAACCCGGATCCAAGTGCACCCTGGAACCAAGATGACCTTTTTACCTGTCGCCTCGTCTCCCAAGCTTGGAATGACTCGGCTCGACTCGTACTACAGAAAAATTTCGTCCTAAAACTCAAAATAACGATGGACGAACTAATCCGCAATCCAAACTACATCACGAATCGATTTTCTTGGAAAACGTACCGTATGATGGAGCTAAAATTTGACGCTATGAATATCGATATCTGGCCACAGAAATGGAACTACCAGACTCGAGATAACGACGACAGGATCAAAGCAATGATAAAATTCAACCAAGATTTAGCCGCATTTATAAATCCAGATTTCCACCCTCTCAAAGTGCTCACCATGAATATAGATTATTTGACCCCAATTTCCATCCTCCTCTCCAAATTTTGCCCTTCTCTAGAAGAAATCTACATTCAGGTTAACATGCTGTGGATTAATGACAAAAAGATATCGGGATTCCCAGAAGATCTGATGTTTCCCAAATTGAAAAAATTAACACTCGAGTTTTCCGAACACACACGAGGAGACCTTCAAAAAATGTCAGATTCTAAATCTCTCGCCCACCTCCTCCAAGCTGCGAATGGAATTGAAGACCTCGTCCTACAAAATTACGCCAAACTTCCCCTCTCAGAATTCGACTCTTTTAAGAATCTGAGGAAACTTACGATTTACAACCAGCGCGAGTATCAAGTCAGAATTTTGAGTTTACACGACTTTCTCACCCAGTTCATGACCTTGCCAAAAGGTCAGCTACGATCGTTCAAACTGGTCACGAGAGGGACTGAGATCCAATCCACGCCGGAGGACGCCTTGCTCTCTTTCTTTCAAAATCAGCGTCAAAGTTTGCAAAACTTGGAACTCAGCTTAAACCAAAGAGACGACATTAAACTTATAAAACTGCCGAGATGCATGCCAAACTTGAGAAAATTGTGGATAAGTGCGAGTGATGATAGGACGGGGTGGAATTCCTCGTGGGGGTTCAAATTAGGGAGTCAGGCGGCGAAGGAGGTTGGAACTTTCACGGTTGCAGTTTGTTCGGAAATGTTGCTAGCACCGTCGGTTGTACAAGACGGGCGGAAATGTACGCAAAAATTGTGCCGAAGTTGTAATGATTCTTTAGTGTATGGCGAATGGCTTGGACATGAGGGACCTTAATTTGGGAGTTTTATTCTGAACTTGAAAAATGTTTAGGCTTGTAATGAAGTTGTATGTGATTTTGTTTCAATAATTGTATGATGTTTACTGTATGTGTGTAATGATTACGAATTCTGCTACAATAAATATTACTACATACATAATAATGAAGGATACATACAAATATATCCATAATAGCAACGAGTTTTGGGATGCGTTGAAATTATTCTTATTATTGAAATATTGTTGCACATTTTTGCTTACGTGCCTAGGTATTTTTAACGTTACTGTTAATTACAATTATAATTAATTACAGAGGTATGTATGTAAGCATTTCAGAACGAATGCAATTCGTAAAAATTCCGGTAAATTGGGCAGTCATAATTTCAAATCTTAAAAAAGCATGTGCATCTACATATGTGTACATTGACAACTTATACTTTATATTGTTTGTAAAATTGAATTGAAAATATTGCAATGTGTTTAATATCAACCCGCCGAATCTTTGACAGACCTCACTCACGAACGTTTTCAATATTTCGATATCTCAACAACCATCGGGACGGGGTTGGATATTTCGAGATTATGTATGTACATTCCCTACTGCTCGGCAAAACAATTTGTCTGCCTTACCTCAAAGTATACAAAGTTGCCCTAAGTGATTAGTGATTATAAATAAATGCGTATCGAAATATTTGTGCACATAGACGATATTATACACTTATTTTAATTAACCTTTTCCATCATATTGCGTCCTCGCAAACAGACGAGGACATATTACGTTTTACTAAATAAATAAATGCCATGCCGAAAAAAAACAACTTTAAAAACAACAAGCTTAAATATTACTACCAGTAACTAGGTAACTACATTCATGCACGCAAACGTATGTCCTTAGAGGTGACTACTAGTTACACGGAAGCCGCACGCTTCAAAAGTTCAAACCACTTAACTACATAGATTTCCTAGTTAATTTAAACTACGCCACACAGGAAGCTCAAAAAGCCAATAAATATGTTCTTGTTTCTTATTCTATTCACAAGAGGTTCTCATCTGAGACAAAACCAACGGACAAAATGGCTATAAAATTGTTAGCATTTATTACCGTAATTATAAACCTCACCGTATCAGGTAACGACTCTTTTGAACATCTCTTCAATGGAATCACCAACTGCGATTTCCTTATCATTTATGATAACATATTTTCTGAAAGTTTCCTCCTCGCCGCTACATCCCATCCCACCAGGATCATCAAGATGCTTTATATCTACAAACAGCATCACGTGCTTAGTTGGTACACCCGCAAAAAGCAGATGTTCCCGCTTCTTACCGACATTGCTCAATCTCACCATTCCCCATGCAAAATTAGCATTTTACTATCTCGCGCATTATCCCAGAATGGATCTCCCCTTAGCGGAAAGGAATTTAGAAGATGGATCGAAATTTCGACCACCTTCAATTCATACTTCCACGATCCAGATGCAATTTACCCCAAGGAAAATCTCCTCCTGGACAGAAAATTTATAACATCCACGATAAATACTTTTGTGTTTGTCTTTACCAAATTAAATTCAGGAAGAGACGGAGCGCTAAACATCATGATGAAAACGTTTGATTCATACGTTAAAGGAGTTTATATTCCGTACGACATCCAGAATTTAGCATTCGTCTTTATTTCCGCGACAAAGAGGGAGCTGTGCTCTGTAACTGGAAGAGTGCGACTAAGCATGTCCGAAATACACTGTGTCACCATGACAGTCGGAAATATTTTGCAAAACTACTTCAAAACGTATAAATTCTCTTCTTTTTGGCACTATATTAATGGCATATCAATTTCCGATGATCTCAGTCATGAAATTATTCATGGCACAATACCTTCTACTACACACCTTAACCCCTTCGATTATACCGCTTCGTTCGATATTTATCTCTACGTGGCACAAATTATCACCGCAAAATCTAATTCTAGTTTAACCAACTCCGAAGACATTTTCCCTACAATCACGTCCGAAACAGTCCATTTTGACGCCTCGTCTAAAAATGTGCTCACAAAAGCGAGCACTTTCAATTTTCTGTCATGCTACGAAGAGAAATATATCTCTTTCGGATTTTACCTGATACCATTCATGCCTCAGTTGTGGTACGCGTTGTTGATCTTTTTAGGTGTAAAGATCGCCATCCTGATGGCTTTCAAATGGATCTACCTTCGTAGCGAGGTTATCTCGTATAGTTCAATGTGGCTGCTGCTGGTCGCCATGCTTCTGGACGATTCAGCCCCGGTACCACAGAAGCTCGAAAATACGCAGTTTTACCGCTTAATCCTCTCAGTTTGGGGTCCTGTCGCCGTTCTTTTGACGAACTGTTACAGCAGTTTGATGATCTCAGATTTGAACGCGCCTTTAAGTGGTGCCACCCCGGAATCGTTTGAAGATCTTGTATGCGAGAAATCATCCCTCGTGGGGCGAAGCGAGTACTATGTCAATGTTACGAAAATGGAATTAACCACGATGCAACAAAATTTGAACAAGCCTCGGGTCATATCGGATTCATTTTTTGACCCAGGTTGTTTTCGACTCCTAATGGTGCAAGACTACAACGATGAACGGATCTCAAGGTTTTATTTCGCGCTGGAATATATTAAGGACGACTTGGAAAATTTGGCGAGAATGGGAGTTACTCAGATAAGAAGGGAGCAGCTGATCCAGTTTTTACTGTTGAGCGACAAGCATGCCACCTTACCGAGAAGGATGATAAGTCTGATACAGAAAATGGGGTATGGTGCGATGCCGATGTATCAAAAGTACGTTGAGGAGGAGATTTCTCTTTGTGAGAAAAGTGTCCTTGCCGGAGAGAATTATCAAATTGATACGGAATTTGAATATTACGGGGGAAAATATCCTTGGAAAAAGTTTTATAAGGGGAAGGATAGCTTGAGACCTTCGGTAAGAGTGTGGAGCTTTGAAGGTGGCGGTCGTGGGTCAAAGGTTCCAAGGAATTTTGAGGCACTGTTTGAGTCTGGAATTTACGCGAAATTGGAGAACCAGCTGGCTCGTCGAATATATGCGAAGAGGGGGAGAAGATCGCTTAATGGGGAAGAGTTGGATAAGCCAATGTCCGTGTATGGGGGGATTGTTACGTTATTCATGGTAACTGGGGTGATTGTATCGATGGGGGGTGTTCTTTTCGTAATAGAGAATTATGGGGTGATGTGCGATTTTTGGTATAAATATTTTGCAGGTTTGAATTTAACGGCAAAAATTTGCTCGTTCAAAGGGAAGGTCTTACGTAACAAGTTTAGTAACCAGTTTAGACGGGTTTGGGATAAGGTATGCCCGTCTTGAACAATTTGAATTCCAGCGCCAAAGTTCGACTCAGGACACATTCTATGCCGATAAAACCTTGCAGATTTTCTGAAATGTAACTAATTTGCATATGTAATGACTAGTACAATATAAGTAATAATTCCAAATGATAAAAAATGCATGCATAAAACAAAATTGTATTTGGTTGAATTATTTATTAATCGACAAATTCATAAATTACTGACGTCGTTTTTATTAAATTAAGTAACCTAGAAGTAACCTATCATTCCGCCGTTCCCGTTGTCCGTTTCTGGCTTCCCTCCAAGCGTACAATTTCCCGCCGTGCATTCCTGAATCCATCCATCGAAAGATGGCGCACGTGTGAAAACTCCTACCTAATTTTTCCACGAAATTCAAACCAGATTCAACTCATTTCCAAACAGCGAAACTGGCATAATTACTAATAAATACATACATTTTTATTGTTGCATGGCTGATTTTTATCCGTTCCTGGACTGGCGAAGCTCGCAATGCCATATAACACTCTTCCATATCCGGTCGGACTTTTACAATGTAATGGACCTAAAAAAGATCAAATCATCGTCATAGAAGTGCCATTGCACATAATTTGCTGCCGAGTTGAACCCAGTGGCCGCGAATCTGTCCCCCCGTGGGAACGAGGGGTAATGTCCCCATCATCTGCCCATGTTATGTAAACCCCTCCCTCCCTTATCCTACAATGTTTATCTCCCCAGAAGACCCCATGACTTCCGCGGACCCTGGTTGAACCACTGGATCACAACCTTCGCGTGAAGCGCCTGAATAAAATGCCGAAAATAAATATTCATACCTCCCGCATCACCTAAATAAATTCAAAGTTTCTAAGTAGTAAATGTGCATTCCATTAATTATGGTTTTTAAGTTTTCCTCGAGAGATTATAATTACCGTAACACATGCTTGCGCCATGGCCACCCCCACATGTCGCTAGGTTCGAGTTGTAGTCCTTACTTCCATACTTGTCCGCACACAACTTGTTCACTCTTACCTTGATACGGGCATAGGTTTGATCCCTCCTTTTTTCATCTTTACTCCCACTGAACGTTCAAAAATTAGTGGGACAATGAAAACACAATAAAATAACACACAATCTCTAAATATACACATATTTTTCTTGAATATCTTACTCAACATAGCCAAATCCACTCAGGATACATTCGGCTGGAGAAATGGCGAAATTTACAAATTTGTCTTGCCATAATTTTTCAAGAACATTAGAAAATTGCTTACTCTCTGCCGGTAATCGTGTCGCTTGTTGAGTTGGGATGGGTCGAATCGTGTTTCCGAGTACGAAAGGATTTTCCACTTTAAGAATGGCAATGTCGTAGAGCAAATGTGGTGGTTTATATTTTGGGTGTGGATGGACACTCTTTACGGAGCGACGTTTCCCCCTCCCGATCGATATAGCTCCGGCCAGGACGGAGAGATCGGCGTCCCTCGCGACAACGCCGTTTGACGAAACCACGCTAGAATTTAAACAGTATCTATATAATACGTAAATAAGTATTCTTTTTATGAAAAGATGGACCAAATTAAAGTTGTGTAGGATTTACTCAAGGTTAAGTAAAATGGAGGGTGACGAAACAATTGGGTAAAATTTATACAACGTTTTCCCAATTATTGTTGCATCCTCTATTTTACTCAACCCATGAGCTAATCTTCCACATTTTTTTAGAACGAGCTTAAATTCGATGTTGTTAGATCGCCTCGAATTTTTGTAGTGCTTAAAGTTACACCCAAGTTGAAGTACCAATGGGCTGCCGTGATGATGGTATTGACATCGTGCAGGATTCCTGTGCAGGACTTGTCATTCCTTAATTCGACTTCGACCACGAATGGCCATTGTCCCAATTTGGAGTAGAATCCGCCATAGACACGATCTCCGTCAGGTTGTTCTTCAAATGGGTCCAGCCCGTCCGTGTCCTCATCTTGACCATCATCTGGATTCGGATTCGGAAAACCGGAACTGGGTGGTCTGCCTCCTCCCCCTTGATTTCCGCCGTAATATAAATTGCAATAGTAGCAGTTGAGTGGGGCGCCGGGGTAATTATTCCCGTATTGGCGGGGAGTTCGAAAAGATGGGGAATCTGAAAAAAAAATTGGCAAAAACAATTCGAGCATGATTACAATTTAGCCCAAAAATAAGTTCAAGGTAGTGTTTTGCGCAAAAAAAATCAAAAGTTATTATATTAGCAAAAATTGTAATTTCTAAATATTTTAGAAATTTGGTTTAAAACTTTTTTTACTCGACAACATTTGGAAATCTCCAACGATTGTGAAATTTGCTCCTGAAATGGTATTTCCAATTTTAGGTCTCCTCCCACTTCTCGAAGTTTTCACGTGGGAAGGATCCCATACCGCCAGGATGAGCAGGGATATCACGACTTTGGTAAAACTAGACATTTTGAGACACGATGTTCTCCCAGCGGATGAAGTCGTGTGACTAAAACATTTAGAAAATTGTTCTTTTAAAACTATTTATTTCAACATCACGTGTGACGTGCGTAAAAAATTGGGTGCTTATGGACGTAGCTAAAAATATATGGGCGTGCATGCAAATCAGCATAGATGCAAATTTCGTTTTTATCTGTCAACAGCGAGAGTTTATTTTATGTTTGTTTATGACCTACACCACCTTATTTTACGATGATGACCAACCGGTTTGATTCAAAATAGTGATTTATAACAGTTTTAATAGTGTAGTTTTAGCTGATTTCTTTTTCAGTTATTTTGTAATGAAATAACCATGGACCCATGGCAAGACTTCCCATGCAAAATTTTATTGCAATTTCGCATCGAAGAAAATTAAAATACAATTTGCAAAAAAAATTCGAAGTTCTGCATCTCCACGCTAGTATTTAGTTCGCAGTTTTGTTCAAAATTATATTGCGATGCGAACATGCGAACTCGTAATGAATACCCCCATTGTTCCTAAAATACCGAAAGTGAATGTGTATGGACATACTTTGCATAAGTAATTATGAGTTGCCAAATAGATGTCATACTGTCGGTCTTCGTTGTTGGGGAAAACTTGTTTGTTATGTCACCGGTTTTGTAACAACGCGTACAACAACAGTAGAAATTAATGCATATTTACATAAATAGGTGCTAAGGGAAATCAGGTTTTTGACTTTTTCCCAAAGACAAGTCTTTGTTCCGTTTTTTCGGAAGGTTTTCGTTAGCAATCGTTAAAAAACTGATTACATAAAACACATACACATTTACTTCACTACTTCCTACTCTCAGATTTTGATGCCCTTCGCATATCTAAATATGTTGTCCTATCCTTAGTATCCGATGAGTGAACCAGAACCCACACGTGTTTTGATGCCATGACCACATTTACTCCCGCCACACCCTCTCAAATGGGCTGAAAACACGACGTAAGCTGATTTCAAACCCTCATCAAAAAATCTAACTTCATTCGGATTTTGAAAATTATACTCCCAAATAGTCCCTTTTCCGTATTTAATGTTAAAGTCAACTTTATTGAAGTTTTATTCTTTCGAAAGCAGAATTTCGAAAATTCCCACAACTTTCGGTCAGTAAAAACATACATAATGCATAAGTCTGCAATTAGCCTGTGCTATGACCGCTAGTCTAGCTGTTTCTATTGAAGAGTAGTCTTGCCACCCCATAAAGTATTTACGTCCATACATGTGTACATGATCAATTATGTCCTCGGACCTATCAGAACCAAGAATTGTGCAGTGGTGTGTGTTACCAGTTGAACTTGGCGCTTGGTTACACACGTGTCTCACATTGTCCAAGCTAATGTCACCTAGCGGAAGTTGGGTCACTATGTTTCATTTTTTGTTTCTAGAGGGCGTTTTTCGCTAAAGTGTCAAAACGTTTCAAAAACGTTCACGAACACGATAACAACGAAACACACCCTTTAGATCTGCCGAGACTTGATCAAACGAACGGGCACACCCCCTAAACTTGACACTTTACTGTGACCTGGGCACACCCACTAGACTTGACATTTGACCTGTGACCTGGGCACACCCACTAGACTTGACATTTGACCTGTGACCTGGGTACACTAACCAGACTTGACATTTGACCTGTGACCTGGGCACACCCACTAGATTTGACATTTCTGACCTTGGCACACCCCCCCTGGACTTGACATTTGACTTGCGACCTGCGAACAACCCATAAAGTTGACACTTTACAGAGTTAACACTTGACCTGTGACCTGGGCACACCCACTACACTTGAACCGTGACCTGGGCACACCCACTACACTTGACCTGTGGCCTGGGCACACCCATTACACTTCACCTGTAACCTGGGCACACCCACTGTACTTGACACTTGACCTATGACATGGGCACACCCACTAGATTTGACATTTGGCCTGTGACCTAGGCACACCCCCTGGACTTGACATATGACCTGCGACCTGCGTACAATCCCTAAACTTGGCACTTAATGTAGTTGACACCTATCGGATGTTGGCTGTTTTTCAGCGCTAGAGGGCGGGATTTTGCTTTAAGTGCCTAAACGCTCTTAAAACGTTAGAACAATGCTAAACTTTAGAGTCGTGACCTAACGTTTTTCGTGGTCACCCCCTTTAGAGTCGTGACCTAACGTTATTCGTGGTCACCGCCTTTAGAGTCGCGACAGAACGTTTTTCGTGGTCACGCCCTTTAGAGTTGTGACTGAACGTTTTTCGTGGTCACACCCTTTAGAGTCGTGGCTGAACGGTTTTCGTGGTCACACCCTTTAGAGTTGTGACTGAACGTTTTTCGTGGTCACACCCTTTAGAGTCGTGGCTGAACGTTTTTCGTGGTCACACCCTTTAGAGTCGTGACCGAAGGTTTTTCCTGGCCACACCTATAGAGTCGTAACTGAACGTTTTTCGTTGTCACCCCCTTTAGAGTCGTGACCTAACGTTATTCGTGGTCACCGCCTTTAGAGTCGTGACCTAACGTTATTCGTGGTCACCGCCTTTAGAGTCGCGACAGAACGTTTTTCGTGGTCACACCCTTTAGAGTTGTGACTGAACGTTTTTCGTGGTCACACCCTTTAGAGTCGTGGCTGAACGTTTTTCGTGGTCACACCCTTTAGAGTTGTGACTGAACGTTTTTCGTGGTCACACCCTTTAGAGTCGTGGCTGAACGTTTTTCGTGGTCACACCCTTTAGAGTCGTGACCGAAGGTTTTTCCTGGCCACACCTATAGAGTCGTAACTGAGCGTTTTTCGTGGTCACACCCTTTAGAGTTGTGACTGAACGTTTTTCGTGGTCACACCCTTTAGAGTCGTGGCTGAACGTTTTTCGTGGTCACACCCTTAAGAGTTGTGACTGAACGTTTTTCGTGGTCACACCCTTTAGAGTTGTGACTGAACGTTTTTCGTGGTCACACCCTTTAGAGTCGTGGCTGAACGTTTTTCGTGGTCACACCCTTTAGAGTCGTGACCGAAGGTTTTTCCTGGCCACACCTATAGAGTCGTAACTGAACGTTTTTCGTGGTCACCCCCTTTAGAGTCGTGACCTAACGTTATTCGTGGTCACACCCTTTAAAGTCGTGACTGAACGTTTTTCGTTGTCACACACTTCGGAGTAGTAACTGAACAAATTTGGTGGTCACACCCATAGAGTCGTGACCTAACGTTTTTCGTGGTCACCCCCTTTAGAGTCGCGACTGAACGTTTTTCGTGGTCACACCCTTTAGAGTTGTGACTGAACGTTTTTCGTGGTCACACCCTTTAGAGTCGTGGCTGAACGTTTTTCGTGGTCACACCCTTAAGAGTTGTGACTGAACGTTTTTCGTGGTCACACCCTTTAGAGTCGTGGCGGAACGTTTTTCGTTGTCACCCCCTTTAGAGTCGCGACTGAACGTTTTTCGTGGTCACACCCTTTAGAGTTGTGACTGAACGTTTTTCGTGGTCACACCCTTTAGAGTCGTGGCTGAACGTTTTTCGTGGTCACACCCTTAAGAGTTGTGACTGAACGTTTTTCGTGGTCACACCCTTTAGAGTCCTGACAGCACGTTTTTCGTTGTCACACCAATAGAGTTGTGAAGTCTATTATTAAAGATCGTGCTATAAACCGTGACAATCAAGTCAACGCTTCTTTGCTCTGTGTGAAGATAAATGTGTAAAAATTACTCAGCAGGAATTTGTATAGCTAAGCTAAATAAAATTGTTTTGCTTAGAGCCCGCATTGCGGGCTTAAGAGACTAGTTAAACTATAATTTTATTGTGCGTGAAAATATACTGGTTTAAATTTGTTGCAGGTGGACTTTTCAAAATTACTTTACGAGGTCAGTGACGGTCTAGTGCCATACATACAAATACATAAGAGGCTTTGTTTATTGATTTTTTTAGTGTAGCTTCTTTGCAGATCGATCTCTCGGTACATATTTAGTTAATTTTTTTAGCGTCATGTTTATTTATTGTATATAAAGATATATACGTTGTACGTGTGTCATGTGTTTTGCTTTACAAATATCATAATCTAACGAATTTTTGCATGAAAAATTAAATTAAACAAAAAATTTTCTGATTCTCGTTTAGTTTGCATGTGTTCATATTTAAATCTACTAACGTCAGCAGAATCGCATTTTCTAAAGGAATGTTATTTCTACGTCTTATGGGACATAGGTACATATGACATAATGTCACAGGTTTTTAAAATGCCATCTATAATTAGTATGCAAGTATATAAGTGTAACGTATGTATGAATATGTATTTACATATTGTTTAATGCTTACATACATATTTATGTATGTATGTATCATGGCAAAAGCAATCTGGGAATAAGCTCGAATTGTAAATTAAATGAAATCTGTGTTACACCAAATTATGGACATATATATATATATGGATGGCGATTTCTCATCCTCTCAAAAATATGTAGATAAATGTAATGTAGACATTTAAATACGTATGTAAATATATGTATGTATTTACTCATTTATCTGGCGAATTTATTAATATGCTTATTAATTGCAAAGGTACATAAAAGTTAAATCATCTATTACTTCACTTGGAAATTTCTTCTTAAAATATTATTTATTTGAGCGTGATGTCAATATTTATTTTGATGAGGCGATAAGAACACATACATACAAATGTATGCTGTATGCATACAGGTTTTATTCTGCTTCAGCCATTTATTTATAACCAAGTTGTCTCCAGTTTAATAAATTAATTCTACAAATTTAACTTGGTCTTAATGAATTGTGGTAACTAAATGCTTACTACTTCGGACCATCAATGTCAGTGTCACGGTCAGTGTAATTAGCAATTTTATTAGCCTAATGTTTAAATGAACGTTGTTATTTTATAAGCGATAGCTATTTTAGGGATACGATTTGTCTGTCTGCCTCCTTGTCCATACGTTGCCAAGGTAACTCATGGGCAGGTTTTTGAAGTCCTGTGGATAACGGCAATAGACGTAGATACTATATATGTCACATAGATCGACGCCGCCATGCCGCCGAAACCTTGATCCAGGTCGACCTCTGATATACTTAATGGTTGATCTCTCAAGGTCAAGGTTCATTCGATTTTAAATAATGTCCGAATCCCATAGTCTCAAAAGTTTCGGAGACGATAGCGGAATTGCATGTAACAAATTCACTTTGCGACATGTTTGGGTGCGTTAAATATTGAATTATAAGCACGTCGAGTCACGTTTTACATATCTTAAAGAGCTTTTAAAGGGTATACAAATTACAAATCAAGTTTTCGACCTCGACGTTACCCAGGGATGAGATATGTACATAATTGGCTGAATATAAAACAATCGCTACTTTGTTAGAACTGTTTGCTAGATGTTATCTTTATCATCGTTATAATTTAAGATCAAAGTATAAAACTACTTTGGTCTGCGTAAAATTATTTAGTTGTTAGTCGATACATAAATACATAATTATACAATAAACTGGGCAACTTGCGAAAGCTAAAAACTGACAATGGCGAATCTGACATATATCTTAATTTTACTAGCAATTGGAGCATTTTCTGAAATAAATGGTAAATACTAAATAAATTTAAAGAAGAGTATTTCACATAATAAATATCTGGTTTATGCCTCACTTTTTACTTCGACTTATCCGAATACTTTTCAAGGTCTTCAATATATACATTGCAAAGTAGAAAGTGAAGCAAATCCCTGACATTTTTTTAAGAATTCTAAATTTCTATCAACGTCGTTTAGGTCAAAGGGTGAAACGACAACTAGGAACTGGCGGTCAGGGCGTCATACGCGGACTGTTAGGCGTACCTCAAAACAACGGGAACAACGGGTTCGGCAACAATGACGGGCGTGGAAACAATGGAAACAATTGGAATAACGACGGACGTGGAAATAATGGAAACTGGAATAACGACGGCCGTGGAAACAATGGAAACAATTGGAATAACGACGGGCGCGGAAATAATGGAAACAATTGGAATAACGACGGGCGCGGAAATAATGGAAACAATTGGAATAATGGTAATAGAAATAACGGGAGGGGAAATAATGGATATGGCAATAACGGATACGGAAATAACGGATACCGGGATGGCAGACAGAATAACAATGGATTTGGTAATAATGGATTTGGCAATAATGGCAACGGTTTTAACAATAATAGACCTCCAGGCAACAATGCCCCAATACTCACAGGGCTGCTGAATGGTTAATTTTAACAAGTATTAATATATATTTAATTACATGTAATAGCTAAGAAATGTTAATCATAAAACATCTGAAGGGCATTTAATATGATAACCTATTATTCTCACACAATGTGTATATACTTATCTTCCTGATGTCACATAAATTAAATCAAATCAAATCCAAACATTACCTTCAATTATACAATACCTTGAGAAAGGATTGCAATTTGTACACTAAAAAAATTAAGCGATATCAAAAAATGAATGAAGTACATCGAAATTTAAGAAGGTAAACTAATGATACGATAATACAGCATATCATAGGTTACAGAATTATTAAAAATTGCATGTGCATACATATATCACAAATAACAAATTGAACAGGTCGATAAAAATAAAAACATAGCAAATATGTAAATATTGTAATTTGTTAAAGTTCAAGATACTAAAAATTACCTGAACATTATTAAAGTATCAAAAAAGAAGGATTTATCACAAAACTCATGAAATTGATGTCATTTTCCAAATTTTTCGAAATGCATACGCACGCACGGATCAAGGTCTTGGTTTTGCATGAGAAGCAAACAAAGACAATTTCGCTACTGATTCCGCCAGCGAGGGAAAAACTCTTTTCAATGCAGATGTCGAATCTCGCCTCACAAAATTTTAATTTCACAATTAAAATTATTAACTTTCCATTAGTAATTTCAATAATTATAATTATATCGTGTTTTCGTAATACTGCTCACATATAGCTTGTCGATATTGAATTCAGTCAACCTTGATGTAAGAATTGGGTGAGAAAATCACTTTTTAAGACGCGAATTTCTTTCCACGTGCGTAACTTGTCTTGGTAGCTAATTTTTAATTAAATGCTCATCCTTAAGTATTCCAGATAAGGACACAATGCCTAATTCATTTTGCCTCCTGTGTCTAACTAATGTGGATGATGGTCCGGTCCCGTCGCCGGCCAAAAAATTACGCAATTCGAAGAGTAACAAGTCGAGGAGTATTAAAATCGGGACACTTTTTGAATTGATACGACCATTTTGGCCACATCCCATCATGAACAAATATGAAGAACACGAGACCTGTTCGTTATGTGGAAATTGTTCTTTGGCGACTCGGGAGGCGGAAGAAATCAGAGACCAGATTTCCAAACTGGAGACTCGCCTTCGTGAAAAAGTCGACACAATTAAGGGCACAATTTTGGATGCTGAAGATACGAAGGAGATTGGAAAGAAGGATTATCAAGACGAATTTGACAGGATTCTAGCCATTCGTGGTGGTTTAATGGGTAGGTCAAGCTCCAAATTGAATTGATTAGATAAATTATATAATTTATTAATTATGTAGATGAAAACAAACTCAAGGACAAAGGTGTAAGGGAGAAGGTCAAAGTGGAACCAGCACAAGAGGATTTTGAGGACAATTTCTTAGATAACAACGACGATAACAATGATCCACCTTTCTCTCCAAGTGGGGACGATTATTACACCCACGACAAAGACAGCGACTCAGATTCAGATTACTGTATCAAGCCAGGTCCCTCTTCTCCAAGGGGATGGTCCCCCAAAAGGAAGAAATCTTCTGCAAATAGGTATTATTTTAATCAAGTTACATATAATTTAATATGCAAATTACTGGAAAGTTTTGTCTAATATTTTCAAATGTCTATTTTTTATTTAATTAAAGCCCATCAAAAAAACAGAATAACGCCGATACCGAATTCACCCCCTCCGAATCCCCCGTAAAACAAGAAACCACAACATGCCGTCGATCCACGAGGTCCACAAAACCAAGAAAGTTTGACAGCCTCGAGAAATTTTTCGACGACGATGTTCGCCTCACAAAAACACGTGCAAAAAAACGAAAACTTTCTACCCCTTCGAAACGCTACGTCCCTAAATATAAGAAGCCAAACCCCCCAACGGATTGGAAGTGTCCCATTTGTGCGCGCTACTCGCTTTCCGAGGAAGACTTGAATATCCACCAGGCCCGACTGAAAAGGCCCTGTCCCCTCTGCCCCTCCACCTTCTGCTCAAACAACGACCTACTAGATCACATAAAGGAGACCCACGACTCAAAGAGGCCTTATCGCTGCCAACTCTGTGTGAAAAAGACCACCTTCCGACATCATAACGCCCTCGACCAGCACATGTATATGAAACACGAAACTGGCGAGAAGACCCATACTTGTTCCCAATGCGACAAGAAGTTCAGCCTCGAATATAATCTCGAACGACACGTGAAACTTCACAAACTCGAAAAGACGCGTCCCTTTGTTTGTGACGTGTGCGATTCTCGCTACTCCTCCCGCGAAGTTTTAGAAACACATGAGAAATTTCATATGAAATTGCGTTGCAATTTGTGCGATTTTGAAACTTTCAAGTCATTCATTCTAACTAAGTAATTAATTGAGTCGTATTATTTATGATATTTATAAATACGTTATAAATTGTACTAATTCGTTTAATATTTTCCAGGCACAATCGCATCCACACGGGTGAAAAACCGTTTAAATGTCCCCACTGCGAAGAATCCTTCATTGACAACTATTACAGGAAGACGCACATTTTCCGTGTACATGAGACCACACCATCACACCAGTGTCACATCTGTGCTAAGAATTTCTTCGCCGTGGGACAGCTCAATGCACACTTGAAAAAACACGAACGAAACCCGGACGAAAAGCCTAGCGTACCGTGTTCCACGTGTGGCAAAGAGTTCAAAACTGTTTTAAAAATGCAAACCCACCGAGTCCTGATGCATGGAGATGAACCCTACATTTGTGACGAATGGTAACTAAGCTCTCACTTAAGTACAGATAAGTTATGCGCTAAATTCGTTACGAAATTAAATGACTTGGATTACGCATTTCCAGTGGGGGCAGCTACGTAAGCTTGTCTGCATTAAGAAACCACAAGAGCAGACACGCGAAGCCTGTCACGACTGAAAAATTGTTTAAATGTGATGTAAGGGCGACTATTTAAATATTTTATTTTATTACTTGTGTCTTACTATTCTTCTCTTTTTTGGACAGTTGTGCGATGCCTCCTTCGTTACAAAGCAGGGTCTCACTGGACACACTCAAACCCACACGAACGAAGTAACAAGACACGATTGTCCCAACTGCGGGTACTCGTACCGAAGCAAGTCCCACCTCCTGGGGCACAGGATCCGGATTCATAACATGGTTTACGAGGAGGAAACGACACATAAGTGTACCACTTGTGAGAATGGATTCCCTTCCAAGCGCTTGCTGGAATGGCATATTCGCAATATGCACACCGGTGACGGGCCGAAGTTTCCCTGCACCCATTGTGACGCTGCCTATGCGGACAGCACGATGTTGACCTGGCATATCAGAGGTCACCACGGCATCATGGTGGGTGGACTGAGGAAGCATAGCAAGACGTGGAAGGTCAAGCCTAAGCAGAAGAAGGGGACGATTGCGGGGTTATCATCTCATGCTGGTGGAAGCATTGGAGGCCAACCTGTAGCCAATAATTCGACAGAATCCGTCGTTGTGGATGATGCCATTGTGTGGGGAATGGATCACACCTTTTTTGGCTAGGCTGCCTTTTGCTTGAAGACAAGTTTATTTAATTATCATAGAGTTTTGGGTTAAAAATGCTTCGAAATTATGTTAGGCACATGAATTTTATACCTTACCACGAGGAAAATTATAACTTGTACAATTTTCATGTATGTAATTAAAGACACATTATAAATGTTTACTTTCTCAACTGTATTGTACCTTGTTTCATTTAATTTGAAATTCAAATTTCTATAAAACACTTCTTTACTGAAGAGACTAAAATTCTGTTCGCAAAATTATCCAGAAACATGACATCATTCCCATGTATGAAAGGCTAAACGGCCAACGTCGCACAAACTTGGACATATTAATGTATTTGTAATATGCAAAAGGGGACGTGATAATTACAAAAGTAAACTGTCATTCATCACCACAAATTAAATTTTAACCAGTGAGCACAATTCCGAAGGTTACGAGTTAGTGGTACAATTCACACGGGAAATTACTCAAAGCTCATTCTTTCAAGTTATAAGAAAAAATCCAAAACTGTGAACATGATTGAAAAATGACGGTCTCAAACAAATCCATAAAAAAATCGGAACACTGTTACAAAAAGTAAATTGTTTATACGTTCATCCAATGAAATTTGATTTTAAGGTATAATTAACAAATTAAAATGATATCTTTGTTATGTTTCCATATTTTATGTAGCGACAGTAAATTATTTCTCAAAGTTTACACCACACTCTCTCTTATCGCCTCCAATTTCGATCCCATTTCCGGAATCGAACTGCCCCCAGGTTCCGCCCGTGTCTTGCAGCCTTGGGAATGTGCATATTTGGTGGATCTCAAGAGCAACACTACTCTCCACACGATATACGAAGGATGGCAATCTACGCCAAATTATTTTCGATCCGAGAGGTCAACCTTGTCCAAAAGTGTGTTTTATCCGAGTACTTGGATTCCCAAGAAGGAGTGCAACATTACCATTTGCGGTCTTGAATTTGGAGAGCGATATGGATGCAAAGATGTTACGGAGTGGGGCGGAAATCTTTCTACTTCTGGGGTAAGAATGACAAAAAATGGGAATAAACGAGAGATGTCCAAAATAATTCGCAAAATAATTTTGCATAAGTTTTTCCTTGGCGTATTCATTACGAATTCGCATATTCGAATCGCAATATAATTTTGAAAAACATGCTAATTAAATACTAGCCATGAAGTTTGCAAATCAATTTTCAGGTAATTTTTTTTCCGAACTTGCGAACTTTGTTTTTTTTTGCTAACGATGCGAACTCGTAATGACTACCCTCATATGTAATTTTGTGAATTTTCGAAGTTTTTTTGTACTTAAATCATAGACACCCTTAAGATATGAAACTATGAAATTTTTGCTTCCTTTTCAGGTCGGATATGAAATACACACGACAAAATGCGTCTGTGAAGATGGGATCCCCTGTAGAACGAACTGTTCCAATAATGGCTTTGGAGATCCAAAGATTTGCGCGACCTTATATTCTGAACCAAATTGCTGGGATTGTCGACACGTCGGCATATCTGTAGAATTTGACAGCAGTCTCGTCCTTCATGGTAGTGATTTAGTGAAAGTTGCACAATTCCAGAGTTTCCGGTTGAGGCATGGGTGCACCATGCAAATTTTGTATCTGGACGAAAATGCCAACATTTTGGAACAGATGGAAGACAAATATCCATGGAGTACGGACTGGAAGGTTGGTCGATATGGACATAAATTTAAATTAAATTTGTACTTATTATTTAATTTGCACTTGTATAATGTGAATAGTTGCAAAAGTTCCTGAGTGAGAAGGTGGACAGCGTTATTTATTCCTGTATTTGCAACTGCGACGTAATCAACGATAAATTTAATGACGATTTTATTAAAAATTGGACTTGTCAAGCTAATCGGACCCTGGAGCGGAAGCCCGTCGAAGTTTGCAAGGTACATTTAATGCATACATGCGTATTTATATAGATATGTAATGCAATGATGGTATTGGTTAAATTTTCGCAACATTTTCAAGGTTCGCAAAATTTTGTAAAAAGAACGGAAGAAAAATATTTTTGCGCAAATTATTGGCTGTATGTACATATTAGTGACCAACAGTTCGCAAATTTTGCTTCATACCTTGCTAACACTTAATGACTTAGCACAATTATGGAGAAAATTCTGAAATCCAAACATCCATTTTCGTTTGATGTTTCAATTTTTGGAAATAAATACTCTGCACGATAAATGATGTGGTAGAACCAATGATCACAGAGAGAAAATAGCGCATCTATCTATTTTTGCAGGTCGGGAGAAACCAATTTATGAAAAGCCAATCTACTCCATCGCTCTTGCCACCGTGTTATTCGTCCTCCTCATCTCTGCCATCATGCAATGTATCCGGCTCTATTTCAGAAGACGTTCAAAACTCAAAAACCCCTCTTCAAAACTAACCACAAGCTTTGACGATGTTTTCCACGAGAGCGAAAAATGCAGCGAATTTGTCCTCCAAGTTCTCGAGTCTCTGAAACAATCCGACGTCATCATTGAGCCCTTGCAACCCTTCAAGATATGGAAATCCAATCCTACCCTGATCCCCTTTCCCCTAAAGAACGGAAAGGGAACGTTCGCCACTGTTTACAAGGCGTCCGAATTTCACCCAATTTTCGGTGAGATGAAATTTGCCGTAAAGAAAATCAATATAAATGAAACCCTGCTCACCTTCACGCAACAAATGCTCTCCTGTTCTCACAATTTGGAAAAACTTTTGGTCGAGGTTGACATCTCGAGGGAATCCAGGCATGAAAATATTTTAAGATGTTACGACACCTGGATTGAAGATGCAAACGGGATTCTCCTCTCGAGACAAGAACTGGAAGCGATTTGCAATCAGTGCAGCGAATATGGATCAGCCTCCATAAATCCGAATCAGTACTTCATGTTTTTGAAACTTGAGCTTTGTGACTTCACCCTGGAATTTTGGATAATTCGGGCAACCCAGATTTTTCGGGGGGATGAAGAAGTTTTTGATGAGGGAAGTGTTTGTAAAGATATTTTGAAGATAATGCTGCAGTGCGCGAAGGGCCTGGAATATTTGCATGGGAAGGGTTTCATTCATCGGGATATTAAAGCCAATAATATTTTTGGAAAGGTATGTTTGACAGAATTTGGAGAAAGTAATGGGCGTACTCACGACAACGCAACGTCTTATTTAACAGCCCAATTAATTTTTGTAAATTTTCGAAACTCATTTAACTTATGTCGCAATGGGATTTGCAGAAAATTTCGTAAATTCGTAAATTTTGCAAATCCACAATTATCCTTAATTTCTTTTGCTGGTGATGGTGAGGATAAATTTGTAAAACAAAATCCTATGATGTTCCAGCATAAATTTTGCGAAATCTTGCAAATTTTTCAAAACTTCGCAAGCTACATGTTGTATGCAAGATATATGGAGATTGATGTGAGTACGCCCAATAAAAGTATTTCTATAAGTAATTTTGTAAGTTGCCTGCTTTTGCTAAATACTTATTTCTTTAAAGCTGGAAAAATAAATGACACAAAATAGGATAATTCAATGATTAAATTTTAATCATTTCCAAAAATCTGGCTTATGTGAATAACCCATTAAAATTTTATAACTCAAAATCATAGCTTGTTTTGCTTGAAAAAATCCTTGGATAATTTTTGCTTTAAAATTCATACCACATTTTCCATTACAGAATTTTACGGGTGAAATTTCCTGGAAAATTGGGGATTTTGGCTTATCTGTTCCTGCATCGCTGGAAAGTGCAAATTCCTGGCGAACTGAACCCGCAGGATGTCCAAAGTATAGAAGCCCTGAAATGGAGAGGAATGATAAGTATGGCGAAAAATGTGACATTTACAGCCTTGGTCTTGTCTTTACCGAGCTCTGCTCCGTAATTTGGCCACCATTCGAAAGGAATCAAGTTTTTCATGATTTGAGATTAGGAGGAGATAATTCTATGGAAGAGGACGATTTGTATATTGAGAAAATTATTTTAAATCTGGCTCAAGGAAAGGGAAAATTGCTTGTTGGCGTGGTTACCGATATGCTGTGTCACTCTGAAGAGAAGAGGATCAGTGCGAGACAACTTGTTTATAATTTATCTGCGCTAATATTTGCAAAAATTGAGTAAAAGTAATGATAAATATATTTAACCAATCATCCAATCATCATGACGATAATGACTTGATCTGTTATTAAATAAACCATTGCAAACGAAATGTAACAAAGGGGTGAAGCCACACGGGATAGTCTTTATGGCACATCGGCGTCGTCTTCCAAACTTCCCCGTCATTTTCTATCGTTATCTCACATCGGAAATTGTGAAAATTGAAATTAGTTATGTATAATACCAGAGATTATTCCATATCTTGAATTTTATTGATAATCATTATACAGGTACTCATGTTAAACAATTTACTATCATTTATTTTTGTAGATACATATCTGTACATAAATATTTACATATCTATGTAAGAACGTCCAGGGTCCAGCTCAAGAATTTAGATCTCTCTTCTTCCGAATTACCCACTTCTGTATGGCCACACTTTGTTCCTTATATTTTCTAATTTCTCGTCCTAATCCCGCCATCGCATCCATCTCCCTTTTACAAATTTTAATTTCCTTCTCCGTCAAAATCTTGGTCACCACTGTCCCCACTGTCACGACAGCGTGAGCCCCCACCGCAAGCCCAGTCGCAACTTTATAACCAGTGGAAGCCAAACCAGCACCGTTGTAGAACTGGAACATGTTGGTCCCAAGTTGCACCAAATTTCCAATGATATCCATTTCCATTGCGGCAGAATCGGTAATTAAGACTTGACGTTTACCTTTGATTTCCACCTCAATTTTTCCTAAAAAGAAATATACAATAGTAAAAATTATGCATATATGTAGTTAATTAGACCATGCGATGAATCTTTGTGTAATGGTGTAACTATTGTAAAATTATTTTAACTAGAGTTACAGAATTTACAGACAATGATGATCTCAGTTAAATTGACTACTAAAAATGTTGATACTTTTATACCAAACTAACGAGATTATGTACAGATTCGCATGAAGGTTAATACCGATCAGTTCCTTCGTCTCATCAACAAGTTGAACCAGATCGAGCAAATCTGCTTCCAAGTCAAGCAGAACGTTGACCTTATTGTCGTCCTGGTCGTCCAACTTTGCCATCGTCACCTCCATCTTGGCAATCTCTTCCACGATTTTATTCATGTTCTCAGTAATGGTTGTCCGCGCATTGGCATCCATATAACAGTTTCTCGCGTCTTTAATATGCCCCCAAATGGTGTGAAGTTTGACGGCTTGTAAAACTGCGGCACACGCCGACGACGCGGCACATGCTTTTAAAAATGAATTTGCCATGTTTTTTTCCGCTTGTGCTATTCCATCCTGAAGTAGTTTCATCATCTCTGCCTCAGTTAGCACATTTTGCGAAATTCTTTCCTGTGTTTCCTTATCTAATGGGAATATTAAGCATTTCATTTTGTTTATGTATCTGTGTATTGGAATTTATAAATGTTTTTTATAGAAAAGAAGCTAATTTCTGAGACAATTAAAATTTTTCAAGTCCGTAAAGACGATTTCTGTAATATATTTTAGTAAGTAACGATAGCAGAAATTCCAGTCTCTTAAAGCACACGTGCCCGTACGTACATCAAAATTGAAACGAATTTTAGGAATAAGTTTGACCAGGCTAGGCTTGGTTATGTACGTGGGAATGTGAGATTTTTGGACAATCTGAAATTTTGGGGAAAATTGAGAAAACATTTTCCTATTTGACTAAGGTTATAAACTTAGAAAAATTTCAACTACCCCAGAAACCGGCATTTAACCTTGCATATTTACTCACCGAAATACTTGAAAAGTTCACATTTTTTGCAATATTCTAAAACCTGCACCACTGATGATTCCGCTTCAGAATACAACTTATTTCGCAGTGCTTCCATATTCGCTCGTGCCTTTTCAAAGCCAATCGCTTTAAATAAATTGACTGCTGCTGCGGGACATGCTTTCATAAAATGAGCAAGTATTTTCCTCGCTTCGGATGATAATTCCTGATAATTTTTAGTATTATTACTTAGACACGAATAATCGGCTTTTTAATTCTTATCGTCTACTGAATGTACTCACCCGCAAAAAATCCATGACATCGGGATCCTCAGGTAGGTTAGTCAAATCTTGCATACTTTCAGCCATTTTTGTTCAGATATTAAAATATATATACTGCAATCCATCCAAAAGTTAATTGAAATATAGGTACATAACTATTTCACATTAATAAATATATTTGTATGCATCTCACGTTTATGAAATTTCCTGCAGTCAAGTTTGACGATATCTCACAAAAGAGAAAATTTTATTGAAGACGACTTTATGTATATTAATTTACCCGTCTATTCTCAACGACCGAGAGAGATGAAGTGAGACAACTCTTGGCTAATTATGTCAGGAATACCATAAATCTCCAGAGATTTATGGTCTCATGAAATCCAGCGGATACTGGATTTCATGGGACGTGATGAAGTACTCATGGTCATTCTTATCCATATTCATATATTCATAATCAGAGGGCGGATATGTATGTATTTATAACTTTTTCATACAAAACCAGATCGTACTGAAACTTCGCATACTAACGTCTTATCTAAGTGACATCTCAAAAATTCAAACATAGTTTTCCATATTTCACATATTTTAGGGTTTTCATACATATACATATTTTCATACATATTTTGAGGTTTTTTGGTGAATAGTAAATATTTGACTACATGTTTCGTAGCTTTTTAAAATATAAATATTTTTACGCATGTTTTGAAGTTATCTATATAAAAATCTCTCTTCATAATTCACGTTTGCTCAAAATTATGTTTTTATGATAATGGTGTTTATGTAATTCGAGTGAACGAGTTACAAACCCATTTTGCCCCATTGTATGTTTCCCAGGCGAGGTATGCCCTTTTGTTTAGTTATTCATTGCTACGAATCATATTCTTGTTGAGTTAAGCTTCTTAAAATAATAATAGTTGTTTTTTGGAGAAATTTTAATTTTAATTAAAACGATGGGGAAGCAAAAGACGGATCATAAATCCCTTCATGCAGGTTGGATTCAAGATTTAAAGGTTGCTAATATAATAAAAATTGACGGTGCAAAACTTGTCTGTTTGGTAAGTTTCAAGACAACTTTATAATTAAATAATTAATTAGTTAATTGTACTACTTAATTTACTTGTTTACTACTAATAATTTACCACTTATGCATGTAATTTTAGGCTTGCCAATCCAACTTCACATTTAAGCAAAAGAGCCAGCTCGAGCAACATATCAAAACTTCCATACATGAAAATTTGGCCAAAAAATTTGCAATGGATCCGCAACGCCAAATCCTACTGAGCGAGGCTGTTGAATCGCAATCTAATAAGCCTTTCTATAAAAATATGTGCCAGGCGTTTATTTCTGCCGGAATTCCTTGGAAAAAATTGCAAAACCCAGTCCTGCAAAACTTTTTGCAAACGTACACCGGACGAGCTATTCCAGACGAATCTACCCTCCGAAAAAATTATCTTCCACAGATATACGCAGAGGTACAAAACAAATAACTGTCGTAAATATCAATTTAGTTTGTAAATTTACTCATCACACTGATTATGCATAGGCCATTGAGGAAATTAGACGAGATGTGGGAACAAATCCAATCTGGCTTTGGGTTGATGAAACAACGGATGCATGTGGTCGATATATTGCAAATGTTTTAATTGGATCCTTGAAAAAAGATGAACCAAGCAAATCTCATCTTATTTGCTCTAAGCAGCTTGAGAAAACAAACAATGCCACTGTAACAAAACTTGTTCTGGACTCTTTGCGTAAGTTTAGAATATTTGCTACTTGGAATTCAGACCTTGTAATTAATCTCCCTTTTATTTGGAATTTGCAGAAATGTTGTGGCCTGGCTGCAAACAAGATTAAATTGAAGCGAAATTTCTTCTGTTCATTACTGACGGAGTGCAATACATGTTGAAAGCTGGGAAAAACTTAAAGGTTATTTATACAAAATTATTACACGTGACATGCCTTGCCCATGGCGTGAATCGAGTTGCCGAGCAAATACGTTCCCTATTCCCAGACGTGGATAAGTTTGTCGCAAATATGAAAACTGCATTCAAGAAGGCCCCAAGTAGGATCGCTATTTATAAGGAGAAATGTCCTGACCTTCCCCTTCCGCCGAACCCAGTGATTACCAGATGGGGAACATGGTTGAAGGCTACTGAATTCTATGCTCAACATTTCAACGAAATGAAGGATATTATAGAAACCATAAAGAACGATGCAGCCTCAGTGAATACCTTGAAAACTATGATTCAATCCCACGACCTTCCGAGGAATTTGGCATTTATCTCTCTGAATTACACATTTCTTGCTGAAAAATTGACAGAACTCCAAGAACACGGTGGATCATTGCACCAGACTCTCCAATACCTTGACGAAATTGAAAACAAATTGCTCAAGGTGAATGGGAATATTGGAAAAGCTGTTATTGAGAAATTTAGGACTGTCATTGGCAAAAATCCCGACCTAGAGAAATTGAAACAAATCTCTTCGATTTTAGAAGGAGAGTCAGATGAAGAACTTCCGGCGGAACTGAATCCTGCAGAAGTTGCTGCATTCAATTATGCCCCTTTGACATCCGTTGAAACTGAGAGAAGCTTCAGTATGCACAAGTTTTTGCTTTCAGATAGACGCCAAGAAATTACTCCAGAAAATCTCGAAATGGAACTGGTGTCACGCTATGAGTCGTTGACTGAAGATTAAAATTTAAGTCTAATATGATATGCTTATAAGAGAGCTAAAACATGACTCTGTTCGAAAATAAAATATAAATATGCTAGAAAATTTCAATTGCAAAATATTTTTTATGTGCATATTTTAGAGTTTTTTACGTGCATATTACATACATATTTTCAGGAATTTAAGTACATACATATCCGCCCTATGTTCATAATGTTATGCACAAACTATATTTTTATTTTGTAAGTATATTGTGCTGCTATCTTTATTGTGCGACCAAATGTATTTGTAAAATAATATGAACAAATTTGCACACAACAACATCCGATACGCATTGCATAATAAGGACTCTGATCTACCGTTTCATTTGACATAAGCTTGGCAGAACGTGAATCCGATAAGCTCCTCATGAGATCAGCCCATGAGAAATTTCTACTTGGTATGTACTTGAATAAGTTTGCCCTACATCACAGAATAGAACGGTGCATGTTTGCGGCATTAAAATTTGGCATGACTAAAATACGCACTTTTCACTACAAAAGAAGAAAATCTCATTATGTAAAATGTTCATGTATAAGTCAATTCAGCTAATACACGCTGTCTTCTAATGGGTAAGGGGAACCTTCTTCATGCAAAAGTTTCATGACAAAATCTCATGAGAAGGCTGCCCAAACGGCGTGTGGACACATGACCAACGGTGAAAGAGAGTTTATCATTATCTCGAACAAATTTCTGCAATTTCTGCGAATCCTTTGACTGGATTTGATGGTGATACGAGTACGTACGTTCATACTTATGTAATTGCGTATGTACAGATACTTATGTAAATAAGTATGTTGGACGGTTACTACAAATTAAGATTTCATACCATTTCATTTCATTTTCATTTCATGTTATAAAGCATATTTTAAATTCAAAAGCATGGTTAAAATAAACCATTATGTATGTACATATGTACATGTCTATGTTATGTATTAAATGTAGCTTACGAACAGTACGCAGAATTGGCGACTAGGCACTGTGCCTACATATATACATACTAGCTAATAAGCCCGTCTTCGCCGGGCGATAAATTTCACACTTTGTCCGCAACGGGAGTAAATTAAATTAAGACAAATTGCGTAATTAGCTAAAAAGAATCATGATAGTGATTGGTGGTGGTAATCGGGAAGTGCTAAAATTGGCGCATGTCCAAAGGAACTTTTATACTCTCCCATTACATAATTGTACCATCCTAGTAAACCCACCAGCCCAGCAAACCCTTCAGCCAAGTAAACCCATCACCCCAGGAAACGCACCAGTCCAGTAAACCATCAGCCCAGTAAACGCACCAGCCAACCCATCAGCGCAGTAAACGCACCAGCCAACCCATCAGCCCAGTAAACGCACCAGCCAACCCATCAGCCCAGTAAACGCACCGGCCAACCCATCAGCCCAGTAAAAGCACCAGCCAACCCATCAGCCCAGGCAACGCACCAGTAAACCCATTAGCCCATAAAACGCTACAGTCCAGTAAGCGTAGCAGCCCAATAATTGCAGCAACTCAGTACATACGCCACCAACCTGTCGTCATGTTGAAATGCCGGTCGTATACCTAGACGACTTATTACTGCATTTCAGGTCGTATTTTGCAATACGTCTTGTCGTGGCATTTTTAACTTGAAATGCAATATGACTGGCAAGCCCATTTGCTATTGCATTGAAGTCGATTCTTGCAATACATCTTATCTTCCCCTGCTTAACTTGAATTGCAAGAGCATATGCAAGATGACTTGAAATGCAATTGCACCTCATTTTGCACTTCATCTTGCACTTCATCTTGAAACTACGAAGTGCAAGAGTCGAGGTGCAAGATGAGGTGAAATGCAATTGCACCTCATCTTGCACTTCGTCTTGCAGTTAAACTTGAAACTATGAAGTGCAAGAGTCGAAGTGCAAGATGAAGTGAAATGCAATTACCCTGCATCTTCCACTTCGTCTTGCAGTTAAACTTGAAACTATGAAGTGCAAGTATCGAAGTGCAAGATGAGGTTAAATGCAATTGCACCTCATCTTGCACTTCATCTTGCACTTCAACTTGAAACTACGAAGTGCAAGATCATGTGCAACAGCTTGATAACCAATTTTCGGATAACACTTAAGCAACCACAGATAACCAGAATGGCCACCCATAGATAACTACCTACCAAGATAACCATCGATCAATATAACCACCCACCAAGATAACCATCGATCAAGATAACCATCGATCAAGATAACCACCCACCAAGGTAACCACCCACCAAGGTAACCACCCACCAAGATAACCACCCACCAGGATAACCATTCATTAAGATAACCATCCTTCAAGATAACCACTCACCAAGATAACTTCCCACCAAGATAACCACCTTCTGATAACTCCACCCACAGATAACTTCCCCCAAATTAAGATAATCGCGCACATCAAAGATAACCCCTCACGTACCCCTAAGACAATTACACAAACACGATTACCGTCAGATAACCACCGTTAGATAATCACCCTTTTAAAATATATGACACCCCTCCTCCAACTTTTAAAACATGTTTTGAATTGAATTTATTTTATTTCGAATTTTTGCGCCATTCGAAACATTACTTTCACTTCCACTGCGAACAGAATTCCTGCACGGAAAAATTTACTTTCACTTCCGTTGCCAACAGACATTCCCTCTTATAATATAGATGTATGTACATGGGTTAATATGCATGAACATGAAAAGCTAGGCTAATGCAATGTGAGCATATCACCCGTCACTGAGGAGATAAGTTAATTAGTAAATATTTTTTTGCAGTTGTAATTTTAACATTCCATTTGTGGAGGACAACCCTTGCCCGACATTTTGATGCACATTGGATATGTTGTGGGTGTACGAAAAGAGAAGTGAGGTTTTATTCGATGCCACTAATTTTGATCGAATTTTCATATTTTTGAATTTTTGGAATCTCAGTTGGATACTATCCAACAGCAAGATCATTTTTTTTAATTTGTTCGGTATTTTCAAAAATATTTTATTAAATAAGTATTTGACTATTTAGGGGTATGTCTTGAGAAAAAAAATTTCAATAAAGCTGAGGATGAGTTTGATATTGGATAATAATATGGTAATACGACAACTATCTATCTTAATAAAAAGCTAAAATTATGAAAATCCGATCAAAATTTGATATTCTTAGTTATTATAGCAGACTAAATAAATCTACGCAACATTTTATTTTTAGTAATTTTGAAATAATTTAATAGTATCAGATGCGACCTTCTTACGTACATCTGCATGTGCAACAAGTTTGTGCATTTTGTTCATGCTCATGTTGAAGCTGATACTGGCTATAAAAGTGGATCACTCGGTTTATAGCTCGTATTTTTCAAAGTCACAAATTTACAATTTCTGGTAATTTAAAGTACAATAAAACACGATTTGGATAAATACATAAATCGCATGAACCTTCACTTCAATGTTTTACATAAAATGAAATAATTATTAAATCTTTCAACAATCTGTACCTGAATGCAATTCTACAATAAATTAATATGTATGAACATAAATATGTCAAATATATTGGTATGCACAAGCGTAATTAAATAAAGATGGGATACAATTACTCCGATTAAACAAGCGGAAATCCAATTATACGACTGTTTTTATCCGTAAATTACGACCCGGTTATCCTTCCTCAACCCGCAATATAAACCGACCAAATACTCCATTTGAAATCACATCACTTTCATCACCACAACAATCCAACAAAATGGAACTGAAAATCTTTTCAATTCTCGCTCTTGGCGTCGCCCTATCATCTGCGGGACGAATTGACCTCGGTTTAAAGCGCAAAGTCGACATGGGGCTGGTTGCCGAGGCAATTATCGAATTACCCCAGATCATTGGTCAAATACAGTCAAACAAGACCCTTCAAGCCCTTTCCGGGGAGGCTAAAGTCTCCGCATTGGTGATCACCTTGAAGGACTTGGCCTTCACGACACAATCTTCCATAGTTGCTCAAGCGGTGGCGCAAGATCTTGAAGTCAAACAATTCCGGGCGGCGAATATCATTCTCGTGAAGGGATTGACTACCTCAAAACTCGCCGCTTTGGGGAAAAGTGAACATGATTTCATCATCCGAGAGCAGCACGTGGCCTCCGTAGACGGCGGCATGGCGACGAGTTATCAGAACATTAGTACACCGCAGGTATTTTTCGCAATAACTTCATAACTCATAATACAAAAATTGTGCAAAATTATTTAGTATTATTTAATTTGTGCAATAAAGCTGTGCATTTATGTATCCTTTAGTGGGGGCTCGCTAAAATGAGGGTGCCCGAAGCCTGGGAAATTACCCGTGGGGAAGGATCCGTCATTGGAGTTATCGACACCGGAGTGAACCTGGACCACGTGGCGCTCGGTGTTAACTCCTTCGCCGGGGCTTGGCTTGATCCCTTCTACCAAACTGAAAAACCCACCGACAAAGACGGTCACGGCTCACACGTCACCGGAACCATTCTTGGACGCGAAAACGGTATCGGTGTTCCCCCAGCCGCAAAATGGATCGCGTGTCGCGGTTTGGATCATCACGGTATCGGAAGTGAGGCTTCACTAACGGAGTGTGCCGAATTTATGCTAACGGCAAAGCCTCGCCCCCATATAATCAACAATTCTTGGGGAGGAAGATCTAACTCGGATTGGTACCAGCAACAAATTTCTGCCTGGCGTGATGCAGGAATGGTGCCAGTTTTCTCGATTGGAAATTCTGGACCGGGCTGCGAGAGTGCTAAATCTCCAGGTGACAATTTCAACGTCATTGCAGTCGGCTCAACAAAGGAGGATGACACGGTCAGTCACTTTTCGTCACGAGGTCCTACAGCGAATGGTCTCGTCAAGCCGGACTTTGCCGCACCCGGGTCGGACATTTACTCCTGCGGGACCGGAAGTGATGACTACCTCTTTGAATCTGGGACATCAATGGCTGCTCCTCATATGAGCGGAGCCATTGCTTTGTATCTCTCGCACAATAAGAATGCCACTTTTAACATGGTGTACAATGCTTTCGCCGATACAGCCGTCTGTCTCCCTATTGGTGAGGAGGACGAAAGTTGCGGTTTACCAGGTGGTAATACTTCCTGCCATAATAATGCGATTGGGTGGGGACTTATCGATGTAGCGGCTGCCCTTAAACTGCGATCTGGGTAAATTTTTATCTGATAACAGAAAATAGTTCCAAAATTTTCAATGCCTTCTTAATTCCTGATTTCAAAAATATGTAGTTTTGCTTCTATCCTTCTCTTTACTTTATGAATTAAATATTTATAGTGTAAATCTCTGATGATTTTTAGCGAATAAAACTCTAAAATGCATATGAATCCTGAAATAAGTTATGTGCGATTATGCAGCGATTCCAGGCATCCTTCATTTTTTGAGCCAATCGATATTACATACGAACGTCTTAAGCATTGTGGTTATATATTTGAATCTGCATCCGATCATCATGTTCACATTTTTAGGCTCAAACTCTCCACACACATGTACATACGTATATACATATGTATGTAGATAAAGGCAAGGAAGAAGACGAAGCGAGGGCCTTATGCATACTGGGGGACCTCAGACATACGAAAAAATCGTTGCTTAGTTTTTCGCTTACTTCCTGATAAGTAAGTTCTGGGGCAAGCAAACAGAAACTCAACTCAAAAGTGGGGTTAAGGTCAGTTAGCTCCAGTCGGAACAAAATTTTGCAATTTTCATAATTTCTGCCATATGCTATCAACAAACGAAAAACTAAGCGAACTAATCGTAAGCTAATAAACTATTTTTTCGTGTGTCTGAGGTCCCCCACTGTAAAAAATCTGGTATAGTAAGTAACACATTTACTCGGTACTGGTACTTATTTGGTAAGAACTTCGTACCGGATTGGTAGTCATTTTTTTCTGAGTTGTAAATTTTTCATTACCGCAACATTACTGAATCGTTATTACCATATTATCCAAGTAAATTTTTGGTTAGTTTTCGCTATTTTTGATCCTGCAGACGAAATAAAATCTTGCAGGTAATGAAGCCTTCCTTGATTTATTCTCATATCTCTTATTAAACATGTCAACAAATATGTGACACCAATAAAAAAATTCAAAGAATTGATGTCGGCAAATAATCCTTCAGGATCAAGGTTTGGCTCGATCTGAATTACAATGACAATTTACCTAGATACATAAATCATATTTATTCAGCTCTTTATAACAGACCTTTAATTGCGATGCATTAAAGTAATACCGCCATAAGTCCAACGTTAGGATAAATTTCCATGACAGTTTTATCATATTCACAATGGTTTGCTCACTTTGATTTCATGTCTTCTGTATTTTACAACTCTAATCGTACCATGTCCTCGAACCGAAATAGGTAAGACGAAAATTAACAATTCATCCATAAAAACAGTATTTAAACTGAACCAATTCAATGCGTACATTTAAATATTACGTAACAAAACGCAAATTATACTCAAAATTGATATCAAACATACGTATAGAATACAACAAGTTATATCGTGCTGGTATCGATTTTGTCGATTTTAAATCAATGGGTGCCTTGGAATAATTTTAGAAAAACTTGAGTTCTTCATCCGTACGGAATAATCCTAAATAGGGAAGAAACTGTTACCAGTGTGAGGAAATTGGTAATTTTGTACTATTTGTCCATAACCAATGATTATATGTATTAATCATTGTCCACATTCTGTTCTTCCTAACTGATCTCGTTCTTTGTTAAATTTTGTAGAAAATGAAGGCAATTTCTGCTCCACTGTTTTTGCTTCTGGTGACCTTAGCTATTCTGCCGACAGGTAAAACGTTTCTAATCGAATATAACATTATTGTAATAAAAATGCTTAAAATTCTGTTTCCAGAATGCTTTCACACGCATTCTGCAAATGTCAACAACGGGAAAATAATTCCAGATTCAGGAGATGAGGGTAGCGAACACCTTGTGATAGGTGTATTGAATTGTAACTCATACGGACATTCCTGCATGGGAGGTAGGTGAAATTACCAAGGTCAAATCGGTATTTGATGTATTAATATAAAATACTCTTTCAAACAGGTCATGGAAAGTAAATCTACAGGGTGGCTGGGCTTTCGATAATTTGTTAAAAAGCTCTGTTTATTGAAATAAATCATGAAATCGTCAAGTATTTAAATAACAAGAGTGCGAATCATATATGTATATATGTACATATGTATGTATTTAAATTTACATACGTATGTACGTAAGGGGACATTCGTAAACTTTGTAACACCAATTTTTGTTTTTTTACACCCACCCCTTTTAACATGTGTCGCATAGACACGATATCATTGGGCCTTAACCATCCACCTATTTGCGTTATGAAGTTTTTTAACGTTCCCTAATATATATTCGGGCAAAAATTACCCTTAGGATTGTAAACGAAGGACCACACAAATAGATACCAAATATTCATTTTTGCCATTCAACAAGGCTATCCAAACTAATTGTAAGTATTCACAAAGACCAGCTTTTTTTGACGTTTATATAGATTTTATTACACAACTCATCTTTTAGCAGTAATCACAATAACCGACATTGTTTGAACCATAAAGAAATTCTGGATTACCAATATGGAGTCCCTCTATAAGTAAGGTTTACAGGTCACTAACTTGCGCGGAGTGAAATTGCCGTGAAAATTTCACCGCAACAACAAAATGAAACTTGAATAAAATTTGAGAGAAATGGGCTAATTTCACGCAAATTCTAAAACTCAATTTACAGGTCATTTCTTTAAAATCTTACATTATTGGTTCCTTATTTAAGTAACCATGATCATTTTAAAGGTCATTTATTCTAATTTGAAAATTTATCTTATATTCTTTGAACGGTGTCATATTTGTTGTTATGTCGACAATATACAATATGACCAATAACCAGAATTTTCACGTGAAATAAGGTGCAAGCATTTCACGGCAATTTCATCCAGTTTGAGTGAAAATTTCACTTGAGTGAAAATTTCACTTGAGTGAAAATTACGCGTTGTTTTCACCGTTGACGTGAGAACTATTTTGTGAAATTTGCATGAAATTTTCACGTGGAGGCGATTTCACGTGAAAAACATGACCTGTAAACCGGCCTATAGATAAGAATTTGATCTTGACGATGCCACATGCTTTAACTTTGTGAGGATTTTCCTTCTTTTTTGTACAATATTTTCCGTTCCTCATTAAGACTCCAACCGAGGTTTTAAACACATTGGATGATGCAACGGTGAAAATGCTGCCGTTTGTGAGGCGTCTATGAAGACCAATGGGAATACGAACAATAGCGGCATTTCGATGATGTCGTACCTCGAGAATGACAACATATTGACACTTTTTACGTCCGCTTTATATATGTACCAGGCTTTAAACCTTGGTCGGGCATTCGCCTAACTCGCAATGTTTCTTGCCCGGGCACAGGATACCCCTGCCCGACCAAGGTTTATTCTCTGATATGTACAATTGTGTATTATGTATAGGCAATTGACATTATTTCTAACACCCGATCTTCCACAAAAATGAAGGAGGCAACCGCCTGAAATATGAGAGGGCAATAATTAATAATGCACAATTCCAAGAACGAAACAATTGTGCATTATTATTGCATTGCTGCAATGCAACTTGCATAATGCAAGCTGTAAATTCAATACCCGGAAACATATCGATGCGATTACTAAATGCATACAACTTGCTCCATTACCAATGTAAGTTTGAGGAAATTGGGCAAAATGCTAATCTAAGCTTCACTGTTGTTGTCCTTTTTGGCGTTACCCATGGTGAAGACGACATTTCTGAAGTGAAGAATATGCTGAACGAAGCACCGGTCAAGGTAAATATCACTTGTAATTTGTCTATATGTGAAGAGATTTTTGCATTATTTTCGAAACCCGACAGGAATTTGTGGTGCGGGATGCCCTAGTTAATTCGGAGGACGCCATGGCGTCCGAAACGATCGCTGCCACAGACCCAGAAATTGTAGCGTCGGAAGTAAATACCCGTATGCGCAGAGGAACGACAGGGAGTGAGGAGGATTCATCGTCAGAGTCGTCATCGGAAGAAAATTTGTGGTCATTAGAAGCGCCGTCGTATAGAAGGTCGATGAGCGGAGGAATTATCAAAACCCCAAAACCTAAAGATAATAAACCTAAAACTGGAAATAAAAAAAGTCCAAGTATCGGGTAGATTACTTTGAATAAACCAAAATATGTATCTATGTACAGTATACATATTTGAACATACATTTGTACCAATGTTACTTTCAGATTCATGAGGTCATAATAAATATGATATATATGATATGATATTTAATATCATAATAAATAATTAAAAACTTTGCCTCGAAATTTTAAGTTTATGATCATTCTTACATATATAATCAAAATAGTTTTAGCATATTACTATAACCCATGCCATTCATGTACATATGTATGTATTAATATTCACACATTTGCATATTTTGGAACTTGGGTTCATAATATGTACAGATCTGTACATATACAATTATGTATGCATGTAGATAATGTATACACCAATTCACAAATAGTCACATTTGGAGTATTACGCATATGCATTATCAATTGTTTTGCCGATCCAATGATGACACGTACAAATACTTATCATACATTATTTATTACAATTAACTGCTCACGGATAATGCTGGTATCCCACATTTTGTCATATCTTCCGTTCAACGATGTGAAAAATGTACGTTTCCTCTCAAAAGTTTGGAATCAGGAAGCTCTCCGCCTCATTAGGAAGGGTCTCGTAAAATTCGATTTTTGTCTCGGTTACAAGAAATTGGACGATCACACAAAAATGTTTCGCTACAATCATGAAATGGAGGTCAATCCAATCCCGCACTGGCGAATTGCTATCCCTTCTATCGGCTTGGATGAAGATCTTCACGACGTTGGTCCAGCCCAAGGGGAAAAAATCATCGCCGATTTTCACTGGTTCCTCGGGTTGAAGACGCATAACGTTGCATCATTGCAATTTGCAGGAAAAATTGCATCCAAATTCGACTATGATGCACAAATCAGAATTTTAGAAATGTGTCCAACTCAAACTATTCAATACTTCAAGTTGGGCTAGACCTGGAGTAAGGATGGAGAATCTGGAGAAGAGTACCAATTTCCGTCCAGTATTAAATTCACCAACTTGAAAACGTTCGTCCTCTCGATGGACGTTAGGGAATATGACATTGAAGGAGACGGTGATAACAGTGACGACTGTTCTTTCCTGACCCCCTGGTTTACCCCACTGCTTTATACCGTCAAAGGAGTACGCGAGCTGATTCTGCACTCCACTTTCTCTCCACTTCTGGAAACATTCTATGACCAAGCTAAACCATTCCGGAACTTGGAAGAGATTACCATTCAACGAAACCTTACTCCTGAAGGACTCAAGTTTCTGAACAAATTGAAAAAACCCTTAACAAAAATGAATCTTGGGAGATTTGAATATTGGGAAAAACCACAATACCTCGGACTTGAACGACTCCTTCGGAACCATTCCCAAACTTTGACTTCTCTGAAGATTACACTTGGAAATTGTATAAAGAACAATACGATTCTTAACCTGCCAGTTTTTCCTTCACTCAAGGTACTCCACGTGGTCAAGGATTGTTGGATCGAGGAAGACGAAAAATTTCCACTTAAGGTGTCATTCAACGGGGCAAATTGTATTTCGTACGCCAAGCATTTCCCTTCCCTTATATGCTTGAAGTTGGGAGAGGACGACCCAGGTTTTCTTATGAGGAGGAATGAAAGTGCAAACGATAATCTTTTCGATACATTTTTACCCCTCGGACATGGAGAAGATGGCAATACAGGATTTCAAGTTTGCAAAAATTTGCAACATCTCGACCTCCCGACTGAAGCAATTTCGGAATCAGGTCAGCTGTTTGACAGATTAGGCGAAATTGCAAGAATGTTCCCGAATGTTCACAACCCCTGGATCAACAAGGCTCGCGAATCATCAGAGAAAAAACTATCTGCTTTCTTGTCATGCGTCTTGTTCTATTTGAAATAATGACATAATAAATTAAATTGTTGATTTGAAACTTTTGCTTTAGTTCTGAGAAATTATGCATGTAAATCTCAGATTTGTTGTACGCACAACACTAGTTTACATGGCATTATCGCTAGTTAGAGACATACATATGTACATATTCACATACATACCTTACCAACTCGCATGGGTAAATAAATTTATTGATAAGCTTTATGGAAGCACTGCTTCATCAATTCATCATGCATACAAATTTATTTTTATTGTACTTATATGTATAGGTAACTATAATGCCCAACATTTAAGTTGTAATAAAAATTTAAAAACTAATTAACCTACCTAACCCAAACTGCGACAAAAATAAATTTTACGTATTACACCATATAATTGAAACTATCTACATATAGCGTAATAAATAAGTCACCTAAATAATATAATCAGGTCGGATGGATCGAATTGAAGCCGCATCAATCAAACTCACAACTAATCATGAGCAAACTTGTCGATTAATAAAACATCAAAAGTCATTGTTGGAAAGTGTAATCTTATTTCCTCCAAACTCAAGGGGAAGTTCATCCCGGTCGATCCATTGTAATAGATAATTCTGCCACTTTTTTGGGTTCGATCCAAAAACCATGAGCCCTTTTTGGTTGTCTTGGGACATGGTTTGCTTTACAATGTTGAGCAGCGCTTGAAAAGTGGATGGAACTTGTAGAGAAATAAATAAGTTAATCAAAAAAATGCACCCTTTAAAAAGATCAAAACCCTCTGAGAAACTGCATACCATTCACAAGGATCATTTTATCAAATAAGCCGGGATAATAGCTGTCGAGGGCGTGGATCATTTCCAGATAGAGTGGAATACCTGCACAGGGAAAACGGACACGAGTTAATTACGCCACCCTATAATTATCTCCACGAGGCTTCTCAATTATGACGCATACTTACATTGCACGCAACCCTGCTGCATTAAATTGTATCCTTTCAGATTGGTTACTACGCTTCCACGCGTGACTAGCTTCCCCTCGGCCTGACTCTTTTGAATACCTTGGTCGATGTCATCCAATAATTTGAAGATGTAGCGAAGCATTTTATGCCGTTTTCCGGCAAGAATTACCTGGCGAAAGTCCCACTGTCCCATGTGACTTGTGATCACTGGATGGAATACAAAAATATAATTATGACCACCAATGGTGCATATTTAGGTAATGCAGATTTGAACCTGGTTGAAATTCCTTGTCGAATGAAACCTCGTAAGGAAATCTGTCCTCAAATTCTGACCAGTCCTCGTCATGAATGCCGTCCATTTGAAACTCATCTCGCCATCGTAAATTCTGATACAAATGAACAGTTTACAGCTTAGTGACGTTTTATAGTGTAAATATTATGGGTGTACCTCCAGCAACATTTTCTCCGCCTTTTTGATATCGAATCGAGATGCTGAAAATAGAGATAGCGAGACTTTCGTTAAAATCTGATCAAATTATGTCTATAAAATTGAGATACTTAAGTAATCCAACCTCGCAACCACCGAACAAGGTACGCTTCCTGTTTCAACCGGTCGTCAAACAATACAGGGGTCATCACTGCTTTAAACTGCCAAAGGGATAATAAATGATGCGATTATTAATCAATTAGCATCTCAATATGTGCTCTCACTACTACGAAAAACCTTGTCCAGAGACTGCTTTTCTGCAGGGGACAGTGACAGGTCCTTTTCCGCTGCGACGCTTGCCTCAACGACGCCATTGTCTCCAAAACCAATGCACAAAAGCACTAATAATGTTGCCAAAAATGAGCCCATAGTATTAATTGTTTACGGAATACTTTAATTTCTATTAGATTATCCCTTGTCAAAAGTTGAAAATAAACTGAACTGAAATCGCACCAGTTTGAGAACTATTATTTGCGAAGTCAAGACGACGACGGGAGGGTTAAGGAGGTGGGAGGGAGGAAGCTACCCACTAATTCTATATATTTAAGCTAAACATGTACTTATGTCCTTATACACTACAATAAAGGCCAAAATCATGCGTTGCACCAAACGTGTTCTTTTTTTGGCTTGAAATTTGCATACATGAACAATGCTGAATGTATAATTGCCTGGGATAAACAACAACAAGGTTTTCTTGCCTCTTATTTTCTCACCACTTACATAATCAATAGGCATCCGTGAAATGATATAAACTGTATGTTTGCATTGTTAATCTTTTTTAAGTTGAACTTGATCAACAAAAAATTCGCATGAGGTCAAATGGACCTCGTATTTATGCAGCATAATATTTATTTGTCTGTTTAAGGGCCCAGCCTGCGAATTAAAATGCTACTGGAAATAAAATTTAAGCGACCGCACCTTTTCCGTAAGTATTTATTTAATAAAATTGCAAACGTTGGAAACTAGACGAGGGATGCATTAAATGCAGACCATTAATTATTTCGTAATAAGTATGGACAATATCGCATCGGATTCCGCCTCTTTCCCACGCACATTAATTTTCCCTACTTATTAGCCTCCAAACTGACATGGGAAAGGTAAGCAATAAGATTTTATCAAAGTATTTATGTACTTAACCTCGATTAAGTCATCAGTCTTGAGCAATAACCAAATCAACTTTTCCAGATTCCCCGATGAGTGAATCGTTACATTATTATTGTCAATACTGCGTCCTTAGCGAGAAAAAATGACATCATCCTTTGAAGAAAAAACGGACCTGCGTCACAGATCGTGACAAAAGTTGGAGTGGAACTGGAGATACGGATCAATTTTTTTGCACGATGGGCAGGAATTTTTTACCGGTTCTGCTAAATACAATCAATGAAATTCTGTACTTTTTCCATGCCACGAGCCACGAAAAGTGAGTAAGAAAAATTCCACTGTCAAGGTGCGATCTTTTTGTCTATGTTGACAAGATAAATAACTAAAATCTTGCATAAAATATTATTACCTCATTCAAAGTTGGATGAGAAAGCGTTGATTATTTTGTTAGATTGATCACAATGATCCTGTGGAATCTTTTTCCATACCTCTACCAATGGTATGTATGGAATTGGTATCATATCATGAATGGAATGACGGTGTCCAATATTGTTTTGATTGGGTTTTCCTCTATTTTTCGACATAACGACATTGTCAAAATTTGACACTCCAAACATGTTGCATCAAAGTTTAATGTACATATATAAATATATACTGTATATTTACGTTTGTATGCGCATATATGTACATACATATTATGTACATATGCAGTTTAGATGAAATGAAGTTCAATATGACATTGACATGATACTTCGTAAATACATATTACCTGTAATTTATTTGTTTATTGTCAAAATAAATTATAGTCGAATACACAATTGAAATAGGTACATCATTATCATCTCAAAATAAAATACTATTTATTCAAAAAATATCTCTGTCTTGTGCATACTCGTTTCGTAGCACGATTTATGTCGAGTCTGGATCATTTTCCTTCATCTCGTTGAAATGATAAGGGTAATAAATCCGTTCCCCTTTGTCATACACAACCTCGACGGAGACTGGACAGGGGGCAAAGTATTTGATGCCGATTATTGGTCTGTACAGGGTCCCGTCAGGACGGGTAACGAGTTCCCCACGATCCACCTCAATTCTGGGGAACGCCTGTCTACTTATAGTCGACAGCTGGGCTCTATCCCCAAAAGGGGTCTGGAGATAAATAAACACAAATATATTTTGAAATTTCGGTTTAATGAGAAATTATACTCCATTAAAGAGTAGTATGACATTAATTCTTCCCGATGGTTTTTGGAGGGTAAACTACGTATATAGAGACAAGTTCAAGCGTAGCCTTTATTTGTAAACCGGTCAATAACTTTTCTTACGTAATAAGTTTGCTAAACTTTATCCAGGAATCGGAGAAACTAATGTTACACCCTTTATCATGAAATTCAACGTATACAAATATGTAGGCAAATGAACTTGAGATTGTGGCAAGAGTAATGGCACAAACTAAGCAAATTTGATATAACAAATGTCATAAAAACTGCATATGCAAACTCGATACCGTTTTGGATAATTTTCAATTATATGAATTGTAATAGACTAATTTTCAAATTATTTGATCAGTAAATAGTTGATTGCGTATAGGTATCTGTGTATTAAGTATTTTTAAAGTCTGTGTAAAAAATATAGGTCTATTTGTAAATAAAAACACAGTATCATCCTTGCATCACTCGCTCCAGTATAAAACCGAATAAACCAAAAAATCATAAAAAGTTCCTGCGCGTTGATAACTGAAGTTATCAGCAAGTTCGAATTAAAATAAAAATTACGGCGACTCACCGCCGTAATTGGCTGCACCGCTTGTAAATGATCCTCCTCCGAAGTAATCAAAATTGTATGTTTCCTCCGCATGGTAAGTCTTTGCGTGGCAGGTCTCGGTCTATCCCGAACAATGTCATCTACCACATTCATATTTTCATGCATATAGGCTTCAACGGCATCCCTAATTTTTGCGGGGTCCTTTAATGCCATAATTTCTTCAAACTTTTCCCTCGGAATGGTGTGTCGATTCATGTAATCTGCACCTTCAATGAAGGGATCCCGGGGTACTCCTGTTTTCCCAAATTCCAGGTCCAAATATAACTCGTAGCAGTTGTCATACGTCACTTTTAACGTGGTACTGTTCAACGCCCTTTCCTGGACTTGTTTCACTAATTTGTGTGGATCTGCCCCAGAACCGCCGACCTCTCGACTTCTCAAGGCTTCGAGAGACTGGTACAAGCACGTGTTCTGCTCCCCCTCCGCTTGCGGAAAGTCGAGTACCGTTCCGTCCTCCGTAACCGCGCGGAAGTGCCGGTTACCATCTTCATCCTTGGTCAATTGGATCTTGTAGACTCCTCTGTTCGGGTCTGGACTACCGCTGGCTCCATGAATAAGGATTTTTCCATCGACCGACTCTGGACACAACTCTCCAGTCAAATCTTCAATTTCAATTGTTTTGTCCAAAACTTTTGCACAACCCTGTAGCTCCAAAACGCTGGAACATTTCCCTTGGCCGAAGGATTTGACATGATTTTCAAACGTTGGTCGGTTCATGAACACGTTTCCATTGGAGTCCTGATACAATTGGAACGAGTCGCCATACTTGGCTTTCGCCGAGGCCAGCGAGATAACCTTTAAGGGCTTGTTGTTCTTGTCGAGAACGACAAGTTCCGTGTTTTCATCTACTTTGGCCGGGTCAAGGGTGCCTTCTCCACCGGAGGGGTGTGGCAGTTCCGGAGCTTGTTTAATTTGACCCGCGCTAGAAGATCCACCATGGGAAAAGAGAGAATTCCACATTTTGCTCGAATTTCGCTTCACTGATTGTCCCGCCCATCGAAGCACTTTGTACATTTGTTGTTGAATGATCGGTTAGAGTATGGACTGTTGGAATTGTGTGGCTAAATAATGCGCAATATCGACGCTGATCTGATCCTTGATCGTGACTTTTAGCTGGATGAATTTTTCCTCCTTCATTTGTTCACATTTCTTATTTTCATGCTGTCTCGCTTTCTTCTGTGTGGCCAAATTTGCTGAGACGGAGGTCAGCTTTTTGACGAAATTGTCAAGAACTCGACCCGCATACGTGACCATTTCAAGTATTCCCTTCAAAATCCTGGCCACCAGGACGGTGTAGTTAATCCATTTGAGAATAGTTTGCAATCTTCCTCCACGATTTTGGTAATTTATCCCGGCTGCCAAATCATACCCGAAGGTTTTTGACTGGCCGACTTGCATCAATTTTGAGGCTGCTTTACCCATCGTGGTGCTAACTTGAGACGCGACTTTGGAACATTCTGAATAAATCTTGCTCCCAATGATGCCCCGTTTTGCTTCTACTAAAACGGTGGAAAACGTTTCTCGGATCAGTTTGGCTGGCTGGGAAATTTCATAGCTGTTTTCATACACGGAGTCCATTCCTTTGCTGACTTGGCTAAACCGTTCTTCCACAATTTTCGGGACTTTTTCCTTAATCGAGCTACTGCATTTGTCCAGAATGAAGTCTTTAACTTTGTCCAGGACCGCGGTGAGAAGCATGTCTGCCGCCGTGAAGAAAACGGCTTGCGCAACTTTGTTGATGACCACCGCCCCAACCGCTCGAACTAATGCGAATCCTGTCGTTCCCACAAATTTGGCCACGTGAGCCCCAGAACTTAGCCACGCGCCTAGTCCCGCTGTACCAATTGAGACGACCAAACTTATCGATTTGTACACGGCATAGTCCCACAGGTTGAAATGACCGGATCGATAGGATTGCATGGCGTAGGCAATATCCGCAATTCCTTCGCTGATTAAGACACTCGCCGCAAATGCGGCCAAGCCTCCCGAGCACATGGTAAGAAGTACTCCCGCCGTGATGCAAATTACCCCAAGCATCGCGATGATAAATGGACTCCAAAATGTCCACGCGCTATGTTCCCCAATAATCACGACGTGGGTGAATAGTTGGTCTCGAAAGTGTTGGATTTCAGGGGGAAACACGCCAGAATTGAAGTAATCGGCTAGATCGGCGTAGTTGATTGTGACATGTGGAATTACTCGGAGACAGCCGATCGATCGTTTCACCATGTCCATGACGTCCTGCGAGGTAGGACGGGTTTCCTCGTCGGGATGATATTTTGCAAAGATTTCGTCCAATTCGGCACTATTTTCGATGCTCTGCTTAATTTCGCCGAGCCGTTTTTCAATCTTGTCGGAAGAATCAGATACTTCAAGGGGAAAATTGGCCGCGGGTGGTTTGACGATGCCATTTTCGAGTAGAAATCTCCACAAGATTTTGCCCCCATCTGATGCACTTTTGGGTAGCGGGATGTCATGTTTTAGCAGGTGGGAAGATATGGACAGCTCGCTGTTAGGTTTTGATTGGTCGACCAAAATGGCGGCTAAAATTGGGTAGAACTTTGTAGAATTGGGCGTAACAGGAAGTCCGTCCAAAGTATGCGTGGCCTTGTTAATTGATAAATTAGTGACTTCCACGGTTGCACTTATTTGCTCAAATTGGTAAATTATCCCAATTTCTTCAAGTTCCTTCTCGAGCCAAGTAAAGCATTCTGGATGGGTGATTGACTCTTTAAAAATTTCCGATTTATACACACTGTCATCGTTTTCTGCTAAAATGGTTTTCACAGTGCTTTTGTAATGTTTGAATTTCTCTTCGAATTCTAAATCGTCAAAGAGTTTTGATGTTTCTTGGTTGAATTTGATTTTTAAAATGGTTGTCGTGCTTTGATCTTTGAAGAGAGGCTTGCCTTGACATGGTTGATCAACTTTGTAAATTTTTTAAATAGTTGTTCCTCCATTTCTATTCGAGGAATTGATGACAACTTGAAGTCATTTAAACGTCGCGATTCAGCATCGTCTCGGGCCGCGCGAAGGGTTCCGATTGACGCTTTACCAATATTAGCGAATTGCGTGGCTCCCTGGTTCAGCACGTATTGGACTCGACCCTTACAACCAGCTCGAGCAGTTCGGCCAAAAGCTTGTTCTTCAATGCGAACATTTGGCGCGAGGAAGGAAAGTATTACTCGCAATCCACCGGCATCATTTACCCCTTGAGAGGTTCGAATATCTGTCCCTCTCCCGGCTATATTCGTCGCTACGATCACATTTCCCGCTGTAAGGTCTGAATTGCCCCAGTTTTCGGCAAATCCTGTATCAAAGGCGCTCACGTAAGAGTAAATATTCGCTGGATTAATGGACCCATTTTTCTGTAATCTAGTCGGAATTAACTCCACCATTTTCACATTTTCTGCAATCACCAGTACCGCCGCGCCATCTTTGATGCTTCGATGAACCGAGTCTTCAATCGCGTCCAACCAACTTGCCTGATCTTGCAAGACGACTGAATCGTCTTCAATGCATCTCCTACAAGCAAATCGAGGTACTTGGAAAAATTCGACGCCGTAACACTGTGTCAGTAAGGAACGTTCTATCTCGGATCCTAGCGTCCCCGTAATTCCAATAAGTTGTCCAGGGAATCGATTCAAGTATGTAATATTCGACATGAAGACGGCCTTTAGACTTTCTGGGGTCAATTTCTCTCCATGTTTGAGCTGCATGAATTGGTGGAGTCCGCCATTATAATGCATCGAAGTTTGTTCTACCCCGGTATCTTTGTCCATTAAGACGACGCGGTGACCCTTCTGGTCCAAATTGGTAACAACATAGGCATCCTTTTCCTCAATGTTCTTCGCAATGAAGGCGTTCTTCACCCAAACGTTGAGCCTGGCTTGGACAAAATTTTGCAAATAGTTCGGATAGCACAGCTCACCTGAGGATAATCTTCTCTTGATGTATCGCACAACCTGAAGGACATCCTGCTGCATGCCGAACTGTACATCTGGTGCATGAACGGCTTGCCAAATATCGATAAGAACCGGGCTCAACAGCTTCAATTCAGGAATGTTATGACTCAAGTATAAAATATTGTCGCCCTTGTCGAGCAACATGGAATCTACTTCGTCCACAACGACGACATTTGCATTTCGCCCCATGGTGATCCGCTTTTCGAAAAATTCCGTGAGTAGAATACCCCTCTGGAAGGAACCCAAATCTCCGTAGATTACCGCGTTCTGATATCTTCCCTTCCGTACGGATTCATTTTCCGCGGACGGATCGCAATTTACCGCGCAGCTGATGCCAAGCAATGAGTAGAAGGGCTTCACATCTGCCAAGGCTTGCGACGCTAGGACCGATGAGCTCGTGACGAGGTCGACATTGTCACCTTCGAGAGATTTTATCGCCACGACGACGGCCAAAATGAGTGTCTTTCCTTCCCCCGTGGCAACCTCGGCGAGACAGGACCTCGAACGACGGGAGTGGTCCAGCATGAGTAAAATTGCGAGCAATTGGGTATCCCGGAGGGAAACCTTCTTCACAAGTTCTAACGCTCTAGTGCAAACGGCCAACACTTCGGGGAAATTGTTTCGGATCTCGGCAACAATTTCGGGTTTGGTAATCTTACTATTTTTAATTTTCATGGAAAGTTTGTGTGCCGTGCTGGCCAGGGAAAGTTTTAGTTTGCTGACGGCACTGGAGAATCGGGTGTTGAGGGAGAGACGCTTCTTCGACACGAGGAGGGACCCCACCCATTTATATATTTCTAATCGGCTCCATTCATTGATTGGTTTGGTAATGTTGGTGGCAAGCTTGGACCTCTCGAAATATGCGGATTTTGCTTGTTTAACAATTTGAAGGAGGTATGGATCCTGGTCAGCTTTCTTTTTTGATGAGGTCTTATCTAGAGCGAGGTAACGTTCTAAAATATTTTCATTTTTTTTCTCCGATCGCATAAGCCGAATTAGCTCTTCCGCGTTTCGTGGGGTATTTTGAACCGTTTCGGTGTATTTGCGACATGCGCGGGACAATTTGTCGAGCAGCTCTTCCTGACTTTTGGAGTCTTTATGCTTGTTCCCGATTGTCCTTAATAGCTGCATAAGTTCCAGGTCGAAGTGGTATTCTTGAGTGCAAAATTTGTGAAGCAGTATTTCCAAATTGTGTGAGCCCACGAGGGGTGAAAATGTGGAAAGAAAACTTTCCGAACTTGCAACTCCAAATTTTGATTCGAATCTTAGGATGTGATTGACCGTGCTGGCCGAGTACAAGGAAAGATAATGGTTTTCCCGGAGTACTACTGGCCATCGGTTGAGGGACGTTTCTTTCAATTTTTCTACCAGCTCGGGACTCAGTTTTCCTTTTATTTTCGCCAGTTGAGGCAGGATGGTTTGGAAATGGTCGCATTCTGGTTTCGAAAATTCTGTGGAAGTTGCATTTTCACGAAGTAACGTGTTAATCATTATGGTTAACAGTTTCTGGTGGGGGTTAAGTCCGGCTTGGGACTCCAATGTTAGTGTTGAGTTTCTTAGTTTAGATGCAAAAACGGTGGGGGATAAGACCGAGCAATTTGTTGATTTGAATTGTTTCGTCCAGTTTGCATAGTGTTGGGTAAGAATTGACAGTAAAATTTCGCCAATCCAGTCCTTGGAGGAAGATTTCTTTGTAATTTGGCTCAACTCGGAGTGATCTTGTTCTGCACATTTGATCAACAAGTCGGTAACGTCTGAGAGGCGGAGTTCCTCACTGGATTCAGCTTGAGCTTGGATTTCTGTGATTCACGTGGAAAAATACCACCTGCTTTGAGCCAGGGTTAAGCATCGGTTGAATTGGTACTTGAACTTTATAAGGGCATTTACGTCCAAACTGTACTTTGGGAATGACGAGGTGACGCAGTTTACCAAATTTTCGTCCTCAATTATCGAAATGTCGTAATGGTTTTGGAAATTTTCCAATAATTGTATAATTTTTGCGGTGGCAGCATTTTCGTTTTCGGCGTGGACATTACTTTGCGTAATATTTGTCATAATTACGGTAGTAAATAAGGTGACGAACTTTTGAAATTGATGGCACAAAAGAATTTCTTGAAATTTTGGTTTCCAATCTGTGCAGCTGATACTGGACATGGTTTCCTTGATGAATCCCCAATCCGAGTATTTCAAGTCACCCAATCTTTGCATAATTTTATCTTCTTGCGAGTCAAAAAGGATGTACTTGCCACGCCAGGAAGGTGTAGAAAATTGGGGGTCAAGTAATGCCACATATCGATTTCCAGTTACTAGGACATTTTCCATATTTGGTTTTTGAATAGCTTTCAACTTGTCGCAATGCCTTGCCCGGCGTAAAAGTTGCAGCTCTTGTTCACTGAATTCGTGCCTTGTTTGGCGATCTGACTCCCAGTCGTTGTACATCGAACACAGTTTTGGTAGATGTTCCGGGAAATATTGCAGCCATACGGAAATTTCTGACTTTTCCAAATCGAACATTATTTTATCTTGCTCCGTTTTCTCAACCAAATCGGGACAGACTTGTCGCAATAAAATCTCTTTGGACAAATTGGTCACAGCTTTCTGCATTTCGAGTAGAATTTGGCTCACAGTCGGCGACTCTTTCGCCGTCGTCCTAAGTGATTCCAACCGTTGACAGATATTGGCCATGCCAACCTTTGATTCATGTGAAAGTGAATCTTGATCGACAGTTAATAACAGTTCAAGCAGGATGTTAACATAGTTGGGAAACCATCTGTTCTTAATTACATCCATATTTTCTTCCATTGTATTCAGCAGATTTGAGAAAGCGTCAAAATTTTGAAAAAATTCAAACCCCGCTTTCGAATAGTTTTCCGGCATTATTTCATGAATAAAGTCTCCGCTCTGGAAATATTTTGCTAGAGAAGTTCTGTAAAGTGTGGTAGCCTGCATGTCAGGGAATTTGCATCGTTTTTCGATATTCTCGAGCTGCAGATCACTTTCGGATATGAAGTGGACCAGCGGCCCGCCAAAAATTGGAGCATCATGGTCCAATTTTTTCCACAAAGTGTAAAACTTGCGTCCCTTGGCGACGTATGAATCCACGATTCCCGACACAATGAGCTGCTTTCGAGTGAAAAGTGAGTTGAGTTCGGTTTCCAGCAGCTGTAGATATGCGAGTGAATCTTTTTTAAGAATTGGAAGCAATGTGTGCCCTAGATTTTTTAGGTTTGGTTGGATTTCCACTGATTTCTGGATGTGCTTCTTAATCTTACGAATTGATGAATTTGTGGCGTTATAATTAGTGTCCCCCTCACAGTTTTGGATTTGGTAAGATGAGAAGTTTTCCCGCAAAAGGAGCAAGATGCAGAGGATGGAGGATGTCTCTTTCGTAATCGTGTCAAAGTTGACAGTTTCAGTCAGCGAGTTCAGAATGGCGTCAAGGTCCTCCTGATTTTCTGATATTTTTGGATACGTCTTGCAAAATAGGTTTACGACGACGTCATGTTTTTCGACAAAAACTTGGTCGATTTTCTTCAATAAATGGTCTCTTTGGAGACATTCCTTCCCAACGGTATCGATTTCTTGAAAAATTTCCCGTAGAAGTTTGACTGCTTCGGAAGAAGACATCATACTTGCTGCCTGGCTTTCCAGGTATATCGTTCCGTAGCAAAGTTTGGTCAACTGTGCGTGAAATCCGTGTATAATTTCTTCCTTCATTACAACCGATTCGAGCGGATTGAGTAATTGAAGAAGCTTTTCCAAAATTTCAGCCATAACGTTGGATAAATTTTCAAATTCGGTTCTTGTAGCGTTCCTTAAGTTTTCTAATTTTTTGTCGAACAGTGACAAAATTAGTGTGATTAAAAGTCTCTGAATTTGATGTTGTCCGTCCAGTGCGAGAAGTGATTTCTTATTCGGAGTGAATTGCAGGGCGTCAATAGAATGAAAAAGCTGGGCCAAATCTTGCAAATCTGAATTATTTTCGTCTCGAGTTGCATAAATCGTATCACATGCTGACATTAGTGCGGTGTAGATTTCTAAGTTGTCCTGACCAACTCCTTTCAACCGTTGTGGAATGTTTTTCAGAGGTTGATTTTCACTTGGGAATATTTCACTTTCCAACTTTTCGATGTCTTCTGACTGCAAAAGTAGTTTGTAATTTGTCAGTTTTTCCTGAAACGTGCCAAGTGAATAAGGGCTTTCCAGTCGGCGACTGAATTTGCCCAATTGTTTGGCATAGTTTGAATCTGGGTCTGAGTTACATTTTTGCACTAATTGTTCGATATATTTTTGGGAAAAGTTCCGGTAAAAGTAGTTGCTCAAGGAATGTGAAAGTTGTCGAAGTTCTTGGAAATGTTGTTCATCTTGCGGGTTGTGTAGTTGAAGGGATGCTTGAGTTGTGAGAATTATGGCTTTAAGGGCGTCCACTTCTTCCAGCTTGAGGTTAAGGAAGGGTAAAATGTGCAAGAGGATGGGTAATGCATCTTTGTCATGAATGATATCTCTTTGCATGGTGGGCTTGATTATCTGAAAATGTGATGGTCACAAGTTAATTTTCTGGGTAAAGGTTATAACGAGCTAAATATTTCGGAAATTTCCGTATTTCGTTCAAAAAAGCAACTGAAAATGTAAGGAAAATATATAGCTATATATATACATATATATGCAGATGAGCGAGCTAGCTGAGCTATTCTTTTGCGAACCTTTACTTCTTGAAATAATACATGTATTATAGGCAAGTTACATAAGTAGATAAGAGAAGGTGCCAATGCATAGGTACATATTTAGGTGAGTTTTTCTGACGCGTTGCTATTGACATTATGTACTTATTTACTGAAGCTGGGCTCGGATCTGCTTCCCCTAAAAAGTCCTGTTTTGATGGGTTTTGAGCGTGCACGCGCTCTCACCTACTTTTGCACGTAGACATGTGAAATTTTAAACTTTGTCTTAGAGATGTGAAATTTGGCATGCACATGCACCAAGCTATGCTGCATCATAATCTAGCATCAATTCCCGTTCCGTTCGCTATAAATTTTTCATGAAAAATCAAAAATGAAACGGAATAGGGGTGACATTTGGTTTTTGATTTTTCCTGAAAAATTTATAGCGAACGGAACGGGAATTGATGTTTGATTATGATGCAGCATAGCTTGGTGCATGTGCATGCCAAATTTCACATCTCTAAGACAAAGTTTAAAATTTCACATGTCTACGTGCAAAAGTAGGTGAGAGCGCGTGCACGCTCAAAACCCATCAAAACAGGACTTTTTAGGGGAAGCAGATCCGAGCCCAGCTTCAGTAACATACATGTATATGACGCGTATCACCTAAGAAATACTGTAAATCTACACGAATACTAACTTGTAATTGATAAGCTGAACTAAGGATAAGAGGCTGACTGTTTGACTATTTTCCTATACTTTAAAAATACAAATTTTACATGAATACTTGTCTTACCTTCGACATCACCTCCGAAATGTTTCCTCCGATTTCTTCTTAATGAACCCGGTAAGCCTGAGAATAACGTGATGTGCAACTTCCTCACTGCTCACCTCCCTGAATTCCTTACTTGTCATGGTCTCCAACAACATGGCGACAACGTGAACAAAGTGAATAGGGGTCGCCCCTTCTTTTGCGCTCTTTTCTCTCAGCGGGACAATATTCTTAACGGCGGATTCAATCGAATGCGCCGCAACAATCATTCCTTTAGAATCGATGTTTACATTGATCTCTTGAAATTTTTTGACTAAGATTGCCTCCGCATGTCGAGTAATTATTGTGTCCAAATTATCTACAAGAATTTCAACTCCTGGAGTTTCAATTTTAGCAAGTTCGCCCATTATTTGCACGCTTTGCAGCAGGCTGTCCAGCGTAGTCAAATTTTTTCCAGTGTCAAAAATATCCAGCATTTCCGTCACAGTCATTGTTTTCTTGCCAGATCTGAAACTTAGCAGGGATTTGACTTTCTTTGAAGCTGCCGCTTTGTAACCTTCCCCAACTGTGGTTAATTTCTCTAATTTTGACATGAGGGCGACACTATTCTCCAAAATTTGAAGTTGCCACGTTGTAAATCCGAATTTGTCTTGTACCACTTCTGTTTTGTGAATTGGACCTGCGTCGCTTACTTGTGGGGCGGGGATAGCTTTGGGAACGAGACTATCGCCATCTACCTGTCGCAGGACGGTTGCCTGACGCGACTGCTGCTCGATAACTTGCAAGCTCTCTTGTTTCATAGAGGATTCGGCTTGATCCACCATTTCCAAGACTTTCTTTCTCTGATTTAACATATTGTTGAGGACGGCTTGTGACATTTCTAGGTTTGCTTGTTCTGCCTCCAAAAGCTCGTTCTGAGCCTCGACATTTGCCTCGGCTTGATTTTGCTCTTGTTGTGCGATGCGTGTCTCATTTTCCAAATTTTGAAGCTCTTTCCGCATTTCTTTCGAATTTTGGTTAATTTGTTGTCTCGTTTGGTTCGCCTTTTTCGTCTCTGCCTGAATTTCTTTCGCCATTTGGTCTAATTCTTGGTCATCATGAACCCCGCTGTTTGACATGGCTGTCATAAATTGTGAGGTGAGTTGCACTTCATCAATGGCATGTTTGGATGCCGGACTCTGTCTGGAGTGACTCTGTTTGCTTGCCGACTCTCCATCTTGACCACGATTTCCATGGGTTGCCCGGGATTTTCGAACTTCCGCTTCACTCTTGACGAATACTAATTCATACCCGGCAAATCCATACCATCTTCGGTACTCTTTCTTGTCAAGTTTGCCTTTTCCCCAGGTCCGTCCGTCAAACAAGGGGCACCACGAGCCTTGATGAGCGACCCCGTCATCAACCCCGTTTCGACCACCGGTCCCGCCGCTGCCACCTTTTCCGTTACGTCCGTCTTTTCCTGGGTCTCCATTCTTAGCATTTTTGACCACCGTCTCCCCCGCAGATACAGGTATGACTGTAATTCCCCCTTGCTTTCCACCCTTCCCGCCCAAGCCTGCCTTTCCCCCGTTACCCCCACGTCCGCCCGGTCTCCCTTCAGTCCCGCGCTCTATTCGATACCAATTCAAGTAATTCTTGACCCCGTCAAACCAACCGTTCGGGAGCTTCCCGTCTTCACCATCGTTTCCCTCGCTGCCATTCTGTCCATCACCGCCAGTCTGGCCGTGCCCCCCGTTCCCGCCGTTTGCCAGGATCTCCAGGTTTTCGGCATTCACGAGATGGCGACATCTCATATAAACGTTTCCCGCCGATTCTCCTGCCTGTCCGTCAGCCCCATCGTAGCCGTCTCGTCCGGCGTACTTGCCATTGTCCGCGTTTGGCGGTGATTCCAAGGGGCGGCCATCCACTCCGGAGACATTAATCACTACATGGCAGCCTTCAACATAGATGGCGTCTGACAGGAGACAAATATTTTTGCCGGAGGGTAATATCGACATCCAAGAATAATTGGCTGGTAGAAATAATCTGTACCTCTTGCACGTGGGAGGATGATATCTGCCCCAAAATTTGACTTAGGACGATATTGCGGCCGTTAAATTCTAGAATTTTTTGTCCCTTGGAACCCCTCTTGATCACGGATATTGGCGGGGCGTACAAATTTTCTAAAATTTCCAACACACTCGAAATATTTTCAGGCGATTGATTTTTCTCTGATAGTAAAGAATCCACGTTATCAAAATTAATCTCATATTCTTCCAAGATTAAGCGGCAGATGGAGCTGAAGTCGTTCATTTTCTTTATCTTTGCGTTTAATTTTCCTCTAATCATCATGTCGCAGGTGGGCTTCAATTTGAGCAGTGATTTTTGAAAGGCAAGAAATGCCGCTCTACATTTCAAACTGAGGAGTTTTTCATTAAGTTCGGCATCCGTTGCGGAACTGTCGGCTAAATTTTTGGCAAGATTTTTTGACTGGATTTCCTTTCTTTTAATTTTGTCCTGTAGTTTTAAAATTTCTAAATTTCCCTCATCGATTTCCTGCTGGATAAGTTGCTTCTTTAGCTTTGTTGCCTCTATTTCCTCATTTTGTTGACTCGTTTTTTCCATGTAGAATAAATTGCAGGCTTCTTTCATACTCTCGACGTATAAACGTTTCATCTCGGTGAGCAAGTTTCGATGCGAGTATGATCCACTGGTTTTGATGTATTCTTCTTCTTCGACTAGTTTGGAGAGGAAGGGCAAGTTATTAAATTCTTCGGACTCATCCATCGTGGAAATTAGTTGTTTAAATCCTGCAATTGTTTCGATCGAGGGCAATTCGATTTCCAGTTTGTTTTCGATGAATACTTCAGGCTTAAAGGGTTCCCCATTGGAATGGAAGGGTTGTTTCAAATCTTTTAAAAGTGCGTTCAAAATCTCTGCCTTTTCTCCCATTTGGTACAGTAAATTGTCCCAGTATTCTTCCGGCATAGGAAATAAGTCCTTCCGGGTGGAAATGAGTCGGAACTCGTTTTCGTGGTTGAGTAGGACGATTTGATGAGGTGTTGGAGTTTCATCGTTGTTTTGTGATGTTTGAAAATTTGAGAGGACGGACAATTTGCAAGTCTTCCAGTCGAATATTGTCAGTTGAATTTTTACCAGGAAATTTTCTTCGAGGAGAAGTAAAAGCTTGGGGAATGAGGTGGTACTGATGTCTGAATTAATTATTTCGGGACAGGAAGTCAGATTTTTATGGGTGGCTCTGGTCTCGTTGATTAACTGTAGCAGGGTTAATTTCTGGGTCCTTTTTTCTGCAAAATAAACAAATGCTATAAAAAATGGCTAAGTAACCAGATCGGTTTTTTGTTAGTTAGGCAAATACCTAATTTAGTTAGCATACATAGATATATACATATATACCAATACATACATATATGGAGCAGCCATGGACGCAAAACTTATCTATAACTTAAAATTATGGCGTATAACATATAATTAACATATAATGTAAGTATTCGTTCCTATCCTATGACTTATGAATAATGTATACAGATAAAATAATTCATATGTCATAATTTTAAGTTATATATCCATGGCTGCCCCAAATCTAATAATTGTATCATATTTGACACATATTTCTATTTGTTACACTATTGCATTCAGAGATCCAATTACATATTTATGTGCATATGTTCCAATATGAAAAAAACTAGAAATTTGGTTGTATGCCCTAAAAAAATATAAAAGTTTATTACCCTTCATCGACAATTCTTTCGGGAGAAGCTCATCCGCGTTGTCTTCAATAAAAGTAATTACTTCATCAAGACCATTGCAGTCATGGCAGCGAAGGAGTGATTGAAGAATCGAGGCAAGAAATGACTCCAATGCATAGGGCGATTGATCATCATGGTCATTGTATGTACCGTCCGCCAAGAATAAGTCCAGATTTTCCAGAATATCTTGAAATCTTTGGAAATCCAAAGGTTTCAGAAGGCATTGGATTTTTTGCGAGTTTTCTTGAAGAGTTCTCCAAGCATTATACTCCTTTCGACGTCTTATCCAGTTTTCTTCCTCCTCACTCATTGTAACTCTTTTTAAGGAGAATTTAGAATTAAAATGTGTACCTTTGTGTGTATTTCATTATATTCCCATAAATAAATCATTCATCTCTATTGCCGAATCAGCAATTAAAATTGGTATTTGTATTGAGATAAAATATGTATTAAATTCGGATTGCTTGACCCTATCGCAATATTACATAATACAAATGCATATGTGTGCTTACCTGTTGAGTTACCTTCAAATGATCAAAGACGAATTATATTTAGTAAGTAAATAGAATGCTGCTCAATTCCGGATAAATTTTTGCATAGGTTTTATATTTTTCTTCGTTGAGAGAGACTTATCCAGACATTATGCAGATGGAATGAGCAAACCTCTACTGTCCGCAAGGCATAGGCCGGGTTGCGAATTTAACTACTCAGCTCATGGGACTTGATGGTACGGAACGAGGATATGTTACATAATGTAATGCATTTACTATGTATATGTAGCTAAATCCTTATGGCCCAAATCTCCTTGGTAAACAAGTTTGCTTATCGTGTGAAGAATGTAATTGAGCCAGCATAGGACAGGATGACATGTTAACAGTTTAACTCCAGATCAGAGTTTGACTCAGGGTTCGTAATAATCGTGAAACGAATCCAAAAACGGCAATTTTTTTACGCATATATACATCTATATATTTGTTTTGTATATACACACACACACACGTCCACATTAATTAATCCACAAGTACATATTCCATTATAAATTGCATTATGTAATTTACATAAATACATGCAGTATGTACTTTATCGCAAACAGATATTTGACTATAAAATATCAAATAAATTCCGGAACTAGCATGGGAAAAGATCGCTTTGTATGGCTAAAATTTAAGAGATCTTAAGACCGAACATTACGCAAATAACGCATAAAACACATTTCACAGAACTCTCTTATACATTTGAGCAACCCTGAACTTACTGTAGCGTGGAGTATCTACATAAATATGTACATACCTTGGATGGCTTGGATACATGCATAACAAGAAAGGAATGCTGCATGTTTCTCTTATCTTATTTTTTCCTTGTTTAATGTTTGCTCTTGTCACTCCAAATTTATGGATTTCTGTATGTACAAACTCTTTGCTAGGCTTTCCCACGGGACGGGACGGTACGGGATTTCGCTGTCCCGTCCCGTTCCGAAGATTGACCGGGACGAGACTTTCGGGACGGGACGGGATGGAGGCCATCCCGTCCCGAGTCCCGTCCCGAGACTTGTCCCGACGGGACGGGACGGGATATCCCGAAGTTTTTTTTATTTAAATTGAAATTCAGCTCTTTATAAATGTGAACAAGCTTCGCTGTGAGTATGGGTTGCTGCTTTATTCTCTAGCTACATAAATCACATAAGACATGTTGCCACTCCCACCGACCGGTCAAATCTCACTAATTTCAAACTGTTAGTTTTGATTATTTATAGTTTAATGTTGAAAAATCGTCAACATTTCGACCTACATAATACTACATATAACCTGCGTATCAAAAGTCATAACTATTGTTTGTTTAATCTTAAAATCTAGATTTGTTGATTTTTATGGTGAAAATAATTTTTAGGTGATATGTAAATACGAATTATTAAGAAATATAAAAACAACAAGCACCAAAATTAAACTAACCGTGTCAAATTTTTAAAATGTTGGGCATGATATGAAAAACTGACTCAAGGTAAAATATCAGACATGTGTAACTATACATGTGTTATGTATTACATATGTAACTATATGTATACATATGCTTAAAATACAAAATTACAGTATGTAGGGTCAACGCATGCGAAAGATTTCCATACGATATTGTTAGATTTGTCAATAAAGGGAGTGAATTTTGAGAAAAACATTTAAGGTCGGGACGTCCCGTCCCGACCGGGATAGACCGGGACGGGATGACTTCGTCCCGTCCCGAAGCCTGTCCCGTCCCGAGATTCTTCGGGACGAAAAATCTTGTCCCGTCCCGAGTCCCGTCCCGCGTCCCGACGGGACGGGACGGGATTATCCCGTCCCGTGGGAAAGCCTACTCTTTGCACACCATTGCATTCTTCGCAACTCCACGATGACCTTAATCTTCTCGATAACAGCTCTAAATTTTAGTCTCACTAAATGAATGTTAATGGGATTTGTATGTATTGGAAAACTGGACATTTGTGCGTATGGACACATTTGCATATATACATATGTACATACGTATGTATAGATTTTACACACGCTGCGTACTTGTCGAGATGTGAGACAATTAATTAAGAATAAATTAATAGACTAGATTGGCACATGTACATGTATGTAAATGCAATTCTTCAGTAAATCTACACCAGCTAGCAAAATATCATGGCAAAGGAGAAATGATTCCAATGAGCCAATGCCAGCCATATAATGTGACGATGGAAATATTACGAATTTGTACATATATTTATGTGTAAATATCCTATATAAAGGAACTATTTATGTATATACATATTTGTAGAGTAAATAAAGCCGGACAAGATCTGATCGAAGTGAGTGTAATGAAAGCAACCATTGAACGAAAAAGACGTTGATGAGCAGGTAAAACTTTGGAATGACATGAAATCCATTAAAGGTGTTCTTATCGCATGCATATACACATACATATTCATTCTCTTCGCAAGCACTTACATATGTTATAGGATTGACATCAAATCCCATCTTCTCTCCATATACCGTTTGCATGATGTGGGCTTATCAAAAATGAACAACTCATGACACCGTCAACCGTCCCAAACCCAACAATAAACTTAACAAGCATTCATACATAAATACTGTCCGTATTGTAGCAAATTATTACCAATTATTACCAAATAATGTATATCATCATAAATATAATACACAATATGTATTACATATCACATATGTACATATGTATTTCATTAAGTACTTCGGAATAAATGTATGTTTCTTATTGTTAGAATATCAATTTATTGACTTCAAGAAATATGCATTTCGTAATATAAATACATTTTTAAATATATATTTTTCTTAAAAGTATGTAAAACGACAGCAGAAATTTTATATGAAATAATAGAAATATCAAAATTAAATATTCACTTTTGAAATATAGATATTATTTCTAATTCTGAAGGTTTACTCAACATAATTTCTCGACGTGTTCATGAGGAACAGTTCCTCCTGTAAAAAATTAAGTTAAACCAATATTAAATTAGAACAGAAGGTACATACGTATACATATATGTACATAGATAATTGATTTCTGTACCTTTTAAAATCGTGGTAGAACATTTCGTAGAAAAATGCTAGCCACCAGGGTGACAGACGGTGCAAATGAGCCACTTCCACTACCCGTCATGGTGAGCGAGGACTTGACGCAGTAAGCTCCAGAACATCGGTAACCGGGGGGACAGCAGGTCATCCCTCCATCGCAGCAAACAAAACCTTTCGAAGATCCACAGCAGGAATAGCGAGAAGTGTCGACGATGCAACAAGTTTGGGCAGAAGAACACTCGGAGCACATCCCTCCTCCTGGAAACGCGGCTTCGTGATGTTTGCCGACATGATGGTCTGTACCGTTGGCGTAGAATTCAGCGTCCCCTTGAGAAACGTGAAGGACGACGAGAAGAACTAGGGCTAGTTTGACCACCATTTTTTTGTAGATATGAAATTATGCAAATCGGAGATCGTGAACTGTATAGGAATGAACTGAATATGGATATTTCATCCGTTTTATTCCCAAAACAGGATGAGAAAGAATGAAGATAACGATACGGCGAATTTATTTTGTGCAGCAAATATTTGAGCCTATCTTGTGTTTCATTTGGAAAAAAGTATATAGGACGAGATATCTAGCATGATTGCGGAGTTGCCTTTATATCAAATTTACCAGTTGTCTTATCCAGTGTTTTTTCATCGAAATTGAACAAGTTTTCAGAGAGTTATTGTTTATAAAGTCTGATAAAACTCAAGTCAAATAGATTCATGCATTATGTAGGTCACTATTTGTAGAAGGATTGTTTTTATGAAAATACATAAAGCTTTGAGAATTATGAATGTACTTATCTGTGTTAATATTTTATTAGTACGTAAATCTTTTTTTGTTAAAAAATAGGATTTTGAGATTCAAAAAAATTTCCGTATCCTTATTCATTATTCATAACTAGTAGAACAGACTTAACTTTTAGTTAATATACAACTCTGCACTTATGTACAGTGCATGCTTCTAAATATGTAAGTAAGGTACGATTTCAGTCTCTAAAATATGTAGACAGGTACTCAAACTCGTATGGTGTTGTATGGTCGGTTTCTTAACGCACTCCGGAAATATAGCTTACAATTTAATTTGTAAATAGTTCGACTGACGATCAAACAATAAAAAGTTACATATATTTCATCACCGATAATATTTAGAAAGATCACAAAGAAAATATAAACATAAATTGACAATAATAATTTGATCTTAGGTCTTGCTTTTTGCAGAGTAAATTACATTAAAAAGATATGTACAATTTGTAACCTAATGATACGTAAAACTTTAAGCATGTCCTCACAACAGTAATTATATAATACATTCAACTAAAATCTAAAACCGGGTAAAAGAACATTTAAGAGTAGAAGGTGAGGACCGGCGTCTGGTTTCCTCGAACCAAAAGAAATGGTGGCATATCATGGGTCAATATGTCGAGCCACGACATAAAAAGTGGGGCTGGAATTACTCCTTTTCTTGGCATCGGTAGCGTCCTGAGTAATAATGACAGTCATAATTTGCTGAGAATCAAACATGTGCATATAAAAGTATTATAGAAGTATATGCCTTACATTACCACCAAATCTGAACACCGAGACGTTTCTTGTAGCAAATCACGCAATCTCATATACCTGTTGCATTTATCTTTTGACGTGATCAAATCAGTATCAGTTATGATACAACCTGTAAGACCGATGAAACTTTGTGAGTTTAGTTTATTTTTAGGAGAAACCATTACATGAATATGTTAAATTGCTTTGCACTGACCATCATCTTCACCAGGGAGTTTTTCTTTTCTTCGGTATGGGGCAATAATACTCTCAAACAGCGCTCGAGTGGTATCGTGAGGCTTCATTGTGTAGTCAGTCACAATTTTCAGGTCGGAATAGTCAATGCGGAATTTCGCTAGTAGTCCTGCCATGCTATGCAATTTTCAAGATAAATGAGAACTTGTTAGATGTGGTTATGTATTACAGCATTACCTTCTTTAAAAGTATTTTATATTTGTTTTTGTATATTGTATGTTTAATAATTTAATACAATGCAAGAAGAGAAGAAATGCATTATTTACCTTCTGTGTTCAGCATCAAATTCGTCTTTTCTATTTGCAAGTGCAAACACTCGAAGTTTGCATGATGCAAAGTTTGGTCTAGTGTTGATTATGTGTGGAAGAAGGAGAGTAAGACCACCGTCATCGTATAACCACCAAACATCAATTACACCGTCTTTCCGTTGTTTCCGAAACCTAGTTATACTTTCCATGATGTCGCGAGGAATTTTACCCCCATGTACATTCCTAGAAATATAGAGTAATCCGAAACATAAAGAATGACCTGCAACACTTGACCTAATAACTCACCGGTAGAATATTCGCGGATCATTTTTCGGAGACAGTTTCGGAGACAGTGTGTCCTTATTTTCTGTTTTTGCTAGGGTACTTGTGGCTTCACAACTTCCAAGCTCGCCACTGCTTGCTGTAAGTTATATAATATTTGAAATGTTACATACAGTGTCATATGTTTACCTTATAATTAATTCTATTTAATTACGTATAAAGTATATAATAATATGAATAATAGAGATAATAAGTATTAACCAAACAAACGGTATAGACAAATTTTTCAGCACAACTGAAACAAAGTCAACTCACTCACCTCGCATTAAATTCCTAACCCCAATAGTGAGATACCTTCCTAACTCTTCTTAGCGTTTTGGATCGACAAAATAGGCAGCGTAAAAAAGAAATTCATATGATTCGATGCCGGAATCGTAAGGATTCTATTGTTGATGCAACAATTCGCCAAAACAGTAGAGAAATGTATTCATACCATGGGACATTTGGGACAATGACTGGTTACGAGGCAGACATTCATCCGAGGACCCACTTTTATTTTCTGCTTGCATTGTTGACGCTGGAATGTCTTCGCCGAAAATGACGCTCTTACTAAAGTCCATCCCATTACCAATTCGTAGAATGGTCACGGCCAAGTGCATGTCCATCGCCTTGCTGTAAATTAAAACCGTCTACTATGGTACATGACTAGAGCTAAAATATTATTTGAATGTCCAGTAATGTCGTACTGAATAGTTCGGAAATATTCATTCAACTCCTCAAAATTGCAAGTGTTCCAGTTATTTTTGAAGCCCATTAATAGTATGTTTGGGCGCAGTTTGCCGACGCCTGACGCTTGAAGCAGTGCTTTTGAACCTTCTTGAAAGCTCATGTCATCCACCAAGTTGAAGAACACTTTCAATTTATTCAAAGTAAACCAATTTTGCGCCTTGTCAATTAGAGCTTTTCTTTGTCGATTATCTAATGGCCTCTGAAACAATAACGTGTACAATCAGTAATCAATGTCGCATTATGCGTAAATATTTACCAATACGATAAATACCTTAACTATTTGCCCACACATTAGCAATGAAATTTGTTTTGTAATCAAGTAACCAAAGTCCACCAGACTTGGTCTGAAACTTGGATGCCCCGAGAGAACAAGAATTTGTGGTCTGTAATTTTTCACATGTTCTTGGACATTGTTCAATTGGTGAACTGAAGATAACGCCGTCTTATACGTTTGTGCTTGTGTGGACGAACCCCAGTTAACGTCTGCAACAAATAATATTTAAATATGTTAATTATCATAACACTCTTATGGATTAATATATACATATGTATATAGATGTATAGGTATGCATATTTCAAGTAGTTGAGTGAAATTTTGCAGCATTTTTTGTCATTTATTCGTACCGGGTTTACGGTAAACGACGATCAAATAAAGAAACGCCACAGCTCCAATAGTCAATATTGCGGTCTGTTTTTAAAATGTAATAATGAAGATATTTGGAAACACTTCTAATCATCATAAATAAAACTTTGGTTATATTTTTACCTGCCACGAAATTAAAAACATCACTGCAACGCACAATAATCCGCCGACCAAACTTAGCCACAAGTTGTAATACTTAAAAGTAGGTCTCCAACCTACGGGCTTGATTAAGGAGGCTACAGAATACGGTGTTGAGATAATTAAAATTATTGTTACATAGTTAATACTGATAAATTTAAGTTTAGAAATAAAATACTTAAAATTTTACAAAAACAAAAAATGCCAATTTCCCATGCACAAGAGAAATAATGTTCAAGATTTTGGCAATACTGACATGACTGGTTCATATTTTGACTATGTAAATGTATTGCATATATGGTATTGTATATTTCTTTACCGTTAAAACAACTAAAATTCACCAGGGCGTAGGCTAAATTCATATCAAAATTTAATAGATCATTTAGTATTTAGCTTCATGATGGATGGTACAGTTAGCAGAATTTAGGACAAACGAACCAGCAAGGAAGAAGTTTGAGATCAACGGTGCTATTTCAAATTACGAAATAACAAGTACTTATTAACCAACTTAAAATATGTTGATTAAAAGCTTATGTACACGAATTGACAAACTCACCTATAACATTCAGCTGAGCAATCAAGATAAACGCGAGGGCAACGACAAATGTAAGAACGTATCCTGCATTGGCAATTTACATTTATAAATATACATAAATTTAATGTTAATATGGGTTATATATGTACATATTATTTTACGACCTCTTATTGGCTCATTCGATTTCCCTTGTCCTTTCCCAAAAAATTCAAGGTATGGATAAAGCCTAGAATTTTCTTGAATAATGAATTATGAATAAAGCATAATTTTCATGAACCACTTACTTATCGTTGCATAACGCCTGGAAATTACAGATGTATGTATATAATATTATGTTATTCTATGTAATAATTTTAAAAAGAAGGCATGTATGTATTCTGCACCTGAAAGACCTTCGGAGCAGAAACCAAACTTGACAAGGCAGAACTGAGGGTAGCAGCAAAACAACCTTTAAACATAATTATTATTACTTTTATTGGGGGATACGAATTGAATTTAAGGGATGCTGACTTTCTTAAGAACCATATGTAATTGATCATGGAATAAATATTTCTTGCCTGCATAGATTAATCCCCCCGATATGCTGACCAACTCCATGACCTAAAGATGGAACATGGTATTGTACATATTTACATATGTATGTACATATCGGTACAAGAGCCGCTGTATGATTTTAGACCAGCGATATGTCATATAGTAGTAGTAATAGAAGCAAATATATTTACCTGAAAGCTATTCAACAAACCCCATTGACATTCTGCGTCCGTGGCGTTACCCAAATAAATAGTACCATTAAACTTATTTGTCTGGCACAGGTGAAATCCCGAGGAAATGTAAGACCAACGATCTTCTCTTGACCCATTAACAAGGTATTCAGGGACAGTAAAGTTGCCTGTGGCTTCGCGCAAAACACATGCCCCAGCTATCGAGGCAAAGGCAAGGTATGATATCGTGGTCACAACAATCGCCAAGAGCGTTCCAAGAGGTATACTGTGCTGTGGGTCTGCCAAATCTCCGGAGATATTTGCTCCAGCTAAAATCAAATTAAATTTTAGGATAATGCTTATATAATTAAATTTGGTAACTAGATAATTCTGTTAAACCTAAGATCCCAGTGGCCGCAGGAAAAAATATCGAAAACACGGAAAAAAAGGTTTGCTGGCCTTCGTTTGTGAGTCTGTAATCAGGGGCCAAGTTCTCCACGAATAGCGAACCTGGAAATAAAAAAATTCCCAATCAAAAATAGTCATAACAAAACGAAGGTTTCACAAACCACATTCGCAAACAAATTAACTTACCATTATATCCAACGAAGCCTTTGCTGAATTCCTCGTCTGGCCACCCAAAGGAAAAATATTAATAAAGAAAAAAAGGAAAACTTAAAATGAGAAAATCTTTGTCTACCAGATATTGGTCCAATGAAACTGTTCAGAAAATGCATCAACTTTACAACTAGGACAATCATGTAAAATATAAAACAATAGAAACCATACCTTCCAATCACAAAGTCTACCATCGCTGCTAACAGAATGATTAGCAACCCAACTTGTGCTGTCGCCTCCCACTCCATTCCAACAACTACAACACAAGTTAGCACAACGATTGCCACACTTCCGATGATTCGCACACTGTTTGTGTCATCCAGGACTACGTATGTTCTAAAGCTCTTTAGAAGATCGACCATCGACTCGGCAAAACCAACAACGTACCTGCGCCATATCATGATCTTTAATTGGACCATCAATACACAAAATGACTAAAAATAACAAAATTTTACACGCACATGGCCGCCGCGACCGCATTTGCCACCTATGTGTTGATGCAATCAAAAATTGTTGTTATACAGTATTGATGATAAGTTAAGAAATAAAATAGTCAAGTATAAAATCGCAAACAAACCGCAAAGATAAATCCAATGCTACCTCCCTAACAAATTATTTAAAAAAAGTTATGACTGCAATTCTGATCATTATAACTTATTACGAAAAGTATGTATGTACAAACTTACAAACTCCGGCCCCAACGATCTCGATAACATGAAGTAGGTCCCCCCTATTATTCAAAATAAACGTCAAAATGATTCTAACTTACTTAGCTATACATGTACAAAATTTGGGCAGAAGGAAGCATTTTAGCATGAAATCATTATGTGGGTGAGAGTGATTAAAATAAAAGAAAATGCAACAGTAGACGAGGAGGCACAAGAAATAACCTGACCAGCTTTAACTTCACCGTTGGTAATTTAAGTTAAGAAATAAAATACTTAAAATTTCGACTTTCATCCATACCTCCCTTAATTTGTCCATTTGTGCTAAAGGAAGACAAAAAGAGGATCAAGAAATTATTATCAGACAACAATAATTCTCAAGAATTTCACAAACACGTGAAATCTCCTCGCAAATCTTGTCGAATAATATCTAAATAATTAGGGTTGCCCCGGGTACCGGGTAGTTACCCGGTACCCGGCATACCCGGCCTGTTTTGGGATACCCGGTACCCGGCCGGGTAATTTAGATATTTAATTTTCTAACTTCAAATGCAAAACCTTACCAAAAAAAATATAATCCGATGGATTTCATGGTTCAAATTGGTATAAAATAATATATATGGAAAAGATGGATACAAACTTGGCCAATACGTAAGTGGAAATTATCATGCAAATTTTAAAATAACTTTGGGCGCACTTACGTCAACCAATTTACAATCAGTCAATTTGCATATCTGCCAAATTAAGCATAACTTGCGAAGCTTTGGGAAATTTGCAAGATTTCTCAAAGCTTTTTCTAGATAGACATTGTTTTTTTTGTAACATTATTTCGCAAACTCATCCTCGCGATCGTCAGCGAAACAAATTTCGAAAATCTATTAAACCTACATCAAAATAGACGTCTTTAACAAATTTTTTGAGCCTCACAAATTTGCTAAATTATTGCGATGATAAATAAGACATGATCGTGAGTTTGATCTTTGTATGTCTCACATGATGCGTTCATCTACATGTGCAATACCCACTTTTTAGCCCGAATCATGTCTTATGGAACCGCCATTCCCGTAAGTTAATAAAGAAGCACAGAAAGAAGTGAGCTTCACTTGTCCTGGCAGTACCAGTCAAGGCGAAGGATTACTAAATACATTCAAAATTGGGTGGCAAATAATAGGAAATGTTAAAAAATATTTGACAAGCCACAAGGGGTGATAGTCTGGTGAATTCGGAGATAAATTTAGAATCTGACTTAAACTGACTCGGGGAAAATGAAGTCACTGTTTAATTTGTCATTTTTAACATTAAAAATGTTGCAAATATATAAAATTGTTGAAAATTCTAGAAAAACTAGAAAACTTCCAGATATTCTTAATATACATATACTACCCGGTACCCGGCGAAAATCTTAGGCCGAGTACCGGGTAGTACCACTACCCGGGGCAACCCTATAAATAATACTGCAATTCATATGCGCGAACGAGATTTGCTGGACAAAGACGAGGATGGCGAATATTTAGTATTTAATTGACAACCTGATGGCCGACATGGAAAGACCAGTGATCTGTAATAACACATATGTATGAGCATGTAGATAACAGTTTGATTGACAAATTTTTAATAGGTGAAAAAGATACCCACCCCTGTAACCACTCCAGCTAGTCCAATAATGACCCAGGTTTGAACTGAATTGCAAAATTAATTAATTAATAGACATTACTGATACTTGAGCAATAAGTATCGACTGAATAGGAGTTCATGCTACTCTTCCACCTTTGAAATAACAAAAATCCATCCATACCGATTCCAGCTTGGCCCGTCACCTATATATTGCATACGTATTCCTTAGCATTTTAAACGCAGAGTTGGAAACCTAAAAGTGTAACATACCCAAGATAACCGAAGAAAAAGCATAACTCCCCAGATATTCAGCAAACACCGCACAAACACGCCTAACATGTTTTAAATAAGAAAAATCTAAGATAGCATGTTATAAAGTTTCACATAATAACATAACAAATCGAACCTTTCACCCAACCGAATTTTACGGCGGATTCAGGAGCATCCCCCTTCGTGACTCCTTCTTGGGGTTGATCCTGAAAAATTGAGATCGTAATAATATACTGAAACATTGAGGGTATTCATTACATATTTCTTCGTATCCTTAGTTTACGAAGAAAAAATAAGGGGTCAGGTTTCGTAAAAATCGTAAGCGTAGTAACGCGATTTTCGATGACAAAATCTACGTCACTTAAAAAAATCTCGTCGTCGTAAGTTGTTTTACGATACGAAGAATACTAAGAATTAAGAATACGAAGAAATAATGAATACCCTCATTGCGAGAAATAAAGGTGTAAGGGCAAAGGGATCGCTAAATATGTACTTATTTTCCCATCTCTTTGTCTGTTCATGTAGTGCATCAATAAATCAGGACAGGGTTGCACAACATTACAGCACATATGTGTAGCACTAGGAGTTATACCAGCAAGTATGTAATTAGCTATCATTCAGACAAAGAAAGGGCAGCTAGACAAGTATTAATTATACGACTCGTTAATTCTAGCATTGAATTAGAAAAGGATATTCTGTTCCATAAAGATGTACATATATGTGTGTTGTTGGAATGCTTTCTGTTGCTCAATTACAGAAATAATTATTTCAAAAAGAAGGATTCTGAATTATATATAAACCCGAAAAGAGAAGAATATTGCGGAAATGGATGGAAAAGAAAAGTTTCAAAATAACCAAAGAAAATACTCTTATGTATAAGTATAATTTTAAATATACCTTTCCTTCAAAATCCAAATCATGTAGTTCGTCCAACGTAGGACGGTAAGCAGCCTGGATGGACATCATGTTTCGATAGTTGTCCTTCAAATCGTTAATAAATAAACATTAGTAATTGAATTTTAGTCAAATAAAATCTGAACTTTTTTTCTAAATTTCTAACAAAACCACACACAAGTGATGGGAGGGCTTCTCTCGTCAAGTGACGAAAACTTTTAGCATATTTCGTATCATAGTTGCCACTGAGGGTGAAGTGGGCCTGGTCACCGACAGATTGGCGATGATGCGTCGGGGAAATGAGCATCGCTGGGGAAGCACAACTTTCATCCAATGGGGACAACCTTCCATTTCTATCTGCTGTATCAAAAATTAAAAAAATCACTACTTTGTCAATGTATGTATGTAGTGAAGTAAAGTGAAATTGGGTTGACAGTACCCATATACATTCATAAATACATAGCTACATATATTTATAGATGTGCTAAAGAAAAGAGTCATTAGTATCAGAAATAGGACTTGTATGCAAACCATTACCATCATCAGGAGTGTAGCCAACTAAAGTCGCTTCTCCAGCAGCACCACCCACACGACTTGGCACAGGCGAGTGACCATTAGAGTTGACCGTAGAAGAGTCTACTCGATTCACTTGAAAACGAGTCCGCTTATCACGCAAGTCCATATCCATCGTTGTGTCAATTGGTTCAATTGTAATTCGTTGCAATCTAATTGAAATAAGAAAATATTTAACTTAGGATTAATTCAATAGCCCAAGACTTCCTCATAGGGGAAAAATATTATGTCGACTGCTTGAATCAGCCTAGTAAAAAACTTTGACTTTAAGTTAGCACAATGAGAACAATGAAGAACAATAGAGGTAAGTTGTAAGTTGTTATTAATTTAAACAATTGCAGTGCTAAAAATATACTGTCATGTGCAGTGCTCTCAAGTGTACATATAGAGCCCGAGTCAAAACTGAGGCCGTGATTCATTCATAATCAACTGGACCTACTTATATTGATTTCGCCTATTTCCGTATTTCCTGAATGTACATATACTAGCGTATAAGCCCGTCTCCCGCCGGGCGAGCGAGAAATATCAGATGAAAAAGTTTGTCGGAAGCCGAAGCGAAAGCAAAGAAAGTCATAGAGTTTAGACTGGCACGTATTAAACGTCTAATGGTAGTTTTCTTGGGCTGGTTGTAGCCTTGACTTCAATTTCACTTTGACTTTACTTTAAACTAAAGTGGCGGATCCTGGATACCCATGACAGACTTCCAATTCTATTTAACTTCAAACTAAAGTGGCCATGATAATCACCCCCAGATAACCCCCACGATAACAACCCCCAGACCACCACCCATGACAACCCCCCATGATAACCACCCCCGGATAACCCCCCACGATAACTACTCCCAGATAACCACCCATGACAACCCTCCATGATAACCATTCCCAGATAACCCCCCACGATAACCACCCATGACAACCCCCCCATGATAACCACCCCCAGATAACCCCCCAAGATAACTACCCACAGATAACCCCTCACGATAACCACCCCCAGAAAATTCAGTGGTAAAGTGTGCACATGTGCTCACTTCACACTTTTGTGTCTCGTCACCACCGTCAAAAAGTGTGAAGTGATCACAGGTGCTCACTTCACACTTTTGTGTCTCGTCACCACCGTCAAAAAGTGTGAAGTGATCACAGGTGATCACTTCACACTTTTGTGTCTCGTCACCACCGTCAAAAAGTGTGAAGTGATCACAGGTGCTCACTTCACACTTTTGTGTCTCGTCACCACCGTCAAAAAGTGTGAAGTGATCACAGGTGATCACTTCACACTTTTGTGTCTCGTCACCACCGTCAAAAAGTGTGAAGTGATCACAGGTGATCACTTCACACTTTTGTGTCTCGTCACCACCGTCAAAAAGTGTGAAGTGATCACAGGTGATCACTTCACACTTTTGTGTCTCGTCACCACCGTCAAAAAGTGTGAAGTGATCACAGGTGATCACTTCACACTTTTGTAGTGGTTATCTGAAGGTGGTTGTCAAACAGTGGTTATCTGGGGGTGGTTGTCAGACAGTGGTTATCTGGGGGTGGTTGTCAGACAGTGGTTATCTGGAGGTGGTTGTCAGAGAGTGGTTATCTGGGGGGGTTGTCAAACGGTGGTTATCTGGGGGTGGTTGTCAGACTGTGGTTATCTGGGGGTGGTTGTCAAACGGTGGTTATCTGGGGGTGGTTGTCAGACTGTGGTTATCTGGGGGTGGTTGTCAAACGGTGGTTATCTGGGGGTGGTTGTCAGACAGTGGTTATCTGGGGTGGTTGTCAGACAGTGGTTATCTGGGGGTGGTTGTCAAACGGTGGTTATCTGGAGGTGGTTGTCAGACAGTGGTTATCTGGGGGTGGTTGTCAAACGGTGGTTATCTGGAGGTGGTTGTCAGACAGTGGTTATCTGGGGGTGGTTGTCAGACAGTGGTTATCTGGAGGTGGTTGTCAGACAGTGGTTATCTGGAGGTGGTTGTCAAACAGTGGTTATCTGGAGGTGGTTGTTAGACAGTGATTATCTGGGGGTGGTTGTCAGACTGGTTATCTAGGTAATTTATGTTTCTAAATAAAGAATTTAATTTGAATTTTCGCGCCATTTGAAACTTAACTTTCTCCACTTTCACTTCCGCAACAGAAAATTACTTTCACCTCCGTTGCCAAGAGACATTTCCAGCTTATAATATAGATGCATGTACCACAACCATTTCAAATCGATCGGATAAGCTCCAGTTATCGTCCATAAGACAGACAAACCAAGCGAACGGACGTGGTTCTATATTGCACCCATTCATGACTTCAGAGTGTGAAATACCAATATGTTTAATCAAATGTTCTGACGATTTTCATTTAAATTTATATATACCGATACTCTGTATATGTAGATGTGTAGCTGTCTCCAGATCACACGATACCATGTTGACGGACACTTATTTTTTATGACATTTGGGTTGATGGAAAAATGACGTTTAACAGACGTTTCGGAGAAAATATTTCCGTATGAATCACCAGAAATACAAATGGATTTATAAATCCATTTGTGCATGTACAATATTTAGGCATACTTGTATCAAAGAATCGATTAGATACACATATAATGTAATGTTCATGGTGCTCTTTTATCTGAGAGTTGAGTGCATGTATTAAACACTTGATTGTTTGAAGGGGAATAGGAAGTGATGTTTTCCCATGCAGTTGTTAGAAATAATGGAGACATCACATTTCCTGATGTTTGTCCCGAAAATGAAGAAATTGCATGAGCTCACTAGATTGTGATTCGTGTATTTTTAAAAGTGGTATATTACAGCCAGAAACTATGAATTCAAAAAGTGTGACGATTACACTAATGCATACACATACGTACCTATAAAAAAATCTCATAAATCAATGCATACCTGCCAGTTTGGAACATTTCTGGTTGCAAAAATATATAACAAGTCGCAATTAGAGCTTCTTGTTTTATTTTAATCGTGCAAACCATTGCATTGTATGAAATTGTAAAATATTAATTGCCCGTTTTATCTGTATTGGATTTTTATGTAGCTTTGCCTTATTGTCTTGCTTGAACTAGTGCTCATAGAACGATATAGTGTCTGTATGTGTCAGTTATCTTGATAACTCTTGTTAAATTAGCCGATCGAGTTGAAATTCTGTAGTAAATATGGGTCAAAGCAAGGTCAAAGTAAGAATCACATTCTAAAATGGGTCTAATCGGTCGTTATCATGCATTTAGTACATAACCCCTGGAAATTTTGTATAATATTATTGTACAATTGTTTAAAAATTACCTTATATTAGATTGGGGTGGCTGGAACAGAGAAATTGGTTTGGTTCGTGGGTGAAAGCGAGAAACAGTGAAAAGAGACGACCGGAGAAAATTTTCTTGCAGAAAAAATGAGAGAAAACGGAGCTCCCCCACTCACACTCTGCTCTTTCAGACTGACCAGATTTTTCCGATCCCCTCGCTTTATATACCTCAAGGACAGTGGGTGGCGGCGGAAGTTTGGGGACATGTGACATTAGCTTTGTGAGATAGGAGTATTAAGAGCTTATTAACCTCTTAAGGACGAAATACACACATTTGTGTACCGCATAAATTACCCTGAGACCCAAATTTCTCAAAAATAAAGAGTATTTCTTCGGTATTTTTTGGAAAGCTCGATGGTAAAAAGTGGATTTTTTAGTAATTTTCTTCACAAATTGTGGAATTTTCGCTATATGTTAAAAAGCGGATTTTTCGTGTTTTTCGCCAGAAAAAGAAGAGAGAAGAAAGAAGTTCTTCTGTACCAAATGTCGACAAGGGTTTCTGTCTTGGGGAAAACTTGGATGGAAATTTCCTAATAGCGTTTTTCACTCAGTGCAAAAAAATTACTCAAATTCTTATAAAATTTCAGCAAGTTGGAATTCCCAAATACAGATGATGATACAATACAGATACATATTTGCATGATGCATTTTCCTTTGTTTTCATATTGCAAGTTTTTTGGCACGAAATGATCCGGGTTCAACTTTGTAATCACTATTCTTGCTCGGCTGGAGCAACAATTACAAATTGTAATTTACATTTACAAATATTTATATTATTGCCTAAATCATGACGAGAAAATTTATTTAATTCGCTAATTTCCCCCAAGTTATCGATATTTGGAAAAAGGTATATATTGTATATGTTTTATAAAAAGTATTTCTTCATTTATGAATGTTATTTTATACTTTCCAAGTACATGCTTGAAAACCTCAAAAAACCGGGGACTTCTATATTGCTAGTCTATTAAATTATTGATCGTACTTGGTTTTAATCATTTTCAGACTCGACATGGCCGACAATCACCTCTGCCTTCTGTGTTTACAAGTATTTAATAATTGCGACGACGACGACGACGACGACACGGTGGCAAAATCATACCAGAGAATTCGAATCGAGACCCTTTTCGAATTGCTATCTCCGTTTCATTCCAATCACAAATCTGTAACGAACCAATATGAATTTGCAGAGGATAAGGTGTGCGAATTTTGTCAGGATTGTTACCCCTTCGTCGCCACCGTAGAGGAAATCAGGAAGCAAATTTCACTCCTGGAGGAAGAGCTTGGCAGAAAAGTCGGACAAATTCGGACTACGATATTGCACCCTTCATCCTTCCCACAAAACAGTGATGATTACGAAATTATGAAAATTCGTGACAAGATTCTTGTCCTGACTGGTTAGACATTTTTCATATTGCAAATTAATTAAACGAAGCAGCTAATTATAATTAGACCCTTTACTAATTAAAGTCGTTTAAATTTCTAGAAATCGAGAATGCAGAAGAATACAATGTCAATTTTCAATTCGACGAGGTACAAGTCAAAGTGGAAGATGAGAAGGACAATGCTGATCCCGTGGGACATGTGGACGACCAATTCTTCGATGAGGACTGTAATTCCTTCTTCCAGTCAATAGCAAATGAGGCAGAGAGTGATTCTTTGCGTGGAGCTGAAAACGAAGACGATGACTTCTGCATCACTCCATCTCCCCAAAAGAAGCCGAGAGGCAGGCCAAAATCGACCGGAAACAAGGCGCCACCAAGGTATGAACCACCAAGGTAGCACAACAATTTATGGTGTTCTCAATAGTTCTCATTATGAATAATTTCGGTGTAAGCATGCGTTAAAAAAATTAAGATGCTACCGTAGATTATACCGTACAATTTGTATACACACATAAGTCTAATATACCCTGCATCGCATCAGCAATTTCTGTACAATTTATGCACTAACTAAATTGATTTATTTCCCATAGGACTAAAAGAAAAAGTGAAGAACTTGTAGAATTCAACCCAATTTCGAATTCGAAGAGGAACAAATTAAATCCTGGTGGATCTCTCAGCAGACCTGCTGCGGTTCGAGCTTCACCTCGCATCAGAAAGCCAATTTCTTCAGTCCAAGCCGTAAAATCTCTTTCAAAATCCTTGACAAGGATTAAGCATTCAATCACAAAATCGTCTCCCATATCCAACGCCGGATCAGACGATGATGCAAAATCCGAACTAGGTGGCACAGAGTGGACTCCCAAAAATGACCCCGACATCGAATCCTCCTCTTCTGAGGATCAAGTCGAACATAAAAATGACCCCATCCGTTCCCATGCGTGCTCCTCTTGTGTTCGCACTTTTACATCAGAATCCGCCCTTAATCGCCATATAGGATCCTACCACCCTGTCTCTTGTATCGTGGCGACATGCTCAGTCAAATTTCGCACCATAAAGGCGAGGGACGTCCACTTGAAACAAACTCACGAAGGCTTCGTTCCTTACCAATGTCGAATTTGCAAGAAGAAATGCTGTAGCCAATCCACCTTAGAAGTGCATATGGTGATTCGCCATGAAAAAGGAGAGAAAAAATTCCCCTGCGTTAAATGCGACAAGAGTTTCTGCCTCGGCGAGAACTTGACGCGACATTTGAGACTACACAAGGTCGAGGCGATCAGACCGTTCGTTTGCGACGTGTGTGATTCAAGATTTAAAGTCGAGGAGCGTTTACAGAGACATTTGGTGACACATGCAAAATCCTTCAAATGTGATTATTGTACCAAGCGATTTAGCACTACAATGGCGTTGAAAAAGTAATCCAGTGTGATTTTATATTTCTAAAATTGTGACAGATTAGACATAATTGTGCCTTTTTTCGTACACTTTACAAATGACTAGATTTCTCTATTCCAGACACGAGCGCTCTCACACTAAGGAAAAACCTGAGAAATGTCCCAAGTGCGATTCAACCTTTGGCGACAATATTACCCTACAGCGTCATATTGTTCGAGACCACTCATCAGCATCCGTACCGCATATTTGTCACATTTGTGGAAAAGGGTTTTACCTTCCCAACGACCTCAAGATGCACCTTGCCCGGCACGATGGCAAGCTACGAGTCAAATGCGACACGTGTGGGGAAAGTTTCGGAGAGCAGAGTACCCTACAGTCCCATCGCATTAAGGTTCACGGGGATGACCCACTTGTTTGTGATGAATGGTAATTTTGTAATTTGTACAGATGTTTGAGTCTTTATAAACTTGTAAACTTAAATAACATTGCAAAGAATTTTGGAATAGTGGTGGAACATTTACCTCACGTCCTGGATTACAGCTCCATAAGAAGATTCACAAGGGAGACAAAAAACATCGATGCAACGTAAGGCTATTAATTAACGAAATTCATCATAAATTTAGTAAAAATTCATTTCAAAATTATTACAAAATTTATGAACTTCCAAAATCACCTACTGTGTCTCAATGTTTTATAGACGTGATTCAAATTAAGCTGCCTATGTTCATAAACTTTGGTAGGTTTACAAAGTTATAAAGTAAAATCACCTTAATAACCTAATGGAATATTAAGCGAATCAAAAGAGTCTTTTATTTATAAACCTTTAGAAATGAATTTTAGAAAACGCACTTGGTTTACTGGATGAATCACTAAATTTTGGACTTTTTTTGTTTATAGATTTGTGACGCCACTTTTATCCGCAAACAAGAACTTGACACTCACATGCGATCTCACACCGGAGAGCGACCCTTTGTTTGCCCCCACTGCGAAAAAGCCTTCAAGACTAGAAGGAATTTGAGCACCCACGTGAAGGGTATTCACACTCCGGGCTACGTCGCCCCAACCCCCCACAAATGTTTCCACTGCAATAAAGGGTTTCAGACTCCTTTCTTTCTCAGATGTCACATTCGCCAAGCACACACGGGAGAGCGGCCCTTCCCTTGTGACCAGTGCGAGAAACGGTTCGCCATCAAGTCAGCGCTAAATCTGCATTTAAAGGGAGCCCATGGCGTCCTTTTGGAGGCTAAAGTTAGACTGGCAAGATCAAAAAAAGATGCGTTTCCGGAAGAAGATGATGCTTGAATTGTAGGTAATAAGTATTATTGTTAACACTTCTTATTAGAGGATTGATAACATTTATTTAGCATGTTAACGTGAGTTGAAAGTTACAGTTGTAAGTATACCAGCCAACGCTTTAAAGTATTTATGGAAAAATTAGTACTTGATAAGGCTGAGAATAAATACGAAATATTTTTGTTAACCTTTGGAAAATCATGATTGTTTGTAAAATTGATATTTTCAAATGATTAATTCAAGGATTAATTTTTCAAGATTGATTGAAAATTGATCAAGCATTAATTAATTAAAATAGACCATTTGCATGAAAAGAGAAGAATCAGAATGCCGAATGGAACTTTGTCTCGAGAATTTTGAGATCTCTCTTTTGGCACGAACTTGAGACTTCAAATGCTATCTTCACAACTTTGTAAATAAAAAATCATTCTCCGGATTGAATCGAAGTTTCAACTTTCAATTCGCCTAAAAATAATTAACTTTTTTTCAAACGTAACGTATATTACTTCTCACACCCCACAATCCACTAGGTACATATTGAATACTAGCTGAAATTCATGTGAAATTATATACATATATAATTTCAATTTCAAAGTTCAAACTTTCAATCAACTTTCAATTAGACAGATTGATCGAGCTGTCTACATTTCAAATACAAATGTTATTACCCTCATTGTACAATTTTTTAATTTCCAGAGTCAGCAATATGTCCAGCCACCCCTGCCTCTTGTGTTTACAAGTTATCGACGACACCGCAGCGAAATCCTTACAAAAAATCAGAATAGAAACCGTGTGCCAGCTTCTAGTTCCGCGTCATTCTAATTACAAATCTTCTAATCAATCCGAATTTGATGGGGACGAGGTGTGCGAATTTTGCGATGATTGTTATCCTCTCTTCGGCACAATGGAAGAAATTAAGAACCAAATTTCTTTGCTGGAGGAACAAATTGGAAAGCAAATTCAACAAATTCGGGCCACAATTTTGGACGGTTCCTCTCAATTCGGAAGTAATGGGTATGATGGAAGAGAGAAAATTATGCAAATTCGTGACATGATTCTCAGCCTGACAGGTTAGGCATTTAAAAATTACTTTTGACTAAATAATGCCATAATACTTTTACATAAAATGATTCCAATTAAATAGGTGAGAATGAGCAACATGATGAACATTTTGTATCAGGCGAGGTTCTAGTCAAAGTGGAACATGACAATTTTGATATCATCGGAGATGTGGATGACCACTTTGATGACCACTACACTTCCTATACTCAATCTAGTGTTGATAAAACAGGGGAAGAGGGAACAAATGATTTACTATGCGACGAAATGGCCGACGACGACACGGACTTTTGTATTACTCCTTATTCACAAAAGAAGTCGGGACGGAGGTCTAAATCAACTAATAAGAAGCCACCACTACGGTATTAATTAAGTCAAAGTTATTGGGCATGTTCACGTCAAATCATATTAGATTTCTTACGCGCAGAATACCCCCCAGCAATTTAAAAGAGGCTTTTAATTTAATAGATAGATCTTTAAGTGATAAATATGCTTCATTGCATTTTTGTGAAATTTGGGAATTGATTATGCATGTCAACCTTCATTCAAATTTAGCATAATTATTACATGTTTTGTTTTGCATTAATATTTTTTATTCGTTATTAATTGACAAATTCATGTATTCTTTGCAGGAAACGAAAAAGAGAGGACTATCCCGTGGCAAGAAAAAAATCAAAACTTACAACAATATCAAAGCGGATCAAGGTGGAAGCTTCTCGACCATCAAACCTGCAAACGACACGATCTTCAACTCGGGTCAAACAAAAAAACATCCAACCCAAATGTGTCAAAACTCCTGTAATTTTGCTGAAGAGACTTAAACCTAGAAGTAAAAAATCCACTCCAAGGTCTAACTTCTCATCAGATATAAAACCCAAACCCGACGAGGACATGGATTGTGTACCAAAAACCGAAAATGATGACATCGAACTATTCGAACTCTCCTCCGACATTAAAGTCAAGCGTAAAAGTAATTACATTCCTTCTCCCAAGTGTATTCCTTGCCACTCGCCGTTATGCACCGTCACGTTTCGCAGCATACGGGCAAGGGACGCCCATGCAAAACTTGCACACGAGGGTCTCTCCCCTTATCAATGCCAAATATGCAAGATAAAGTGTCGTCGCGAAAACGACCTCGGTGCTCACATGGTGATTATGCATGAAAAAGGAGAGAAGAAATTTCCCTGCATCAAATGCGTCAAGAGTTTCTGTCTCGAGGAAAACTTGGAGAGGCATTTGAAACTGCATGACGTTGAAGACACTAAACCACTCGTTTGTGACGTGTGCGACTCAAGATTTGAAAACGAGGAGAAACTGAACCGACATGAAGAGATACACAAGGTCAGGTTTCGGTGTCAGCATTGCGCAAAAAAATGCAAGGACAGGAAAGAGTTGGAGAGGTGACTGGTTAATCTTATCTTTGGTTATGGCGCTACGCATACATTCCCACATAGTTAGGGCGAACTAATTACTTGCTCTTTTTTTCAGACACGAACGCTCTCACACTGGCGAAAGACCAGAGAAATGTTCTCTTTGCGAAAACTGCTTTGCCAACAAGATCACCCTGCAGCGTCATATGATTCGACACCACTCATCAGCACCCCCAGCGAATATTTGCCACATTTGTGGAAAGGGGTTTTACCTTCCCATCGACCTCAAGACGCACCTTGACCGTCATGATGGCAAATATCAATCCAAATGCGACACGTGTGGCGAAACGTGTTTAAACTCCGCTTCGTTACAATCTCATCGTATTAAGGTGCACGGCGAGGACCCCGTCGTTTGCGATGAATGGTAATATGAATTTTTTATGACAAATAAATTTTATGATGAATAAATAACCTCTAATTTTTTTTTATTTTGGAAAAGCGGTGGCAATTTTACATCAATGGTAGGGTTAAAAGTACACAAAAAGTACTCCCATGCAGGAGTGAAAAAGCACAAATGCGAGGTACGGCTACCATTACTAATTCGAAATAATCTGTTCGTAATTTTTACTAAAAATCATGCTTAATATTTTATGCATCGACTAAATTTTGATTGCTGATATTTCAAAATTTACTTATCTTGCTTTACATGAACTATTTACCTTTGTAAAATTCAAGAGTTTAAGTAATTTCCAAAATTTTCTGTCTATAGACTTGTGGTGCTTGTTTTACCCGTATGGACGTGCTGAGGCGTCACATGCAGTCACACAACACAGAGCGACCCTACACCTGCCCCCACTGCCCACAAGCCTTCAAGGTGAACAAAAATTTGGCCGATCACGTGAAGCGTATCCACACTCCTGGCTACGTTCCCCCCACCCCTTACAAATGCCCTCATTGTGGCAAAGCATTCCAATTTCCTGTCTATCTGGAAGGCCACATCCGTCAAGCCCACACGGGGGAGCGGCCCTTCACTTGCGACCAGTGTGATAAGGGGTTCGCCTTGAAATCAGCGCTAGCTCTGCATTCGAAAGGGGCCCATGGCGTCGTTCCGGAGACGAAAGAAAGGCTGCCAAGGTCGAAAAGAGTTGCGTTACACCAGGAAGAGGATTCAAGTGATTAGATTTTGCCTAATATTACTAAATTACGATTTTGGAATTTGTAATATCACCTTATAAAATATTGAACAATTAATATGCATATTTTATTTTTTATACCGGATACTTTAACAGATTGTAAAGTAATTTGATCAACGCCAGCACTTTAAAATATTTACGAATAAATTCATATATACTTGATATAATTTTAACGAACGGAAGTATTTCATTAACTTTTTGATAAGCTTTGCACATTTTGCATGAAAAAGTTGTGTCATTACTTGTATTGAGAGTGAGACGTGCTTTCTCATCTTTTGGCACGAATTTGAGCTGATCTGACAACTTGTAAACATTGAAGCTTAACATGTAAAAAATAAAAAAACAAACTTTCAGTTGCATTCTTATCCTTTAAATTCGTTTACATTGCTTAACTAAATTTCAAAACATTTCAAAACATACAACTTCTCCAATTGAACGTATTTCTCACCTGTCCATTCACCCGGTATAAATTATGTAAGTACTTTCTCAAATGCAAATTAAATTAATTTTTTAATGTCTTGATTAATTCTTCAAATATAAGCGTCAATTAATCACATTGTACATATTTTTTAATTTCCAGACTTTAGTCAACATGTCCCGTCAACTCTGCGTTCTTTGCTTACACGTTTTCGACAACGGCGACACCACAGCAAAATATACCCGGACAATCGAAATCGCAACCCTTTACAAATTATTAGCACCTAATTCCAAATACGGTCATCCATCCGAATTTGAGGGAAACGAGATATGCGAATTTTGCGATGATTGTTATCCAATATTCAGCACGATGGAAGATATTAAGGCTCAAATCTCACTGCTGGAAAATGAAATTGGGTCAAAAGTTAAGCAAATTCAAGCCACAATTTTGGACGCTTCCTCACAGCTACAAAATAATGGGGATGATGAAGAAGGGAAAATTATCCAAATTCGTAACATGATTCTGCGCGTTACAAGTTAATAGAATAATACAGTCAATTAATGTTAATTCAATTAATTAATGACAAATTTGTCTGTACGTTTAGGAAAGACTGATGAACAACTTGAAAGTTTTGTATCAGGCGAGGTTCAAGTCAAATTGGAACACGACATGGGTGATATTAGTCCCCTCGGTGATCTGGGGGATCAATTCTTCGATGACGACGACTACAATTCCTACTCTCAGCCAAGTGTCGAAAAAACAAAGGAGGAAGAGACTGATGATTTACTTAATGAAAATGACGACGACGACACAGCTTTTTGTATTACTCCTTGTTCCCAAAAGAGGTCGAGGGGAAGGCCAAAAAAGGCGTCAAAAAACAAGGCAATAACCCCCGGGTAGGAAAGTCAAAACCATTTAAGTAAATTTATGCAGTGACATGTTAGCAATACTAACTTTACATATCAATTTTACCTGCTATCGATGAATGGACTAATACATATATATTTTATTTAATAATCTTAAATGTTATATTTAATGTCTAGCATCAAACGAAAAAGAAAAGATTCTCCCTTACGAAAGAAACAATCAAAATCAAAAACAAACTCGAAACGAATTAAACTAGAGCACCATCAATCTCACAGCGTTCAAGCGACACGGTCCTCAACACGTGTCAAAAACTCAACCGTCTCATCCAATGGTAACAAAACTCTTGTCGTTTCGCTGAAAAGGATCCGTCCGATTAAAAAATCCACATCAATATCAAACTCAGGATCATCAGAAGAGGAAGAAACAAAACTTAAACGTTGGGACGACAAGGATTGGGCTCCCACAAGTGAAGATAAAATCAATCCTACCAACTGTCACAAGTGTACTTTCTGCTCCAAATCTTTCACCAAAGAATCAGTCCTTAACCTTCATATCAGGCGTCTTCACTATCTCCCTTGCATCGTGCCGTTATGCACCGTTAGGTTAAGTGGCAAGCGAGCCATGGACGACCACTTGAACCGTGCCCATGAGGGCTACGCCCCGTATCAATGTCGAATTTGTAAGAAAAAATGTCGTCGCCAAAACGAAATGGCTGCTCACATGGTGATTCGACATGAAACAGGAGAGAAGAAATTCGCCTGTGTCAAATGTGAGAAGAGGTTTTGCCTCGAAGACAATTTTGAGAGACATATGAAACTACACGAAATCGAGGGGATCAAACCACTTGTTTGTGACGTTTGTGATGCCAGATTTGAAAACGAGGAGAAACTGAATCGACATTCAGAGACACATGACCCGAGAAATAAGTTTCGATGTCAAGTTTGTGGAAAAGGATGCCTCGATAAGACAGCGTTGGAAAAGTAATGGGTTAAATTTCTCTTGTTTCGTATTATCACAGCCATTCTAATTCATGCTAATTAATTACTTTTTAGACATACGCGTACCCACACTGGCGAAAGGAAAAGAGAGAAATGCCCCCACTGTGACGCCATGTTAGGCGACAAGGTCTCCCTGCAGCGTCATCTCATTCGAGACCACTCATCAGCATCTGCAGAACATATTTGCCACATTTGTGGGAAAGGGTACTATCTTTCCATCGATCTTAAAACGCACCTGGCTCGCCACGAAGGAAAATATCAATCCAAGTGCGACACGTGTGGCGAAACTTTTCGAGTATTCAGCAGTTTGCAAACTCACCTTATCGTAGCGCACGGGAAGGACCCCTACGTTTGCGATGAATGGTAATTTGACTTATTTTTTTATAAACAAACTTCTATTTAATGGCAATAAATTTTTAACAATTTTGGAAAGCGGTGGTACTTATACTTCGTTCGATGGATTAAAAAGACACAAAAAAATCCACACGGGAGTGAAAAAGCACAAATGCCATGTAAGACTACCAACTATTTTAGAATAATATTTTTGCAAAGTTTCTTAAAAGTCCAGCTTTGCCTTTGTAACCCAACATTTCTGAAAGTGTTAACATTACGGAGATATTTGCTTGCCATGATTCCCCCAGAGTCCAGGAATTTACTTCATTTTCATTTGTTTGTCTATAGACTTGTGGCGCCAGGTTTATTCGCGCGACGGAACTTACAAGTCACGTGCGAACTCACACGGGGGAGCGACCATTCCCTTGCCCCCACTGCGAAAAAGCCTTCAAGGTCAAGAAACAATTGGGTGTGCACGTGGAGCGTATCCACACTCCTGGCTATGTCATTCCCACTCCTCACAAATGTCCCCATTGTGGCAAAGCATTCCAATTCCCTGTTCTTCTGGAGGGCCACATCCGTCAAGCTCACACGGGGGAGCGGCCCTTCACTTGTGACATGTGTGAGAAACGGTTCGCCATCAAGTCAGCACTACTTCTGCATTTAAAAGGCACCCATGGCGTCGTTTCTACGAAGAAGGATAGACTGCCGAGGGGAAAAAAAGATGCGCTACGAGAAGCGGAAGTAGAGGAAGGAAATACTTAATTATTAAAGTTCAAATTTAAAAAAAACTATAAGCGTAAACTGTAGTAATTAAGTTTTTAGTTTTCAATAAATACTAATTTAGAATGATTTATAATTTATATATTTATAATTAAAACCACTACGAAAAGCTTGAATGCTTGAATAATAAAAACAATGTTCTTTCATACATTATTTTTTTGAGTAACGTATTGGAAATTATGCATGCATATATTTACATACATACGTATGAAAATTAAACATTTTATAGATACGTTCATACTATTCATACATACATTTCTAGTTTACACGGGTGCATTTTCTTTGCATATTTCCATGTTCATTTACTTAATACACACATAGGATTAACAAGCGAACAAACAATCGTTATATTTTTCATGAAAACAAAGGAAAACTCAAATTGCAGATTGAGACAAAAAGCAACAAAAAGCACAAACACCGCCAGCCACTCGCTCGTTCGGACGTTTTTTTTAAATTGAAAATCAACAGCAAGCAGCTCTAAGCGTTTATTAATTAGCTTGGTTTTGGTAAGTAATATAGAAGAATTACATCCCTTGCCTTTTACTATTTTCGTTTTTCGAAACTTTCACAATTTATTTGAATTTACATTCCTAAAAACTTAAAATTTTTCTAGGTGTTAAAAATTGTAATATAGCTAATAACTTGATATTCCCATTTTATTGTTCATACAAAACCTTTATTTTTGACAGATATTGATGATTCGACTTCATCATGACCTGGGACGAAAGTTTGTCAAACCTCGCCACCTTTGAAATGCAGGGACCCGACGACGATGAATCAAATTCCTTTCCCGTCTTACGCGAAAACCCGAACTACTTTATCTGGTATGGCCCTGATCGACGCTGGATTTCCGGTCAGTATTGTGACCGAATGGTTGAACAACTCCTCGAATTTTCTAGACAACCAAGATCACTGAAGGAAATTGAAGCCTATGAGTTTACCGAGTACAACTCGCTCCAAGAGTTAATCTTGTTCTTTGTTGAGGCCTACTTAACAATCAAGATTCGAGGGAAGGACTGGTCGTTCGAGGCAACTAGGTTGATCAACGGGGGGAAGAAATTGACAACTATTTTAGTCAACAAAGGAAACGTCAACGCTGACTACTTACCCGCCGTGGAATATTTGCATCGCTGGATTTTAGCCAATATTGTTTGCACCAAGGGAAAATTAACCTCTTCAAGGGTTATCGAAATTGCCAGTTATGCTAATTATTCCGCACAGTGGGAGGAGCTACCCGTCAAGTCGAAAGCGCTTCTGCTTGCGACAAAATGCTTATTTCTCTCGTCGATGAGGATGTTCGACCCTCCGGCGAAGGTGCAGAGCATACAAGATTTGCGCCAGGTAACTAGTGAGGGGGCTCTTTTTTAACTTTTGCAATATTCAAATCCTATGTCCAAATTGTACTAAAACTCATTTTTTAACCAATGTCAAGGTGGTCAGGCTGGATCCACTAGTGTACGAATGGCACTACCTATTAGGAAATTGGATTCGCTGTGAGCGAAAAAGTTTGGCATACGTTCGAAAAGTGGGCGACAACTGTATACTGAATCAATGTCCCACAGAGGAGGAAATGCAAACCCTATGGGAAACATATGATGTATGTGCCTACAAGAAAACCGGAGAGGATGGAAAGGCCACGAATTTAAGAAGGAGTGCCATAGCCGGGGTTTGTCAGGTGTGGCGGAAGTTCTACGCCACCGTGGTCGCGTTAAGCTGGAGGAGCCCTTCATGTTCGGAGGGTTACACTTGGCAGATACTTTGGCAGGGGTGGAATTTATACGGAAAAATGTTAAAGTGTAAGCTGAGGGGGAAATGACTAACAAATTAAGTTGGAAGTTACATATTTAGGTTAGGTATAAATCCAATTTAATTATTTTCTCAATTTTTACAGCATTCTGGACGAAGAGAGGGCATCGTTTTCGGAGTATATTCGTTTCGGAGAAATATTTGGTGGCATTCTTCCCTATCAATTTAGAGACTACAAAATGGCAGAGGAATTTTACATGAAGGCGCACTCGAAAATGCCAAGCAATAGTAAAATCAATCACAAAGTTGGCGTCTTGTATTTAACATGCGACGAAGTAATGGCAAATAATTTTAATTTTATTTAACTATACAAATAGATAATTTTGGATCACTTGATTTCACTAAAAATTGATTTCTAAAAAAATACAAAGGGATTCTTGCACTTAACCTTGATATTCTTTGTACTGATTTCAGCTCCGCGATATTCCTCAATCTATCAATTTCCTCCGCTGCGCCGTTGAAAACGAGATGTCCAACATTTTTGCAGCACTTGATATGATTAGGGCCATGATGTCATCCGTTACTGAACACCTCACCGAAATCGAACAAGTCATCCAGTTATACTTCAAACGGATCGAGGAGGGATTAGCAAGTCCTACAAAAAGCGAACTAAGCTGGATTCTCGGTTGCGCCAAATTCATGGGGTCGGACAAGGAGGGCGCCGTTCGAGCTTGGATTTCCGGTCAAAAATTGAGCCCCAATAAGAATATCTTCACCGTAAGTTGACTTAATTTTTTTAGAGCTTACCTCATGTTTTTCACAACTCTATTATTCCCATAACCTTTAACAAAGTAGAAATTTATCTATTTAACATCATTATCCAGCTCTAAAAATGTGTATTAACAAATCAATTTTAGGACCTTATCCCTACAATTAAACGGTATCAGTGGGATAGAACCTTGATAAGTTTGAACCTAGTAAAGTCCACGCTGGAAAATTCACTCACAACATGTAGTGACGCCGATGATATTGTCATCTTACAAAACATGATTGAAACCCTTCCCACCCCGGTCAACAGGGGGACGTTTCAACGGAGAAGTTTGCCCGGAAGTGGTGGCTTCAACTTCACCAACAGAGGCGGCCGCCAAGAAAGCGATTTGGACAACAATTGGCGAAGATATGCCATACCAAGTGGGGATGCTAATACCACTAATAATAATGCTCGGAGGGGAGGACATACTCAGGCTCGCTCCTCAAGCCCTGCCAACTGGAGATGAAATGTAAATACAAATACATATGGCTTGACTTAAATATGTATACGCTTAGAATTTTTTAAACTAATACTTCAATCAATTTGTGGCAGATATCGACGATTTTAAGATTTAGTTTATACTTGTTTATCCATTTTTAAAGCTGTAAGTGCATTGTTTTCTAAAAGTGATTTTACTTTTTGCAAATGTCTTATTACTTATTGCAAATTGTTGCAAATTTCAATTTTATTCATGCATTACTAATAAATTCATATGAATCTACAGTTGCACATTGTCTCCACTAGATACACACGCCGCATGTTTTTTTCTCTCCATGAAAATCAACAACTGTTCATCCTGTCCACCTGAATTTACCTGCAACCCTTCCATTAACACGGATCAGACTATCTTCACTTGCTTACTTTGTTCACCTGTAATTTGACATAACTTTTTTTGCCTACCTGTTCATCCTCCTCCTACCTTTTTACACCTCGCAGTTTAAACTCCTACAAAAAGACCTGTTATACTTGGTCGGCTTACATAAATAACAACAAACACATCAGATTAATTTCCCTCCAACTTAAATAATTTAATTGTAGACTAATTACACAAATTGTTAACTAGATACAAGCATTAACTTGCTGTATCAATTTACCAGTAACTGTCACAGTTTAAATTTAAAAGCTTAACCATGGATTCTTTCAACCCTTCCCAGAATCCACTCTTAATCCCAGTCGTAAGTCTTACTCACTAATTAATTTAATTAATTAATTTAAACCCTAATTAACTCTTACATATCTACTTGTCCACCACCAGGTACTCCAAAACACTTTCAAGCTCCTCTACCCCCACCAGTTAAAACCCCTCCGAGCCGTCTGCCCTATTTGGAACACGGAAATAACTCGCATCCTCTTCGGCTCCCACAATCAGAAAAAGGTTATCAAAAATATGACCGACTTATCCGAAGGGATTGCCATTTTAGAACACCAATCCACGAAACCCCTCCACACTCGGTACATGTTTTGCAGCGGAGTTAACGTCACAGATGCGAAATTTATGCAAATCATCACTCTCGCCGGACCCGAGCTAAAATATATTTACGCCAATTTCCCCAACAATGCGAAATCCCCTTTAACCCTGAAACGTCTCCTCGTCGAGGTATCCATTCAAGAGATTTGTATCAAATGGAGCTTATCCAAAGAGGTCGACCTCTTCAAAAATGAGCAACCCGTTCTCCTCCCACACCTAAAAATCCTAGAGTTTGATATTGTCAACAAATCCGTAAAATTTGACACCCTCCTCCGCACCCTGATTTATTTATGCCCGAATCTCGAACTCTTTCAAGGCTCAAACTACCACGGGTTACAGAGTGTCGTGGAGGACTGGTTTTTTAACAAGGTCGTCATCGAGGCCGCGTTTCCACAACAGTGTAGAAAAATACAAGAATTCAGTCTGGGCATGAAGGCGAAAAAGTATGATAATTATACCCTCGAGAGGTTAATGTGTGCAAATTTTCCCCTGAAAAAATTATACCTTGACGTTTCCGCGAATCCCGTGGACGCCACGTGTTTGCAAAATCTGATCACAAGTTTGTCCACCACTCTGAAGGAGTTCAACTTGACGGTGGATCCATATTGTGAAAACGTTTTTCAATTGGAGGCTTGTATCTTGACGGCGAGGAAGCTAGAAAAGTTGGGCACTTCAGGGGTCTCATTACCACTTGACCTCATCCAAGGTCACCTCCATAACTTGAACACGTTAAGGATGGAACATTTCAACCAGGAAACGATAACGATGCGAACCTCGCATCAGCAGCAGCAGCAACAACAATTCGGTTATGGATTAAGAAACCTGGAACTTTTAAACCCTTTCCGTCTCACGACGCCAATAACGTTATTTTGTACGGTACAAAATTTATTTCCTAATTTGGCCAGCTTCACGATAAGCAAGCAGATGGGAGATGGTGGTCTGAAGGACTTTTTAAATAAGCAAATGGTTAATTTGAGCAAATTTACCGTGAGGGAAAGTTGTAGTGCGGGTGGGGCAGATGCTGTTAAGGTGTATAAAAGAAAGTGCAGAGGAGCCGTTTTCTCACCTCCGATTAAATTTTAATTTTAACTACTAATTGTAATTATTATTTGTATTTATTTAGGTAACACTTTTTTCTAGCGTATTTTTTATATATGACAACTTTTTATAATAAAATTGACTCAGTACAAAGAATGCAATATTTAGTTGTTTTATCTTGTCGGAACCTTTCATTTTTTAATGAGGGTTCTACATTTGTACTTCATAACTTCGTAAGGATTTCTTCATTCACCGTCTTTGTACATTTTTACATGTAAAATTATGCACCAAGAATGCCAAGATGTCAGCATAAATATTTAATTATATCATACATGAATTTTACTGATATACAAGCTTGAAGTATACGAAATACTTATGTACATTACCGAATGAATTCGGCAAGAATTTTCTATGATTATATGCATGTATCGTAGCGCATTCCGCAGAACAAATTTAATTCCTATTCCTACACACATTTATAATTTTATATGTAAATGAGTTTATTAAACTTCAAAGTTTTTACATAAATATACCACAAGCAACATTTGCATATGTAAATTTAGCTAATCATCACAATTGATTAATCTCTCTACCTCACCGAACGATACCCTCCCACAACACCATGCTTACTTAGCACAATTTGCCACAATTGAATCTTTCTGGCCTTATACAATGCTACTGCCACGCCCAAATAGAAAGTCCACATCCGGTAAAATCTCTCATCATACTTCTTCCCGTCCAACTTTTTCAATCGGGGCCAGTTCTTGATAAAATTATCCCTCCACGCTTCTGACGTCAGGCCGTAGTCGTTTCCAAAATTGTGGAAATCTTCGATTAGAAAGTAATCCCCCAGCCCGTTCATGACCTAAAAAAATTGGCACAATAAATTTGTAAATTATGCTAAGACATTTTAAATATTGGCAAAGGATTTTAATCGGGTCCGCTGAATTGTTTAATTTAACATCTGAAGCTATTTTTCTTTAAATTCTACCGGAATTTTCTTGGAAATGTGCTCCAAAATAATTTACAAAATTTTTCAAAAATAAATATTTCCATACTTTTTTGGAATTTTTGGCATTTTGCTGCCTAACCAATATCTCAAAGTTAACGATTGAAATATCCACATATATTTATGCATGCAATTAAATACCTCCTTGTAATACGGCAGGCACGCCCCTGGGAAGACATACTTCGCCGAAAAGGGTTCTTGGTGGGGCATCACGGTATGATAATTCCCCATACAGTGGACCAAACAGAGTCCGTCTTCTTTCAAACAACGGGAAAGAGTTTTGAAAAAAGTTTTGTAATTTGCCGGGCCCACGTGTTCCAGACAACCGAGGGATACAATCCTATCATAACTTCCCGCCACGTCTCGATAGTCCATCAGCTTCACCGTCACGGGGAGTCCTTGACACACTTCGGTGGCGTAGGCGACCTGTTCCTTCGAAATTGTCACGGCTGTGACTGTAGCGCCAAAGTTTTTTGCCAGATGGCGAGCCATCCCACCAAATCCGCACCCCACATCGAGCACGGTCATCCCTGGTTTAACACCCAATTTCGCCGCGACAAGGTTCATCTTTGCGAGTTGGGCTTGCTCCAGATTGTCTGCATCTTTCCAATAACCACAAGTGTAATTCATGGTGGAGTCGAGCATGTTTTCGAAAAATTCGTTTCCTGGAAGAAAATTTTAATTCTTGTCACAATTTTAGCCGCAGTTTCATAATATTGTTTTTAATTTCGTGATCATGCAAAGATCCAAATAAAATTAGAAAAACATATTTACATAATACATAGTTTACTACGTTGCAAACATCCGAATTAATTTCATCCTTGTGGTTTTCAATCCATTCAACATTTAACAACATTTAACGATTTAACAATAATTTTGCATACCCAGATCGTAATGAACTTTCGCCACATCATAAACTTTCTCCTTGGTTTGCAGGTTGAAAAATGAGAACTGCATGTAGTACAAGAATCGGTTCCATGGGTTCATAAACATCCTCAAAATTGGGGCCGGCCCGACAAAAATTTTGTAAAAGAGGGACGCAATGTCATCTGCGTCCCAATCTCCGTCCATGTAGGACTCTCCAAATCCTAGGATTCCCTCGTTCATGGCACGAATGTACACGGTATCATAAGGAGTCAAGTATTTTCGGTTCTGAAAGTTTCAAACGAGCATCGAAATTTAAAAAAAATGTCTTCTGTGAATGTTTCCGAAAATCATGTCACAAAAAATGCACATTTTCAAATCCAACCACCCGTGACATCATTTACGAACAAACCCGTAATAGCGAACCAGCACAATACATACGTAAGTGTACATACGAGTGTATGTAAATTTTTAAAAATCATGGCATGAGAACCGTGTGATTTGTACTGTAAAACTTCCCTAGAAAGTGCGTGTTCATATGTATTTTGGAAATGATTTCCCCATGTGAATAAAGATTTCGTCTAGAAAACTAATTAACTAACTATGCAACTTGAAGAAAATTATGTTCTGATAACCGTGTTGAAGTGCATTAGTGCCCCTGGTCATAAATATTATGTCACAAATATATACGTATGTACATATGCCGTCTTTATACCTTCCTAAGCTTACATCATACATCATACGTATTTTACTCTACGAAAGATTTCTCCCTACAATTTCTGAAAAAGTTTGAAGTGTGTATAATTCTTACAATCATTAACGGCACTTATTGTGTAATTAAATACAAACAGTTCAAACAAATTACGGTATGTATGTAAAAATGTGCAATATTTTTTGCATACTTTGCAGAGTTAATAACATACATATATTATACATATTATGTATAATATATAAATAATAATTAATAATTAATGTAATAATTAATAATCTCCCCTTATCAATAAGTCACCTTAAGATCGCACGGTCCCTCCTTATTGATCGTCACGCCCACTTCGTTCAGTTTCTTGACAGCGTATGGAAGTATGAGTGGTCCAATGAGACGGAGAACACAATACTCCACCCTTTTGTAGCACCTTATCAACAAGACAGTTATCGTATAGAAGAGCTGCATCTTATCTCCTCAGCTGCCCTGGCTGGACTGAGATCAAAATCCGGAAAATCCAAAATATTTTATTAAGGTACGAACCTATGTATATACATACCTGCATAATTAAACACTCATGGCGTACATTTTCTCTGGTGAAATCTTCATTTCACTTGAGAAACTCAGCAATCTTTAAGTCACAGGGGGCCGTGCTTTAATTACGTGACGTAACGCAAGACAGGGCAACTAAGGATAAGTGAAAATGTGCGATATCATAAAAATCTAAATTCTAATGACCATGTTAGATAAATTAGTGGTATTAAATAAATAAAAATTTTGGGTTCCATAATTTACGTACGGTACCAACTTAGGTTATCCAACCTGGATTATGTTATGTAACCAAAATGGGTGGGCACGCTCGTTGGGCAGGATGTTCCATCCGAAGAGATAGATTAGAGACACACAGGTGAAATTAAGAAGCAATTTATAACTATGTAAATATGTAACATACAAAGACCATAGCCAAATTCTTATTTTAATGAAAAGCATAGAGTAACAAAATGTCAGTACATATATGTCTACCCAATAAATACACATAGGTATTCATCATTAATTGTCACGGATTCGTGCTCATAATAAGCGTTGCGTTACGGGGAGATCATGTATGTTACATATGGAGTAGTAATTATATTTGTTATACCTTCCCACGATCCTCACCTCGCACCGGATAAGATATTTATGCATATAAAGTACATATGTACATACGATTGATGAATTGTATTACCATAAGTGGTAACCATGATAAGTAACAGAAAGCTTAGGTAACAAGTGTCTGTTCTGATTTGAAACAACTAGTTAATATGTACGCATGCATATAGATTTAAATTAAGTAAACTTGATCTTACTTGAATTTCGTAACTGTTACACATTTCTTTAAATTAAAAATATATGAAGATTTATTCCCATCAAGTAAATTAATTGATTACTAAGTTAAGATTAAAATTAGAATCAAATGTTTCTTTATAAATTCATTATACATGGGACTATGTATGTAAATAGATGCATATATTCACCCACATAAGTATGTACATATTTATTTACTTATGCAAAATAATTGTTGTTTTTAAGTAGGTAGTTCCGATTTCATGAGAGGTGAACATTAAAAATAATTACTAAAACTAAAACATTAAGGTGTGCGGGTCACTGCGGGTACGTATAAAATCAAAAACGGATGCTGTGCACGGAAGCGAAACCTTTCATCCTAAAATGTGTTAGAAAGTTTGAGTCAAACATATCCATCGGTCGACATGCATGAGATCAAGTTAATCTATTCATTAATTCCCCGGCAAGAATTTGTATCTCACAGCGTTTTTCGACCAACAATAAATAATAAACTCCAGCAACCGACAAGTACATAAGTAATACTAGTAATAGTGAAGAAGAGGAAGAAAGTCGTAAAAAATTCTGATGCGTACAACACTGCTGCGGGATGGACGGACAAACAAAACGATATGATCGCAAGTGACCTGAGTCCCTTTCCGTTGCATGATAAATAATTTTGACTTCTATTTATTTGACGTCATGTCTGAGGTTCATAAATTACAAAACTGTAAGGTTTCCACGAAAAATGATTACATAAACGAGTATGTATGTATATACATGTATATATTTAGTTATGCATTACATGAACAATTAACTATATATATACAAATGTGTACATACATACTTATACATAGATATTTACGTAAGTTTTCAAGTAATCATCTCGTCATGAAATGGCCACATAAAAACTTATGTAATTTAAATTTTATATAAGCAGGTTCTCGGGAATTTACTACCCGGATTAATTACATACACATCCATTTACAGATAAGTATTTGGTAATATGCACTTATATGCACGTATGCATGCACATAAAAATACCAACACAGAATGAAGGGTCAAGTTTATCAAAAAAGTGGCTTGCGTGCACTCTAACCAAATAGCAACTTGCACCAGATCAGAACTGATGTCAATATCGGCGACGGGGGCGTGAGTAGTGAAAATAGATAGTCACGCCGCACGGCATATCCGTCCAACCCTGATTATTACAGTCTTATTGATTTAGCTTTGAGATATTTACAAACCGGTACTCAGATACGTAGTTACTGGACTAATGTTTATTCAAAAACCAAAATAAGTAGACTCATATTTTTTATTATTTTTTTTATTTGAGAGTTTTGCTAGGTACGTGGCGCGATTTTAGGCTGATGCCTCAAATCGAGTCTGCATAAAATCGGAGGCGTGTAGTTCTTTACCAGATGTGTGTATTTTAAAAAATTTTGTAGGGTCATGGCTGCAAACTTGCGGTTGTCGCATAGCATAGCAACATTTCACGGTCAACTTACATAATTCCAAGGTTTTATCATTCATTTTAGGCTCTTACGATTATGTGAGTAATAAATATTTTAGCAAGTTTTTAAAAAAATAATTAAATAAATATTTAACAGATTCCATTATTAGTTAAATATGTACTAATATTGACACATACATACTATTGAGGACATCTCAATGACAGGTGTACAAGAATACTTTAGGCTTTCACACCCCCACTCGTGCCTGTTGTCCTTGGATAGCTCATCCACAAATTGACAAAAGAGGTTAAAATTTTACAAACAACAGAAGAATTTGTGAAAATATAATGCTACATAACATAATGCAATCGTTTAAATATTTATTTAGAATTAAAATTATTTATTTATTTCCCAGATAAATAATCAGGACCCAGATTCACTAAGAAATATTCTTGGTCTGTAGACAGTCTATAGACAAAATCCAATTCACTAACTCGGTTTAAACCTGTCTTAAGACAAAATCTAGAAAAATTTGAGCCCAAGACAAAATTTAGACCGAGTTAGTGAATAGGTCGATTCATTAGCAAAAAGTTAGACCAAAGCTAGCTCAAAGTTAGAGCAAATCTCAAACCTACTCCGGAGGTGTCTAACTTTAAGATTTGAGCTTAGTTTCTGTGCGACTGCGAGAGGAATAACACATGTTATTTTTTGTTGTTTTTGTGGAAATGAAATATTTAATTAAATAGTAATTTTAATTTTTGAGTAAATGCCAGATAATTTCCCCGTCTCCTAGTCCTTTGCCAGAGCCTTAACAGCCAGTGCAGTGACTGCATGGCCGTCCCCCTTCGATTCTTGGAGGAAGAAAGACTGAAGATATTCGGAAGAGAGGAAGAAACTGGAACAATTAAGTGACTTCGAAGTTGGTAAACATTTTGGACTACTCTTGTGGGGAGCGGAAGCTATTTGTGAGATTTTTAAGCCTTTAGAAGGGCAAAGGTCATCCTCGATTCCCTTCGAAACCTTCCTGAACACGAAAGTCAAGTTTCGAAGAGGGGACACAAAGTTGATGCGAGAACAAGTCGCAGATGTACAAGAAAAAGTAGCAGTTATTAAAAAAATTGAGCACATTCTGTCAGATATGCGGGATATTTCTCGCAAGAAAGTGGAACTTACACAAGGTGAATGAATAACTCATCTCTACGGGAATAATGCGTTTAATTTTGTAACAAATTTATTTATTGACGTGTTGTTCTATTTATAGCAAAATACAAACAGATAGGAAGTCAGCACGTCAATGCATTGGATTAAGCCAGCGCCGTGAGGCCAGCGTCAATGTAATGAAGATAATGTAGATTTTAACAAACAAATATTTACATAAATAGTCATTTTAATAGTTACATACATGTCAGATAGTTCATCCCTGTCCTAGTTTTTTGACAGAGCCATAATAGCAGTGCGATGACCACATGATCGTGCATAATACGTATAAAATGTGTGATGGAACAGGTATTGACTTTAAATCGGCGAATTTCGGTATGCGAACATAAATACCACATTCTATAAATTGAAAAGTCGTCAACAATTATAATCAATATATATTTGAATTTGCATGCTAAGTTGCCGAAAAGCAATGACGATAGGAATCATACCAGCGTTGGAGAACATCTTGCAAGCAAGGAATTTGGCGTAAGTTGTTTCTTGAATGGGTAAAAAATTGAAACATGTGCTGGCAGAATTACCTGCGCTGACATCAAGTAACATTTATCTGTTAGGAGATTCCGAACCTTTGGAGCCTTGTTGCTGACCCCTTATGCAGATTATAAGCTGAGGAAGATTATAAATTGAGATTTAACAAATTCTAGAAACGAGTGATGTTATGCACGGCACCATTGGTACTTGAAAAATCTGATTCCGTTTAATGTCCAAGTATATAGATTGACCCATAATTAAAGAACAGTTTGTAGGTCCAGTGAGACGAATTATAAGTAGGAGAGGAATCAAATCGTGTTACCAAGAATGAAAAAATTGCAGATTGATTGCAGCGAGTGTTATTATGCTTCACAACTCACTTATTGAAAAGGGTATCCCGCTTGCAGATGACGACGAACCATTACGGGACGAGGTCATTAACATTTACTACAATCAAATTTAAGGTAAATATTTTAGCCACTGCTAGTAAATGTAACAAATTAATGGCATTTTTTTCTCAAGTATATTAGAATGCAAAATTCGTTCATGGAAGAGACTAACAAATGGTATTTTGCTTTTCAGCCTCAAGTCTGAATGGACGAAGTAGCGCTGGCCTTACACAAGACGCTGGCTCATTTGGAATAAACATCACACATTACTTGCAGGAATTGTAATACCGGATCGCACAGACGACCCCATTCTAATCTCACTTCTCAGCCACGCAATAATACTCATTGATCCGCCTTGAAGAAATTTAAGCAAGATGAACTCATATACACAGGCGTGATTGGTGTTTAATTTAATGGCGGCTCTATCTGTCTATTTGTCATTCTGTTGCAGCCAAATATAAATTACGACAAATACGACAGTAAAGACATTTTCGATTCTCCCAGCGTCGTTAGACCAGCGCCATAAGGCCAGAGTCGATGTAGAGAAGATTGTGGATAGTGTAGATTTTAAATATTTTAAATATGCGTTAAATCTATCATAAATAGTTGGACAAATGTTTATTCTAATTTGCAAAATTAAAAGACAGAACTCAAAAATCCATGTTCTTTAAATTTTAATTTTTTGTATTTTAATCAGCCCAAAAAATGTCGTCGTACTTAAATAACAAGTGGTGGTAAGGAAAGGAGAACAAGGGACTTTACATGCTTTTAAAATGTCAACAAAAACATAAATATTCGACCGAGTCTTGTTGTGAGAGAAAGTGAGATGGTCGGTGGTGGATAAATTATATATCCCACGCAGGCTGGGCAGACTTTAGTCTCTCCCGCCTTTTGAAATCGTTCTTAAACCCGTCTTAAGCTTAAGACCATCAAACACCGATTTGAAAAAAGTGCTGAATTGGGGGTAAAACCGATCTTAAGATCGGTCTTAGACAGTCTTAAGCTTAAGCCGAAATTTCGGTCTAAGTTACTGAATCTGGGTCCAGACCAGCTTAAACTGAATCATTAAACCTTGGAATTAATTTGACAATTAATTTAGCTAAAATCTTGTTATGCAATAACCGCAACCACCGCTTTTTGGTCACGATCCCACAAAAAATACAAAAATCCACACATCTGGTCTGGTCCAAATTGCGTCACCAAATTTAACAAATGCGGAATGCACCGATTGTGTACATACAAAGTCATATTTATAAAGCCACAAATTTCCTATAAATTCAATTTATTCTGAACATTTCGAAGTAGTCTAGCCCAGCGCGTTACTCCTGCAAAATGACGCTCTCCCTGACATTTGCCCTCATTTCGACCCTCCTCTCCTTCACGGTGGCACAATTTACTGAAAATTGGGCCTCCACAACATCCCCCACATTTGTCACGTATGGAACCCACGGTTCTCCCGAGTCTGCCTTCGCCGATCCCGCCGCCCTCGATGGGAGAGCTCTCCGTCTGACGCTGAACGCCAATCCACCCGCCGGAGTGGGCGGCGCCCCCGCCGCCGAGACGTATGGCCGCTTCAAATACGGCACGTACTGGACCCGCGCCAAAACAGGGAACTGTTCCAACCAACCCTTGGCAGGCGTCGTTTCGGGAATTTTCACCTATTTCAACGACCAAGGCGACCGAAACGGTAACGGAATAGCGGACAATTCCGAGATAGATTTCGAATGGCTTTGTGCCGACCCGAAAGTTGTGCATTTGTCGATTTGGACGGATTATCAGGAATCTAATCCGCCAAATATTCGCGTAGTTTATCGAACCATTGACTTATCCACGGGTCGAGTGCAGATGGAGTGTTATCGGGAACAGTTTGGAGAGTGTAGGCTTCTCAGCGGGCCGGAGAGACAGCCAGCTACGGTCACCCCAATTTCAGGGTATGACTCCTCCACCGAGTATTTTTGGTACGGCTTGGAATTTGCGGCGGATCGGGTGCATTTCATGATTCGTGGGAGGAATGATGAGGTTATCACGTTGTGGGATTATCGAGGACCGGCCGCAAGGATGCCGAATGACGAGATGCATTTCATGCATAATGTGTGGCACACGAATAACTGGTGGCCGGAGGGGGATGATGGGACGATGATTGAGTCACCGAGGTCACCCGTGTACATGTTTGTGGATTCGAGTAGTTTTACTCCGTTGTAATTTGAAAGATGGCGATTATTAGTAAGACGAAATTTCAAAATTCCGAATTTGAGTTATTCGTTTAAAAATTGTGAAATTATTGAAAGTGAAAAATAAAGAAAATGTGTCTTCAGTTTAGGACCCAAGCTTTGAGTGGTCTTACTAAATTATTGACAATCATGCTATCGTGCATTAATGTAACATGGATTGATAAAGTGTCGTTTAATATGCTATTTACTAGTACTAGTACATAACACGCTTCACAAATATTTATCATGTGGTTGGCCTGGCGTGGATGTACATACTTACATAGATACATGTCAAGTCATATGTATAAATGAGTACGCATTTCAGGATAAGTTTGCAATACAAATATGTAATAATGATAAGCACTTATACATACGCAGTTTATGTCCTCATGTGTATGATGATTTGCATGCTTACAGTGGGGTGTCATCTCTGTAAATGAAGCAGTTGCATACTTTAGTCCTATACATCCATGCTTTAGTCTTTGTTGCATTTGCATGAAAAACGTAACTTCTGTACACATTCATTCATACATTTATCTTGTTGTACTGGCACAATCCAACTGCAAGTGCAAATATGACACCCTTTGGAAAACAAGACAATTCTACCTTTTCACACTGACGAGATATGTAAGCAGATAGACAGATAATAAAATACGTTAACTGGACTTGGGCCAACTGACTACAACGCAACGAACAAGGATCTCGATGTATATGAGCAAGAATTATACGATTCGACAACGACATACAACGATAATTTTTAAGGTATACTTTCACTGTATGGGTAAGCCACACAGGTCGAAAAAAGTTGTGGAGACATATTTTTTTTTGTGTCAGGTCACCCCAGTGGGTGCAATGGCCACATCAGCCTTCGATGAGGGTGGCACGGGGAAATTCATAGAAAATGAACCGGTGGGTACTTTTTCAAAATTAGAGGTGTTTTGGATTCATGAATACCGTGCCTCGACAGCTTTTTCGAGTTGTCTCGAAATTTCAGTTTTCCAACTTTTTCTAAATCACTCAAATTTGGAAAATTTGGTTCTCACCAAAAAAATTGTGCTACGATATAATTCCGTAACCGGACACGACGGAGTGGACAAAGTATATATATTCTGAATCCTCTCTCATAGGTCTTTGCTTCTGGAACAAGTTAAATTACCATTAAAGTCGAAATCGACCTGCGTGACCTTTTAAGCGGGCCCAAAGTTGAAAAGGTCATAGTCTCACAACACCCGGTAAATGGGGTATCGTTGAAGAGGCCTAGGAGAGAGGATTCAGAATATATATACTTTTTGGGGTGTATGGCCACTGTGTCGTGTCCAATTACCGAATTGTATCGCAGCAAAATTTTTTTGGTGAGAACCAAATTTTCAAAAGTTGAGTGATTCAGAACAAGATGGAAAACTGAAATTTCGAGACAACTCGAAAAAGCTGTCGAGGCATTGCATTCATGAATCCAAAACAGCTCTAATTTTGAAAAAGTACCCATCGGTTTATTTTCTATGAATTTCCCCGTACGACCCTCATCGAAGGCTGATGTGGCCATTACACCCACTGGGGTGACCTGACACCCAAAAAATTATGTCTCAACAACGTTTTTTGACCAGTGTGACCTATCCATATAGTGAAAGTATATCTTAAAAATTGTCGTTGTATGTCGTTGTCGAATTGTATAATTCTTGCTCATATATAAAGATTACGGTCAGGACAGGATGATGATGTCTCTTTTTTACATTTATTCAGTTTAACGGAATTCATACAATCGACTCATCCACAGCTGCAGTTCTGCTTAAAAATATAAGAACGAAGATAATTTTATACCATATAAATATTTCAAACTAGGCATTTAATATATCTCTTCATGTAACTATAGTTAAATTTTGAAAATTACTGTGATATTACATACACAAATAACGTCAGCAAAAAAATCCCAGATTACTCTTCAAGTTCCTCCTAAGTATATAAAAATGCAATAACGACGTAACATTTGAAAAGATAAAGTACAGTGCTACAATGACATGGACAATAACTGACATCTAATTTCAGAGGGTTATACATACATCGCCTGAAAAAAAAGCAACACAAAGAAAATCTGTTGACTTAGAAAATTTACCTTGTTTTTGACCATGGCAGTAAACTGCAGCGATCTCATGACCCCTTGACATACACAGTCGAGGGATCAAAAGGTATGTATGTACGAAATTATAAATTTGTACTTCTGCATCCGCAATTGAATTTTAGCAATTATGATTCCTCATTTTAGACAAAAAAAACAGCAAATACAAATAACAAGGTCCAAGTAAACTAAAACAATCGACAAAACCAAACAATGCAATCTGAAAATGCTCAGCAAACGAAATCTACCAAGCTTTACCCCGAAATTGGACCACCGCCCGCAAACATCTACCCGAACCTTAACCCCGACGACCCTCTACAAAATATACCGACACAACCCCCCATCTCCATGGAACAATGTATCTCAGACCTAATCGTGTCCGAGACCGAATTACTTGTCAAGCTCACCGAGATCTGCGTCATCCTACGCCAACGCCACAAAAATTGTGCAATCTCCAAAACTGCGGGTAGCTCGGCGTCCATTGTCGGTTCTGTGCTCACTATTTCGGGCGTTTTCTTGGCCCCCTTTACTGCTGGATTGTCACTTACCGCAACGGCAGCTGGTATGCAAAAGTAATTTTTACGAAAAGTGCAAAATATTAAAATTGAGGCAATTCATGCAGTTTTTGGTAACATCGTAACATGCGTAAATTCTGTAAACTTATAAATTTTTATCGAATAAATTTCCTTTCTAAGGAAATTTAAGCTATAAATTTTTGTAAACTTATTCAGATCAAGGACGTCTTTTTGCTTTGTAAAGTTTGTAAATTTATTTTAGAAGACGTTCGGATTTTTTACCAATGACTGCGTGAATTGTATACGTATGTATTTGATTAATGTTTACGCCGAAAAGTTAAGAAACATAAAATTTCAAAATTTCAAGACATTTACTTAATACCCCCAAATAAACCTCACCAATTTTCAGGAATCGCCACCACCGTTGCCGGAGTGGGAACCACGATCGGAACCGACATCACGAAATCCTTCCTACACAAGAAGACCATAAAAGAGTTGGAAGCCCTTCTCGAAATCCGTCTAAAACAGTACGAATTTACCGGAAAGCAAATCAGCAAAGCGCTAGATGTCGCGTCCATGGGCGTTTCCGCGACCGCTAATGCCGCTCAAGTTTTATCCTTTGCCAAAATCTACCAATTTCTTTACATAAATCGTGACATTTACGGCATAACGGGATTAACCGCGTCCATGTGTGCGCAAGAGCAGCTCGGAGGTTTACTCGTGGGCGTCGTGCGACCCCAGCTGAACAAAGGACTGGCCTTGATTGGACTTAAATTGGGCGCGAGGACTTTCATGGTCGGATTGGGCGTGATTTTTATTGCTCTCGACATCAAAACCATTGTCGACTGTTGGAGAAAAGAGCCCAAGTTGTGCGGCCAGGTGGAAGAGATTTGTAAAGATATTCAAGCCAAGATTGACAGCCATGAGAAGCTTTTGACTGATAAAGATGACAATGAAATCGTTAATCGTGAAGATTAAGAATTTTAGCTCAAATTAAAAATACGCAAATTCTCCTTAATGCACATAAAACGAAAATATATTTATGTAATTACTGCGCAAAGCAAATTACCCTTAAAGTATTGTTAAGTTTCAATAATAATAATTATTCATGCATGTACGTATTTAGGGCCCAATTTTACTGAAAAGAAATATTAAAGATGAACAAGTTTTAAAGGCTACAGATAATTCTCTAATGTTTTTTATTCGCATATTAAAATAATTTCGAAACTTTGTCAAAATATGTATGTATGTATGTATACCGTTTTAGCTGCTGTTTTTATTTTCGTAGATTTTAATAGGGTTTTACCCGAATACAATTACGTGCTTTAAAATTCATATCAAAAAATTAAATCTACCATATGGAACAAATTGTCTATTTGATGCATTCCACCAACATCAATTATTCATCTCGAAACAACCAAAATTGGTACAAATTAGATATCGATTTGCAACTTATATAAAAACATGTACAATTCTCAGACAATTACATGAATTTCACCATAAAGGGAAAGATTACACTAAAATTATTAAAGTTATTTTTATAAAATTATTAAAAATGCGTTTGAAACTTGCGTATCAAAGTTTTGCATATGTAACAATGAAAATCAATATGTACATCTGTATGACACTTTTATGTATGTATGTATAGGTATGTATAGAGCATTTGTGATTAGGTATGTACATATGTATGAATTTACGGAAAGATCTACATATTTATTGGGCGTATCTACGTCAACGGTTTTTGTGCATATCATTTCACTTAACAGAGAAATAAATACTCTTTCAAATAATCATGCAAAAAAAATCATTTCCATTCATTTTTCATTGGGCAAAGTTTTAAATAAAAGTTACATAGTTTTTTAGTATACAATTTTGTAAAGTTTTACCAGTTTCACACCCCTTGTAAACTTAACATGCGTGAAATTTTTAGGCTATGCAAACGTTATACACATGTCCAATTTGTTTTTACAACAGCAAAATCGTAACTAACCTATCAATACAGAACTGCCAGACATTGAGGGACGTCAACTTGTCAAAAAACGTTCCATTTCCCATGCTCAACCTAATCGGATAACAACTCCTAAGATACGTTTGCATCCACTTGTTCCTTTGCTGTCTCCCCATGCTAACAAACTCCCTCGATTTCAAATACGGGGACGACAGAATTTTAATAAAATAATGAATATGGAAAAATAAATTGTTTCCAAACACTGCAAACATGCAAACTGCTAGATATGGCAAACTTGCCCAGGACGTTAGCACCATGTACAGACAGCTTACTTGGCCCATAATTAAGCCACAAACATATGTCGCCATCCCTGGTGGTCGCCAAGTCTCGTTATGCAATTTGGAGTGGAGTTGCACAATTCGATATTTCTTTACCCTGAGGAACCGGCCCGACATAATTTCTCTGAAATTACAAAAAATAAATAAATCGTGTCAAACAACAAAGATGAAAAAGTGGGCGCTAGAGGCTCATAGGTACAGTAAATAAAATGTAAAATGACACCGCATGAAAATCACGTAATTTATGACCTTCGACCTCGTCGCCTAGCTCATAGGTACATCAGAGGTCAAAAACTTTGACGGTATCGATTTCGTGGTGAAATTTCTTTTAAAATGGTTCTCCATTACGAAAATTAAGGCTAAATTTAATTTTGGACATTCGGACAATTTCGGACCACCCCATGGGGGAGATCCGATTGACCCCATTATCGACCTCGACCATGAACTAATAATTAGAAGCACAATGGCAAAAACCGCGTAGAGGCTTCCTGGCCAATAGACGGATCGACGGACAAAACGATTACATAAAGCGGCTGACGCAACATAATAAATGTAATATTTCACAGCAACGACCACGTGTAGGCCGCCAGCAGTCCAATCATAACTTTAGGGAGAAGCCCGAACTGGACGCCGTCATCTTCCCACGACGAGCAATTGAAGAGATTTTCCACTACCCCCGGCATCAGCGGGGGATACACGGTTTCAAAATACTTAGCGTTACTAACGCCACTGGAACCGGGACTAGCGCAAGTTGCACTGCGAAATGTACCGCTAACAAGTAGAAATCCGTCCACGTGATTTTCTTAGCTAAATATGTAGTTAATTCAAATTGCATACGTTTAAGGTATTTACATACTTAAATTTTCATGTAATCCGAATTTAGACTTGGCTTTGCTTTGTATATAAATACATACCCTGCTAACGTTACGAACAGATATATCCCCGTATATTATTTAAATTATACTCACGTTCCTTATCGTTTTCCCAGTAGTCAACCACGATACTAAAGTTGACCAGTGCTAGGACATCTTCATACGCTCGCATCATATGAATCATTCCCAATGAAACAACTCCATACAGTAGTGTGAAATACGTAACCATGACGATTTTCCAGGTTTCAGTCGTCTCCTGCTGATTTTCATAAGTCGTGCCAAATCCGAGTGATCTGAAAACGTCAGCCTCCCTCAACAACCAATTCAGGCCAATTATGAAATGGACCAATAAATTTCCAAGATCAAAAACAATTTTCGATACGGATTTCCAATTCAGCTTGTACAACTCCATGTGAGGGATTGTTTTTTGCTTGTTAACAAAGACTGGGACGAGCTTTGTAAATATGCACAACTCTAAATGAGCAATAATAAAATTGTAGTGGTTTGCAAATATGGATTTTAGTTGGGTGGAAACGGCTCGAAATTTTGATAAAGTTTCGGAACACATTATGGAAGTGAAAGTTATATATGTAACATTCAAGATAGTTTCCTCAACGAGTCATGAGGTTATTTTCTGGTTACTTATAAGGTTTTTCCAATGAAGATCGATTTAAAATGGTGGTGTAGTAATAACTTTTTTATTGGGTTGTCTTTCTTGGGACACGTTTTTATAGGCGATAGACCTTTATGATTAATATCATGCAGTACGAAGTATTGGTTATGATACTGATTGTACTTACGAGATTAATGTTTCAAGTATAATAACCAAGTAAAAGGTTGAGTTTTATAAGACATCAAAATTAAGCCAAGATATTTAAGATATTAAAATTGAAACGTATGTATAAATGGAAAGTTTAATCATTGTTTTAATTGAAGCAATTTTCATACGAGGGCATGTTCTTAAATAAATATTATTTTAATAGTTGGGTCGTTTTTTTAGGGTATTTGACTGATTACGGCTTATGTCTCGGATTAAGGAAAGATTAATATTTAAGACATTTAAATTAAAATGTATTGATTCGAAAATAAATAGTCACTAGGAAAACCCAGTCTTATTTTGGGAGGATACATTTAGTCACTTCTCAGAAACGTCGAATTGAACGATTTTTCGAATTTGTGGCTAAATCGGAAAAAGTCCCCCAAGCAAGATTTACTTCTTGCTTGGGATGGATATTCAATCAATTAGTATGCATAGTATACAAATACATAAACACGAGGGAGTCTAACTGAAAGTGAGTGATAAAAATTATTTTTATTTATTTTGCATCCAAAAAAGTATCCAAAAAGCCTTATTCGGGACATCACTCATAAAAGCAACATATTTATGAATATATACTTACACACAAATATTTTACGCAATGGATGATCACATATATATTACGTAGTTCCTGCACGGACTCTAACTGAAGCACAGTTAGAGTTCCTGGAAAGTGTATTTGAAAAAAAGCACACATAAAACAGATGAAAAAGTGAGATTTTTGGAGCACACACGATTTCGTTCCAGCTGCCAAACGTGGTGGCTGCAACTCTCACCGCCACCACCGCTCATCCCCACATATCCTGGCTTCAAAATTGACGTTGAAATCACATAGGTGGCGTCTGCACCCCTATTTCTGCACCAGACCCTCCATCGTAGAACCTAAAATTTGGGAATACGCGACTCCGAAATTGGGGTGCGGACGCCACCTAGGTGCTTCCAACGTAATTTTTTGATGCAGAATATGTGGGGATTGGTGGTGGTGGTGGTGAGGCACGGTGGTGCACCACCGTCGTGGAGTGAAGCACACACTGCTTGGGCGTGCAGCAGCCACCACGCGCTGCGTGAATACTACCGATTAAGGGGGAGAAATGAACCCTCTATCGATGCGTTTTTCCTTATGCACTTTCCGCGAACCCTTTCTGGCACCTCCAAATCTCAAATGCCAGTTGGGTTCGCCGCGTGAACTATATATTACGTACTCGACGTCACATAATTCTGCATATGTATACATAATTAAGTAATCATTTTAAATCTTTTTGAAACATATCAAGATATGCTGTAATTCTTTGAGGTCCTTTGCTTGGCATAGCTTTGAACAATAGGTAACTCTCTTGCAATGTCTACATTTTAGCTCACTTTTACCCTTGCCACAATATCGGCACCTGTCGACATCACGAATTTGAGGATGTTTGATCAGTAAATTGGGGTCGTCCAGACGAATCGCCCATCTCTCATCGGTCATTAATCTGTGGTATGGATTCACAATAGTGAAAGCACACCCATACCCAATTTCATCATGAGAAGCGTCAACTTGAGGATAATTGTAGACAAAGACACGCCCAAGGTCACCTGAATTGATAAAATTAAAAATCATTTTAGATTGACTTGTAAATCATCTAAATTTGTAAATGATACATTGAAAGCAACAACTTATCCCATAATGTATGCCATACCATTTTCGTCCTTGACTATCAAATGAATTGAGGCCGTAAGTCCTATTACTGCATCTTCGACCACTTTCAATTTAATAGCAAATCCGTCATATATCTTATCCTTCTCAGATTTATCCATATCTTTGAAAGTTATTGGTCGAAGTCCGATGAGATTTGGGCAAGCCGCCGGAAACAATTTTGCTGGATAGGTTGTTTTCGACAAAGTTAGTTGTGATTTCTGTTCTTTTGACAGTTTTACTTTCGTTCGGTGTGCGATGATGACCTCCGACTTCGGAATGGGAGCCACTCCCCCTGATTTGTACGATAAGCCTAGACTCTTGCACCTGCGCTCTCTCTTCCTCTCTATACCATCGAAATCAGTGTCATAATCTTTGACCATCACGAATTCCCTCATCGCGCTATTTTGCAACTCTTGGTCTAACAAGGGAACCTTAAGTACTGTCACCTCTCGATTTCCTTCGGAATGGCTTTAATCGACAGATAATTTAGTGAAACTAAATCTTTGTCATAGAACATGCGGTGCAAAATCGCGTTTTCGCCAAATATTTGGCGAGAGCTGAACCAAAACCTGCCATTTGCCCAATGGTTTTAACATAGCCACCAGCCTTTCGAATGATGAAATGAACTTCATATAATCTTATTAAATTATATTTGTACCTGTCCGCGTAATTTCAGCCCGATCACAAATATGCATAAAAAAATGCAAAGAT